TAAAAGACTTGGTTACTAAAGCACTATCAATTTGAGTAGAAGATCTCAAAAGAATTTATGAATTGTGCCATCATGCCATGACTAATATCAAGCATAGACAAGAAAAAATATTAGTTGTATATCAAAAGATGTACAAACCTTATAAATTTAATAGACGCAACATGGTCATTTAGTATCATAAAGATCTAAAAAATTACAACTCCAAATTTGATGTACTTTGGCATGGATCGTATAGAATATAGTTTATATTACCTAATAATATTATCCTACTAATCAATCAAGACAACTTCAATTTACATGCCATTATCATAAAAACAAATAAATTTTGTTCATACAAACTTATGAGCTTGGTCCGTACATATTTGCAAGCTACTTCTCTCAAAGGTGTTTGTCAGATTCTTATAAAGAATGAAAATTCAAATATTTCCTACAATCAAGATTTGGAATTAAACCTAATATATCTCGTTAAGATTGTAGTTGCCTACATCACTAAGTCATTATTTAAACATGATATAATTACTAAGCAACTTGTCTTATAGATGATAAAAATAGTGGCCAACATAATGACATTTGAGAACCTTTATGTCAATGATGTTTATTATACATACACCCTTTAAAATCAATTTGTCATCTCAAAATCTATTCATCTTACCATCTTATGCTCATATCTTCTTACATCTTTGTTTTTTTGCCCTTTCTATCTATCATCTATGTTTTTCTCTTACTTAGAAATGACACCTTGTCTTTATGTCTCTCATTCAAAATTCTTTGCTATATTAGAAATACAAGTATAGATCAATCTAAAAGACAATGAATGGACTAATAGTACAACATTAGGAAGTTTCTATTGCCAACTATTGCTTGCTGTGAATAAGAAGTGGTGTAAAGAATTTGTACAAAGTACGGCTTATTACAACTCAAGTAAAAACTAATACATAGGCATTGTAGAGGGCCAAAAAATCTTATGAAATATCAACTATTTCCATGTTATATTTAGATTTATCTTCTTAGAAATAACCAACTATAGACACAAGAGAAAATATGCATATTCCAACCATGAAGATCTTGTCAATGATAAGACTTGCATAGTCAAAGGTTACAATATGAATATTGTCAAGCTCCAATGTATTATCAAGCTCCAATGTAATATCAACGACTATAAGTTCATTTGTGGCATGCTTGCCTTTGTATTTTTTTGCAAGCAAATCAATGTAATTTTGAAAGTCAGATTGGACGTCTACTTTATAGTAAAAGAGAGCAAAAAAATTGACATAAGTGAGTATAAGCACTATGTTGGAAAGTTCTAATGCATGCCACCTCAAAGATCAATGAAAGACATTCAAAAAAATATCAACGAAGATGCCATGATCAGACAACAACACAATGAGCACAACAAAGATCTTAAGCAAAAGAAATTTTATGCCAATGTTGATGTCTACATCATCTCAATTGACTAATGGTACTACAGTCTATAAAACACAGACACAAAACAAAATCCTAAGACGAATAATATATAAGTTAGTAACATTGGGCAGAGAACTAAGCAAGAGTTAATAATATTACAAAGATTACATCCAAATTATGATCTAAAAATATTATAAATTCAACATAATGTTGTAATTATAAATTGATCAATTAAATCAAAATATTGTCTAGTTAAGTAACATCTTTTTAATATCTATAAGTATTTAGGTTATAGATGATATATTGCACGAGATAAAAAATTTGCGAACATAGCTCAAAGAAAAAGACTATGTTATACTTCAATAGTAGGACAAACTTGCGACTCTCAAATATGCTTGTACCACTATAGAAGGTGAGTTATATGAGTAGCAGCACAAACTTCAAGCAGCAAGGTAGAAATATAGAATCTTTAAGGCCTTAAAAAATACAATCCAAATTCAAATTAAAGAATTATAAGTAGTCAATATCATGCTACAAGAGATGTGAGCAACATCCAAATTTGCAATCAATAAACTATATATGAAGCTTAAAGGTGTGATACTAAGAATGAACGTTGTAATCAATAAAAATCCTCCTACATTGGCAAAGCAAGCTCAAGACAAATTTATCTTAATTTTGACCAACTCAGTGGTAATAAAAGAGTGTTTGGTATCAAGTGTAGCATCATCCACTTAGAAAGCCTTATATCTTGTACAACTTCTTAAAGATGCAAATTTTCCTTATATATTCTATACTCAAGTAGTTGACTATGAAGACAAATCATACATCCTAGATATCACTTTTAACCATGATTTTAACATATTCATAGCTTATGCCTCTCAATTGATGTCATTAGCATGACATAAGTAACAACTTACAGCCTTGGCTACTCAACATAAGCTCAACAATAAAGATGCGCATAATTGCAATTCAAACAATGAAACTAAGGATGTGTTGGAAGCAACATGCATAGTCTTCAAATATTTTATTAAATATCTACATCTCAAGGAATGGTATGCCATACAAATCAACTTGATAGATTATTTGTTATGTAAAAAATTAAAAATTAAAATGGTTTTTGATGTCCATCTACATGCATTAAAAATCCAGAACAAACACCATTGTATGCATTATAGATTTGTTATGGCAATACAAAAATTATATGATGGATAGGAACCACCCTGCAGTGATCAACTATATTCATGCAATAAAACGCCAAAAATTTCCATGTATCACAAAAATCTTAAAGATAAAATGTGAAATACCTTGTGAGGTGAAATATTATCCACATAAGGCCACCTTATCTACATGCAATGGTATTACTTGTCCAAGAAGCGTGTACTTGAGTATAGATGATACTTGCTAAAGTACCTCAATTGCACAATATTAGAGGAGTAGTAAGTAAAGAGATGAGATGCTACTACAAAGCTGCTAAAATTAAAAAAGACATAGTAAGATAGAAGGATATTTAAGGATTGAAAAAAAACACAACGAGGTAGTCAAGAATTAATATAGTATTTAGTAGATCTCATGCAATAGTACCACAAGCTAGGATAGTGTTGGATTAAAGGTTGTGTGATTTTGACTAAGTAATAAACAATGTCTTTCTTTCTTTTCTGATTATTGTATCTAACATATCTAATCTTACAAGGTCTTGTTCCATACTTGCTAGTAATTCCAAAATAACAAAATATAATATTCTACATATATTTACTTTTATGGCAATTTTCAATTAGGATCTAAAGACTTAATATATTTTCCTATCAAATTACTTTAAATTAAAAGATATAAAAGTAGGTCTAAATTGTGAACAATAACATAGTCTATATTATATTAATATAAAAATTTAGATCTAATTTTACTATTTTTTTTTTGGTTTTATTACTACATGTTTGAAAGCTTAATATATATTAGTTAAATAAATAAGTTAAAGAAATAAGTTAAAATTATTAATCTAATCACTATTCTATTTCTTATTTTATTAATTTAAAGATAAAATCAAACAACTAAAATTTTATATTTTAAAACATTTTCTACTTGGAATATATATATATATATATATATATATATATATATATGATATATTTTTTTAAATTATAACACATGAACATCAAAAGCATCATTAAATAAATCCTATTAGAAGTAGTATGTATCCATTAAGCATACAAGATGTACATGAGATATATTTTAAATGTAAATTCATCTTTGTCACTCAAGTAGAATAATTGAATCTAATAATTATTTTTAAAATTAAAATTTTTATTTTAAATAACTTTATACTATATGTATTAAAATTTTAATTTAAACTAACTAAACATAAGATGGATAAATTGATCCAAATATTTTATTTGATTGCTACATTTAATAAAAAATAAATTAAAATAATAATAATGTGGTGTAAAATTATTTTATTTAATGCTTATAATTATAATTTATTTTAAAAATTATAATTTAGACTTAGTTTCGTTCTTTTCATAAAGGTATTTGACAAAGTAGAAAGGCATTACATGATCTTAAAAATCCAAGATTTACATGCAGGAAAAAAAAAAAAAAAAAAAAAAATGATGTTTCTTCTTATCATATTTAACAAAAAGCAATGAAACAAAAATGGTATTTATTTATTTTATTTTATTAAAAATAAATAAATAAAAACACCAAAAAGTCAAAGATATTGAACAAATAATTATATACTTTCTGTTTAGGATTTATAATACCATGTTTCAATTTTCATAAGAAAACAACTACTTTCTATACAATGCATTTATATATATATATATATATATATAGCGAGAGAGAGAGGGATTGATTAAATAAATAAAAGTGGAGTACCCTTCAGTCCACCTCTACAACAAAGAGTGGGGGTGCGGGGCTGTGTGAAAAGTAAAGAGGGGGGGCACCGTCCATGACTTCATCCTTTCCAGGTGGCATCACCCCATGCATTCCCTTCCCCTGCACGGATTTCATGTTTTCACTACAGTGCTCTTCACACACATATTGCCTGTGATTATTATTATATATTTTTGTGTATATATATATATATATATATATACACACGAATTTATGAAAGCTCACGCTGCAAAGAAAAAAAGTAAAAAGTAAAGGAGTATGAGGGAACTTATTAATATTGAGGAAAGTAAGGAAGCATGACTGGCTCAAGAAAGATGTGGGAGCCATGGGTGGGTGTAGGAGATGGACATTTCCAGGAATTCTCTGCAGAGGATTCAATAAGTAGAAGAAATGTCAGGGTTAACAAGGAGATCCATGTATTGACATAAGAATAAGACATATATATGTATGTGTTTACATATGTAGTTATATATAGTGGGTAGAGATGGAACAAGTTACAAGAAATATTGACCCAAATTTGGACTAAAACAAATGTATTTAGTCTCATAACAGTAGTCAAAGCACACCATACTAATTTCTAGGAAATAAACTAGCACTCAAGTAGAGTAAGATGATGAATAGTTCTCATTTGATTTGTCAAACAATAGACATTGAATTGAGGGTCTACTCTACCAGAAGGCAGGCATTACATTGTGACAGTACCAAGAAAATTGTATCAATGACTTCCAGTAATATCTCAGAATTTGCTTGCATGGACAACCCTCGATGCACAGTAGAAAAAGAAAGTCATCTTTGTACTTAGCTCAATTGATTCAGCATTGGAAGCCCCCAAGACTGAAGTTCAATTAAAGAGCAAAAGACAGTTAATGGTGAATACCTATTTACACCAGGCCTGACATTTGATTGTTCCAACAAAGTTAAGTATAGTCTGCACGATTTTGGTTTCCAGGTGTTAGAAAGGCAGTAAATAGCACACCACCAGTGACTATAACTGGTAGTCAAAATGCAGCAAAGACTTTCATCTAACCGAGAAGCTTGCATTGACTAGATGAGCTGACAATGTCAGAGCATCAAACTGAAGATCTCCACAGGTTTGGAATGCGGGTAATCAATGTCATGAAGTATAGGGGTCATGAACTTGGCAGGCTGCCTTGCAACTGAGAAGACCATTGATGGCACGAGCCTGGAGAGCAATGTCCCTCTGGTTAGTCCCAAATCTCCAAGTGAAAATCACAGAATTAGAGGTTGGAGCAGCACCCTGAATATCGTTTACGAAATTAAAACCATGTACTGTACCAAACTGCTATGCTTACATCAAAATGTATGCTATCACAGTAGATCTCAAAACGTATTTACACCCATGTCCACAATACCTATCTGAGGTACAACTGCTCAAACGCATTCACCGAAAATGGTTTTCCTGACAAATACACCGTCAGTCTCCACACTGCTGTAACCAGGCTTGAGGGTCATGAATCGTGGTATGCCAGTGGGTGAATGCGACAAATGGTACACGAGCACCCGCAGGGAGAACGATTTCCTAAGAAAGAAAAGTTAGTTAAATAAGACTCCAGAATCAATCATCCATGAACAGTGTTCGAGCATACTCCGAACAGTTAGCAAAGCAGCAAGTACCCAAGTTTTTTTAATACAGGAGAACCTGCTTGTGAAAGGTGCCAACCCTGAAGATTTTACATAACCGCAAATGTGGCTGTATTAGTCTCACCTGTCCTATATATCACAGACCTCATTTTGAGATCTACACAGCGGTTCGAGTTCTGGAGGAATCTACTTCCTCGACTCTTTATGCCTTCTTCCGAACTTAAAGAACCCCAACCCTCTGTGATGTGTCCGGGAGGGTTGGATGGTTTCTTTGCCATTTGGTAATGCGGTACTTTTAGAAGACCCAACCCTCTTCACTTGATGGAGTTTCCCTTCGTGCAGTGGAATCGGAGTTTCGGCGCCGGGTTCGGGCACTTCAATCACTTTGGCGTGAGCTGCTGACGATTGAGACGTCTTAGTTTCGCACATGTCATGGTTGGTCGGAGGATTCTGCGAATGAAACTCCTCCAGAGTATCTAGATATTCTTCTACCTCATGAAAAGACTCTAACTTCGCCGTTGAACAGACAAGCTCGGAGTAAACTGAAATGTCATTGTGTACACTAGAGATACCCCTACTTTCACTAGTTGGAGAGGAAGCTCTTTGACTGGTAAAATGGGCTATAAGTTTCTCAAGGACTCCAAGAGCCCAAGCAACCTCAGGATCTACAGCTCTATCTTCCTCACGGACCGCTCTTGGATGTTCTGGCGTAGGAGACACCGTAGACGTCGAGTCATTTAGACCTACCTCACGTCTAGCATTAGAGGTGTCACTTGAACTTAGCGCATCAGTCGTATTAATGTTGTTGTCAAGCAACGTGTTCTGCTTTTCTCCTTCTGGAGTGTTACGCTTTTCTGCCTCTACGATGTTCTCTGGTATCTGACAAAATCCATGCTTCATGTCGTAAGGATCAATTCCTTGCTTATATGGACCATCGTAGAACCCCGCAACGTCCTTCTCCGAAGATAACATAGGCATTAGCGGATGCTCATACACATTTAACGGCATATTATCAAGAACTTGAATGCGCCTATACATAGGGTCAGTGTTGACGAGCTTCTCCAATAGACTTCCTTTCACCCCAGCAACCGCCTAAAGAATATCAAACCAAACAGAACTCAGAATTGTTCTCAGTTACAACCAACCCCAATGCACAGAACTTAGTTCAGATTTCTTCCACAACCAAATGCAGTGCAAGCCACGCAGAGTCCGTTGAGTTCCAAAATAGAAACTGTTAAAGTTGTCAGCTGCACGATTGTGTCAAAAAGACTACTACGCATGATCAATATAGGTATCAAGACACGTTCAGCAAAAAATAATGAAGTAAAATAAAATCTTTTGCAATAAAAATGAAGTTCCCAGATCACTAGGATGTGCTTAAAAATAAAAATAAAAAATAAATAAATAAAATAAACATTGAAGTATTTAGAGGCATTAAGAGCGCCACCTTCTGGTACAGCTTGTAACCATGGCCTACAAGCTGCCTAGCAATGAAGTTGATTAGCCAAGGAGGGACAAAATCCAGCTTCATATCCAGGTCCGCAACAATGCTGTGAACAGTCCAAAAATACTTCAGGGTTAGATTTGAAAATCAAATAAAACATTCTTCAAAACCAAGGCACCACTCGTACCCGGACCTACACTCTCCCCCTCCCTCACCCAGTGTAGCTATCATGGACTCGCTTAAGACCATCCTGACACGAGTAATTAATCCCGACTTCTGATTAATATAGTCCACCATCAAATGATCATATCTCTGTAAAGTACATTGACAAGTCAGGACGACAGGTCCATCTAAATCAGCATGTAAACAAAACGAGTTACAGACCAAGAAGGTAATCTACGGATTTCGAGAGATTTACCGAAAAAAGTTACAATCGTGAGCAATTTTTTGCAATACAAATCCACCCTCAAGATCCATACGGACTGCATTCGAAAGCGATTCTGGTATTTGATTGCTGTTAATTCCATCTACTTTCTCATCTGGCACATCTGGCGTCTGAATCGAACAAAGATTGAACAACGAAGAACTGAGAAACAGTGATAAATCATCCATCGCAAACACAGATATCGAAAATAAACTGATGCACAAGGACCCTCAGGAAGAAGCAACAACTTATGGTTGAAGCTGCTCCAACCCTTGAGGTAGCAAGGGAAACAACAACACTTGAGACACTTCGTAATCGGGCAAACTTTCAACAAACTGTTGCCACATGCCTTGATATTCTAAACTGAGACGTTGATGAAATAAAGCACAAACTGCATCTATCATGTGAGGGATACGAGTTGCAAGATTAAAAATAAATAGCAGCCTCCTAAAACTTACGGATTTGTATAGTACTGCAATAAGATCTTCGTCAAAATACTCCAATTCATATGCTGATAGAATCACTTCACGCATTGCAAAGGGCCAGGGCACTTTGAACCTTCATTGAGCACTCACTAATTAAAATGCTTAATCAGAAAAGTTCTCGAGCATTCGCAATAATTACGAACACAAAAGAATGGTAAGTTGCATCTTCGGGGCTGAAGACCTGGACATCGTAGTTCATACCTCAGCACAGAGTGGTCCCCACCTACTGTGTTCCTTTCAAGATACCTGGCCTCTATGATCTTGAACGTAGGTGCAGTAAATTGCGGCCACCTGGAGGTAGCGTAAAAAGATTCTCGTGTCAATTCTTGACAAACAAGTTATATTTCCGTGAAATACAATAACATAGTGATGTGACATTTTTTGAAGTTCAAAAAGAGTACATGCAGTGTCACAAAATAATCACGAATGATTATATCGAACTTACCATTCCCTATACATTGGCACCTCCCATCCAACAACCACAGCTGCACATAAAACAAAACGATCGCAAACACCAATTACTATTTGGCTGGTTCAAGAAACACTCTAACGAACGATAAAACTTAGAGAGAGAGTAAATGGGGTATAAAAACAATGATGAAACCTCACCGTGTGACATGGGCCCGTCAATTATGCCCTCTAAGCATAGTGAGTGGTATGGAGCACCTTCTGGTCCTTCTCGGTACATGACCCGAAACCGTGGAGTGTCTTGCTTGACCTGCGTAAATTGAAGCAACAGTCTCAGCTTCGGGTATATCAGTGAAATCAACACTGGTCTGGACATGCCTATTTCAAATTTTGGACTTGCTAAACGGACCGATTTTAGAAGGAGACGAGGCCACAGCATTATCAACCACACCAAAAGTCTGATCCGTGAACTGAGAGAAACAATAGATTTATCGTGTCGTGCAGCCCTCTAAGAGTACCACTACCAAATCAGACGACTCGAAGATATTATGCCCATTCGATAATGGATATCCCAGACTCTAAAGTACACAGCTCAACATGAACAATCGAATGAGTTTCGCGTACTCGTCACTATCCTACGTAGCCACTTTCAGGCTGTCATGGAATGAGAGTAGACTTTGGAAATGGACTGAGACGATTGCAAGGGAAGAGAGGGAACTTCACCTTCCATTCTCCGTCTACAACTTTCGTTGACCTCTCTCCTTTGGCACTCTTCAAAGCATCCAACAACTTCAGCAATTGTTTACTTCTCTTCTCTACAACTTCATCAGTTGCCGACTTTTCTGGAACATGAGACCACGAATCAACCGTATTTAATCGATGCTCACGGAATTATTCAACATTTAAATGGCTTGCTTGCAGTGGACTTGTTCGAGCTCTTTCAACAATGTTTAGTAAATAAAAAACCAAGCTTCCATGAAGGCTACACGAACTTCTTGCCTCCTCACCTCTGAGAGGCAATCAACTAGAATTTAAAGAATTGGAGGAGAATAAAGTAGTAACCATGCAGGAACTCGGACCCTTGCGCAACGTAGCTGACGACCTTCAATCCAATCATTTGGTGGCTGAGGTTAAACCAGGAGGAGAAAGAAGAAGAGTATAAACTGACAAGAAACATGTTCTTAGAGGAAGGGGAGGGAGTGGGAAAATACTCATAACGTGTTATAATATAATATAATACAATTTAATGTAATTCCTTCTAAATGCGTACGATGCTTTTCAAATGAGCCGGAACTCTACACGCTCTACAGAAAAAAGATGCACAGCCGTCCGTTCTGATAGAAAATATAATATGCTCACTTGCTCGCTGCCTTTCCTAACTAGAGTAATTCCCATAACGCTAATATTAAGTACGAAACAATCAGGAAGTAGGTGTTAGACGATTGAAGGTGGCTAACATAGAGCTTAGAAAACACCACCCCTCACAATACTAGAATTTACTACCGACACCTTGAGAGAGGCAGAAAATAGCGCAACAAACCTGGGTTGGTTTTCAGCAACTGTTTACGAACAAGGTTACTGAGAATCGCAGGATCTGACAGAGCCACTGATGCCAACGTTTTGTCCAACCTTTGCCGCGCCTCTTTGACGCCAGTCATCCTTCCGGCGCACTCCCTTCATACGATTTCCATTTTCTCAAGCCCCTACCTTCGCATCCAGGCACATCTGACAAGCAGAGCACCAGCTTCCGCAAACAGCAATGCATCACCAATTCCACCTCCTCCTCATTACAACCACAGCATCATAGCAGAAACATTCGCCTATTTCTCGATTCCGTTCTCTCTCCCACAGCCCTTGCGCTTCATGGCAAAACCGGTCGTTCCCCCATAATCAGCAACGCCTGCTCGAGCCTGAACCCCCGCGTCTACTGTCATCCGTTATGCCATCCGTGGACCATAAGACGAGTCAGTCACGCTACGAGAATCTAACCAGCATCAAACCCTCGATGGAATGCTCGGCTGACTCATTCTCCCACCATTCTCCACGGAATTCTTTCCAACACTCTCTCACTCCCCCAGACTCCTGGCAATCCCCTCCACCACCAGCACACCAAATCGCCTTCCTCAATTCTCCACCTCATTCTCCTGCACTCTCGCCTCCTCTAACACAACAAATTTCTACTTCTCGAGAGAGAGAGAGACGATCATGGTTGGTTTCATTGTGACTGGAGCAACGACGGCATTATGGAGCCAATAATTCTGCAATAAAACACCATAGCTCATTGGAGCCGGTGAGTTTCGCAGCACCTGAGGAGGAGGAGGCACACAGTCGAAGCTCGTTTTGAGGAACCTACCTTCCTTCCTGACCTACCTACCTAGCTGACTGTGTAGGTCTTGGGTTAGCAGGCCACTCTCAAGCCTCTTTCCCCCGGGTCCCGCCACTCCCTTTCTGCTTGTCATAACCCTCCACCAACTGACCTGGTTACTTACCTACCCGAACTCGACCCAACCCAGGGCAGGGCAGGTAGAACGAGAGCCCTCCCGCCCGACTGAAGGAGTCATTGTCAGAGTCAAAGTAATACATTCATCAATTCATTCATTCGTTCGTTCGTTCATTCGTTCGTTCGTTCGTTTAATGCAGCCTCTCTCCACAAAAGTGTCTCGTGGGAGTGTAGGATTGATGGGTGGTCAGTCCAATCGGGTGGTGACAGATGGCAGAGACTTGCGGTGGTTGGTGTGGTCCCGCCCTCCTGCCTGCACGCATCCGCATGTTCATCCTTCTTTTTCGTTCATTCATCCGTGTCACTATTCATTCATTCGCGTTCAACACCGCTGCCCACCTTCATTCATTCATGATGTATTCATTCATCCACGTCACCGACCTTCATCCATATCATTCCCAATCATGTGGACATTGCGCTTCCCTCTCATATCTTCTAAAAGTACCTTTTCTCCCATTATCTAAAAGTAAAAATGATTGGTTTGTACTCACACCTAAATTTTAAATTAAAAAAATTAAAAAAAAAAAAAGTGTCTTGTAACTTATGACCTGCTATCACAACAACCCACTAAAACCATGACTTTTTCATTATTGTTTGCTAGTTCCAAAATATTATCAAAAATCATCTAAAGTATATTAATTTATAATTTTCATATAATTTATACGTTGAATCGTACAACTATTCTAAATAGTTTTTTAAATGTAAATTTTCAAAATTCCTGTCTTTTTGTCGAAGACATGCCTGAGTTTTACAGTTGTTGATAGAAAATTTATTAGTACTATGTTTCCTTACAACATCATTGTGACATGATAATTCAGACATTTTTTTTCGTTTAACAAATTATATATATATATATATATATATATATGCTTAATGCAATCTATGAGGCATTGTAAGGTATTGCCCTTATATTATTATTATTGGGTCTTTTACAAAACTATACCTCAGAATAGACTAGATTATTCATCCAACTAGAAATCAATGAATAATAATAATAATAATAAATTACTATCCAAGTAGTCAAATTGGCTTGCCTTCCATTGGGTCATTCCATATTAAACTACTCCAACTTGAGTTGATATTCCATTATCTACATGTGATATCTTCTCTTAACATGTTTACACTTCAATTTTTTTTGATGTGTACATTTAAATCAACGCCATGTAAATTGATTAGGATTTTTTTGGATTTGGGTTAATGGGAATGGGATTAAAAATAATAAAATGAAAGAAGGAACAAAGGAGAAGGACTCATGTGGAATGTTTATGTTTCTAAGATTAGTTATGCTTTGTGGATCTATGGTAGGACAAGGGCGTCAAATTCTAATAGCATAAAACAAAAATATACTTCCCTATCTTTAAAGCCTTAATAAGAATTGTACTTTGTAACCATTTTTTCTCTTATGAAAGCCAAATTGGTGCCAATATTGGACGAAGTTGTACTGTTTGTATATCTATTTTGTTTTCATAGTTTGATTTTTCCATTAAGATATTTTTTTTAGATGAATTTCTCAAGAGAGATCCTTGGACAAGTTTCTTGTCGTACTTGAATTTCAAAACATGATTTTGTTCTTCTTCAGTTTGGTTTTGAATGTTGCAAAGACTTTTAAGCAAAGTTTGTTTTGGTGATTCAATTTTTAAATATGACTTTCTCTTTACATTGTTGCAATATTCTTTTATATATGCCTATTTTCATGACTAAATATATTTGACACCAATAACTTCTCTTGTTTGACCTAAGGGATATGATACCTAACTGCTGCATTTTTTTCATTTACAAGCTCAAATTTTGATTCAAACACTAAATATATATATATATATATATATATATATATATATATATAAGTCATGATGGCAATTCCCAAGTTTTTAAAAACTTATTCATTAAGGCTATAACCAATGCAAATTGATATAATATGTTTTAAATTCCTCAAGGAGCAGGAAAAGATTTGATGTTGAGAGGATTTGTGCTTATATTGTCAAGAAGCTAAGTACACTATTCAATATTATTCAAAGAAGTAATGCAATCAAAAAATGAAGAGCACAATTACCAAAAAATACAATGTATCAAAAAACAAGTTTTTTCAGCTACAATAGGGATTGTGCAGCTAGAATTATATGCAATACTTAGTAAAGGACTTATTCATCTTCAAGTCCCTTACCTTATTTTATAATAGATGTCTATTTAAGACCTAAAAATCATAAAGTCTTTGCATTATTAGATTTAGGAGCCTTAGTTTCTTTTATAAATAAAGACTTTATGAAAAAATAAGAAACATCTTTAGTCAAGAAAACTAAACTTGTACATATAGAAGTCATAGATAGTCATTCATTATCTTCTAGAGATGTTACTTATGAAACTGTTTCTTTAGATGTAGCAATTAAAGATTATAATAGTATAATAATACTTAGTATGATAAGATCTCCCTTCAATCTAATTATTTTAGGATTCTCTTGATTAAAAAAATATAACTCTCAAATAGATTGGATTTCTAGTAGCTTTAACTTTTCTTATAGTTTAATCTAAAATTTTGATAGTAGAGTAGAAATAGATAAGCCTAGTATATTCAAACTCTTATTAATAGCTATAAGAGCTTTCATATATGTGGCAAAAGAAGGGCTATCTTTTATTATACATGCTACATCCATTTTTCATTCTGGAAAGATGTCAAGTAATATTCTTAGGTAATGTAAAGATTTCTAGGATGTTTTTGAAAAGAAGAATGCACATATTCTTTCAAAACATTGACCTTATGATTGTACAGTTGATCTGTAAGAAAGAGCTCAACTACTATTCAGATCAATCTACAGCTTATTGCAAAATGAATTAATTGCACTAAAAGAATACATTCATGAGAACTTGGCTAAGAATTTCATATGCCATTCAAAATCTCCAATAGAAGCTTCTATCTTATTTGTGAAGAAAAAAGATGGATCTCTATGAATGTGCATGGACTATGAAGGACTAAACAAAATCACTATCAAGAACAAGTATCCTCTATCTTTGATTTAAAGATTTCTTGACCATCTCAATCAAGCAAAGATCTATGCAAAAATAGACCTATGAGGAGCATACAACCTAGTTTGCATTAAAGGAAGAGATGAATAGAAGACTTTTTTTTGAACTAGGTATAGACATTTTGAATATAATGTCATGCCTTTTGGATTCACGAATGCACCAACTACTTTTCAATATCTTATGAATGATATTTTTTGTAAAGTTCTTGATCATTTTTTTGTTTTTTATTTAGACAACATTCTAATCTATCTTAAGAATACAAAAAAATATGAACTTCATGTTTATTATATATTACATAAACTTAGAGATGCAAGATTATATGCAAAGATAAAAAAAAGTGTGTATTCTATATTACTTAGGTTGATTTTTTAGAGTACATCATTTCTAATGAAAGATTAATGATGGATCCTAAGAAGGTCTACACTATCATGGATTGGAAGATCTCAAAAATAGTCCAAAATGAGCAATGTTTTTTAAAATTTGCCAATTATTATTGAATCTGTATCAAGAACTTTTCTCAAGTTGTGCCTCTTCTTTCATATCTTATATATAAAGACAAACTTGAGTGGAGTAAAGAAATAAAAATATCTTTTGAAATCTTAAAGATAGCATTTATTTCTCTACCAATTTTATATTGCGTTAATTTTTCTAAGGTATTCTTTATAGAAATAGATACATCAAATTTTACTATGAGTATTGTTTTATCAAAAATGGAAGGAAATGATAAGCTCTACCTAGTTGCTTTTGATTCTAAAATTTTTTTAACAACTAAGATTAACTATAAGATCCACAATAAAGAACTTTTTGGAATTGTGGATCTATTTGAAGAATAGCATCATTACTTAGAAGGCACTTCTAATATAGTTATTGTATATATGCATTATAAGAATCTTGAGTATTTTATTTTGGCACATGTTTTGAATCATTGCCAATTTTGTTGGAATATGTTTTTATTAATATTTTATTTTAAGATCACATATAGTCTTAAAAAACAACAAAGTTTATCAGATGTCATTTTTAAATGTTTTTATCTTGTACCAAAAGAAAAAGATGTAGCTATTAATCAACAAAGAATAATTCTTTTGAAGTTGGAGCATTTTCATCTTCAAGCAATAAAATCAATATTGATTGTTGATTTAATCTTTGTTAAGCAAATTCAATTAAGTATGTCTTTTGATCTTCTTATTCATAATATCAAGAATAATTCTTCTAAGTCTCATGATACTTCCAAGTTCAAGTTTATAAATAATCTACTCTACTTTAAATGACAATTATACATTTCAAAAGGCAAACCATAATTATGTGTTCTTTAAGCTTGTCATGACTTTTTAGCAATCTGACATTTTGAATATAATAAGACTTTGGAGTTAATATTTAAAGATTTTTGTTGGCCTCAAATATGAAAGGCAGTCAAAGACTTTGTACAACTATGTGATATTTGTTCAAGATCTAAAATTCCTTGTCATCAACTTTATAAACTTCTTCAGCCATTACCTATTTTGGAATAACCATGGTCTTTTGTTTCTATCGATTTTATCACAAATCTTCTAATTTTAAGTTTGTATAATTCTATATTTGTGATAATAGATTATTTTATCAAGATGGCATATTTTGTACCATATACAAAATCTATCACAGGTGAAGAAATGACTAAGTTTTTTCTCAACAACATCTATTGATATCATGGATTGCTCAAAGATATTATATCTGATAGGAGGATTCAATTTATATCAAGATTTTAGAGAATCCTTTTCAAGATATTCAATGTGGATATAAAGCTCTCTTTGACTTTTCATCCTCAAATTGATGGATAAATAAAATGGATGAATTAAGTTTTAGAAAAATATTTGAGATGTATTATTAATTATTATCAAGATGATTGAATAATTCTTTTGCTATTGGTAGAGTTTGCGTATAGTAATTTGATATATTCTTCTATTCAATAAACACCTTTCTATGCCAACTATGATCATCATCTATGATTTGATACTTTTGACTTTTCAAAAGTTGATAATTTTGGGACAAAAAATTTAACAAATCATTTGTCAAAATTACATACAATAATGAAGGCACAATTAAAAGAAGCTCAAGAATAACAAAAGATCAATGCAAATCCTTATTGCAAGAAACAACCACAATTCAATGTAGGTGATAAGATATGGCTTCTTCATTGTAATATCAAAACTACTCATCATTGTGTCAATTTGAACAATTGTAGGCTTGTATCTTTTTCTAATAGTAAACAAGTTAATCTTATTGCTTATTGATTGTATCTAGAAGAGTCTATGAAAATCCATCCCATATTTCATGTATCTCTTCTTGAACCATATAAGATAATGAATATCTTGAGAAGAAGACAAATACCACCTCTTCCTATAGAAGTGGATACTTATCAAGAATTTGAGATAGAAGAAGTCTTTGATTTAAGGTGGTGCCAAAATAGTTTAGAATATCTTATTCATTGGAATGGATATAATATTAGTGAATGTACATGAGAGCTAGCAAAGAACCTTGCAAATGCAATAAAGAATATTGAGATTTTTTATTAACAATATCTATCAAAATCAAGATGAAGAATAGTAAAACTTTGGTATTAAAGAAACAAAATCTAAAAAAGATAGCATTCTAATTTCTACTCTTCTTTGGTACTTTTTTACATTTGTAATATTAAAAAAATAAAAAACCAATAACTAACAGATTCAACTTAAGAGCTATCACTTATTAACCTATCGGACAAAACATTAGAATTGTCACAACCTTTAAGTTGGCGTAATTGAGGTGAAGATCCTTAAGAACAACATATTCTTCCTCAAATAAATGGCAAGATACAATGTATTTTGTATCATGACCTTAGAAGAAAGTCCTATTGTTTGGTAATTTTATTAGAGGTTGGAACGATTCTTGATAGTATTCCAAATGTTTTATTTTAAGGGAGTTATGAAGGCTTCAATAACAATTAAATAACAAGGTGGTCTTTCTACATGTGTATAGAATACTATTGATGGCTAAAAAGACCTATAAATCATTTTTGAAGATAAAAAAGATCAAAATATGTCGCAAATATAATTTGTCACATTTTGGATTTTTTCATCATATGATGAATACTCCTTGTGAAACTCATTCCTACAAGAGAAGGTAATGTTACAAAAAAACATATTTATTATGATATTTACCTATATAATTAACTAGAAGTGGATAAAAGTAAATTTATTTCATAATATTTTCTATAGAGGCCTCTTAGAAGCTTCATAGATGTTGCTTTGACTTTACATGTATTTGTAGTTGATTAATAGGATAGAAACTTGGCTAATAAATTGGCCATATGTTGATAGATTGCAACACAAGCTAATTATGTGGCGTACATACAAAAAACTTAGCTAATAAGTTAAGATATATGTCTTGTAAAGTCAACAAGTTTTGGAGGTGCTGTAGGATATTACCACAAAGCTCGTAGTTAAGAGTATATATAGATGCAAGAGTGAAGCCTTTTTTACTCTTGTCAATGCCTTTCTAGTCCTTAGTCTTATTTCAAGACTTTATAGTTTCTTGTTTTTGGCAATAGCCATTTTAATTTAATACTATATCATCTTTGAGTGACTTTCTAGTTCTTTTGAGTGATACAAGAGTGTATTGAGGATTTCTTTCTTTAAGCTTTGTGTCCTTGATAATTACTTTGTCTTATGTCACCTATGTAACATGTTTTTTATTTCAAAAATTATTTTTTATCTTTAATTAAGTTACATAAATAATATAAAATATATTAATCATTCATTTAAATTAAATTTTTAAATATAAAATAAACATGATATATGCATAAAGATTGTCTATAAAACTAATATAAAAACAAAAAGCCTAAAAAAGTAATTTAAGATAGATATATTTGAAGATAATAATCATTTATTTTTTATTTTAATATTCTTTAAGATAATGATTAATTCAATGGTCTCATTGGCCTTGATAGTTTAATAGTCTTAATTATTTAATGGATACTAAGATAAAAAAACATTAGTTTTATATCATCTACAATATCATGCTATTTTTTTAAAATCAATAAAGGTCCAAAAACTAACATAATATTTATTCCAAAAGAAAAATATTTTAACATTTTTATTTTCATAAAAAAAATAGTATAATGTAAAATTAAAAAAATATTTGAAACAATGTGATACATAGAGTTAGAAAAGAAATAAGAACATAATTTATGTATAAATTCTGATTACCATAAAATAAAATAAAAAGATTCATTCACAATGTTAAAATCTATAATTATTATAATTTTTTAATTAAATAAAAATAGACCTAAAAAAATAGTAAAGATTAATGATAGCAATAAAAATGCCTTTAAAAAATTTAATTTGTTCTAAAATATGAAATATAGTTTTTTTAATAATATCAATATATTTGTTTTAAAAAAATATTTTTTAGAAAAAATATATACTATAAAAATAGAATATAAAAGTATCCAATAGATATTCTATTATTATATTTAATTGGAAATAGCTACTAATTTTAATATCCACAAATATACACATATTAATTAGAAGAAAAAATATATCTTTATATATATATATATATATATATATATATATATATATATATATATACTCAAAATTAAATTAGTTTTGTTTATGTAATTTTCATATTTTTTCAATGATTTACTTCCACTTTCTTATATTTTTAAATTTTAGTCAATAGATTAATGAATTGATCTAATACACCCATTTTAAAAATATTATAATGGATTGGATTTTAAATATTCTATTAATTTAAATTTATAAAATAATCACAATTGCAACTTTGTAATACATAACATTCAAGTTTGAATACTATTGCATCCTTTATATAATAGTTATATACAAAAATACGTAGCTAAAATTTATTAATCTTCAATATCATTTTTAAAACTTAATTTCAAACATTTTATAATAAATAAATTAAAATTAAAAACAAAAATTTTACAATAAAGACATTTTGGATAGTGATATATTAAATATTTCTAAGTTGTCTAAAATTTAATAAAAAAAATTATTTAAATATTTTTTTAATAGATTAATTATCAATAATATTTTTTTAATATTTTGATTATTACATAAATAAGTTAAATGATATAAGCTTCTAAAATGAAACTAATATAAGTAACTAAAAGGAAATTTTCATATAACAAAGTCATTGCATTAATTTAAAGCATTTTGTATACCTGCTTATTAGTTTTTACATTCATATTTCTCTTTTATTAAACTCTCATTTTTTTTTTCTTTTTTATACTTAGATTGTGTTAAAAGTGAATTTAAACACATGTTTTTTTTTATTATTATTAATCACCTGCTTAAATAGTTTGTTTCAAAAAAATATCTATTAAAAATTAAGAAAAAAATTTCTATATAACTTTATTTTAAAAATATTTTTAATAAATTATTTCTTGATTTTTTTAATAGCTAGATTTCCTATAAGATTTTTTTGTCGAAATTGTGATGTTTAGATATATATATATATATATATATATGCACCTTAAGAATTTTCATCCAATTTTTGCTTCATTAATTAAATTTTTTAATATATATATATATATATATATATATATATATTTAGACATCTCCCTTCCCAATCCTCTATGCCACACTCTTACACATACATGCAGTAAAAACTTTATTTTCACTAAAAATATTTAGGTAGATTTACAATAAAAGTTTCTCGAAGTAAAATTAATGTGAATAAAAGAATAACTTGAATTATACTATGAATTTTTTTTAAATTTTATCAAAAAAAAAATCAAAAATCAAAAATCAAACAAAAAAACAAAGTGTTACTAACCCTCACAACATTCATGCTGGATTAAAACGCAATAAAGTTAAATCATGATGTGTGTAATGGGACTTATCAAGCATATTTCAAGTGATTATATATATATATATATATGCAAGTTTAAAACTGCACAAACAAAACAAAAAAGTAATTGAAAACAAGGAACATAGAAACTAGAGAACATGGGAGCATGAATTAGCAAAGAAATGGATGAATGTGCCAGATATTGCAATGCCCAACAGCATGGGTTTCTACTAATATATATATATATATATATATACATGTATATATATAGTAAGAAACTCTCCATAAGATAATAAAAAAATTATACCAATTGTTTGAATGTCATGTATCAAAAGTATGTTTCTGTATTATTCTCCTTGAATAATTTAATTTAAAGTACTGGACTATCGAAAACTGGAAGTAGAATTTTAAAAAATAATAATGATTTGACTTATTGCATACTATTTAAGGACAATTCCAGAGTGAACACGTCAATAATCCATTGACAAGGAGGCTCATCTGCTGACCCATCTCAATTCCGTAGTACCACCAAACTCTTCATATTTCTCCCTCCTTTCACTTTCCCTCCGCTTTTTAAAAGCAACTTTAACTTTTTTCGGTACTATCGTGTCTATTCTTTATTCTTCTTTCCAATTAGCACCGTCTTGTTACTTCCCTTCCGGCTTTCTTACTTTCTCCCTCTACCTTCTGAGTTCAAATTTAGAATTTGGAGGAAAAGTTTATGCACGATGTATATGTTTAAAATTAGTGGAAAGAGATGATAGTGTATTTTCAGTGGCAACGAAACAGTCAGAAATGTTAATAATACATACGTCAAAGGAAAAAAAACCAATCGAAAGGTAGAAAACTTGAAACATATCCTCAAAGTAGGTGAAGATGTGGTGTAAAAGACTACTACGACCATGCTGCAAAACCACATCATTATTTGCTCCGACGATTTTCAGGCACGGTTCCCAAAATGTTCTTACGTATCACTACCCTCTGTTCAGTTTCCAATAGAAAAAAATGGTGTGCATCATCATGACGCAGATTCTGAAGCGGACATCCACGCGGTATCCAACATGAAATTGTAACGTAGGATTCGAGGCAGCTTCTGCACGTGAGCACGCCCAGCATCTTACAGGATGGATGATGGGACCAAGAATAGACTAACGTCACCTAAAACTACAGCTAGAAAAGAATACTAAGTGCGAAACAAGCTCCAACAAGCTCCAACAAAAGCTTGCGTTGACAAGGATCTGCCCTTGAAGCAAGTGCCCGTTACACTCCTACCTGGACTGTATCTACACTGCTGGCTTACGACGAAAGTTTCCTCTCTTGTAATCTCACACCAACCCGCCTACGAATGAATCGTTATTGACAAACATATGAGTTGCGGTTTAGTCGATTCTCGAGAAGTGGAAGCCATAACAAGGTACAGATGAGGAGTGCTATTCACAAGATTAACAACTGCACGAATGGGTGATCTCAGTTCAGGTACTGGGAAAGTTGTTGAAAACGTCGTGGTAGTAGAGAAGCAAGCACATGGGTTGCCCGACAATGCAAAAGAAGAACCAAAATACCATATTTCCAACCTGCACCCATTCAAGTCCACATTGCTGTTATTGCAAATGATACTGATAAATCAACTACACCTCAAAATTTACACTCCAAGCCAACAAATCCCAATGTAAGACGCAGTCGCAAATTAATACATTATTGAAGGTATCATTAAGACAGAACAAACGTGCATTGGTTTCTATGTGTCAGTGTTTATTTTTTTGAACCTTACATATGAATCTTGGCAACATTTAGGGCGTTTCAAAGGGAAAACTGAGAGCAAAATCTAAGATTAACTAACGTACTTGCAAATCACTCTCCACTCTAATCCAATCATACGACAGACTCGAGAATTGCCAGCACGTACCATAGAGCTATGGTACCGCTCTTTTATCACGTTTGTCAAGTACACCAACGGAACCTGCATGACAAGTTCCATATGAGGGTTTCTCAGCATTTAAAACAAGAAACATCTAAATGGACAGAAATTGCAGCGCTTTAGTTTCTGCTCTTTCCAAAGCAAACCGAATAATAAAATACCTGCATCATGATACCAAGAAAAGCCCAGCATCGAAGCATATGACACGGAACACCAATGATAACCTAGCAAAAAATGGCAATGTTAAAAAGATTAACACAGTCACGGAGGCAACTAATCAGCACGATGAGAAAATAGGAAAGATATATTTCATTTCAGATTCACCAACGTAAACTCCATCCATGATGTACTTCCAGTCAACACAGATCATGTGATAAGCATCACTACAAATTAAAGAGCAAAATGAAAGTAACAAGAAATGGACTGTCGACCCTCAGAGACAGCATTTCAGAAGCACCTACTAAATTTGATTATAACCTGACATTCGAAGTGCCAGATGCAATGAAAAATACGAACAAAGGGAACATACCTCATGAAACAAAGCTGAAATTGCAAACACCAGTAGTACTGCTGCTTTCTGTTCGAACCCCATCAAACCCAAAAGTTGTATAGTGAGAAAAGCTGCTATCACAATTTTACAGGCTAGCATTTGAGCTTTCTATAGATTGATTCCAGCAAGAAGCACATGAAATAGTGTCATTGACCCCAACGCATAGGAGAAAAAATCACATTCATGGAAACCTAAGCTATATCACCAGGCCTATGCTTTGGACAATACATGCCAACGAGGAAAACCACGTATGATACCTTTGATAAGCCAGCTCGAATGGAGGGAAAATAAATATGCCGCACCATCCACTTGTGCACAGGCTGGATACGGGCCAAGACACATAAGCATATTCAGAACAAGATAAGTCACTCGCTGCGAAGAATTTAGGTTTCCTACTTAAGACATGAAGGTGGGAAAGCTGGAGCTTTAATCAAGCCTTCATAATTTCTTGATGAGAGGTTTTAAGCATGCATATACGAGGTCATTCATGGGTAAAATATCCAAAAAAAACCAAACTATATTCGACTACAGAGAGAAAATGAAATCAAATCAAATGGTTCTTACAATACAAGGCATGTTGAACGTGAAAGAGTGGAAAGGTGATCAATACCATGTTCCACATTCGCCAATACTGAAGACGTATACGTGGCGTCAGAAATCCAACCCCAAGTTAGTGAAAGATGACTTCAATATTACAAGAAGGAGATTCTTTGGTCAACCGTAATAACTGATCTTTGAAACGGAACAAGAAACGAAAGCATTCAACACTTGGGTGGAATATTTCGAAGCGTTTGAGTTGTGAAAAAAACCATTCACAGTCTCAAGAGCGCAGTTTACGAATCCACTTTTTGGAACAAGGAACAGCAAATAAAGGGTACAGAGACAAAAATCTAAGAGTGACAAATAAGGCTGACTAATTCAAAATAAGCGTTAAAGAAGCGCTTCAACGCTGCAAAAAAATAAAAATAAAAATAAAAATACAATCTAACTGCAATACAACAGGGAGATGAGCTAGTCCACTGCATTAAAATGAATAAAAAATAAGTTCATTTTAAAACTAGAATAAGTGGAAGCAAAGGTGCTCTATACCTCTTCAACTGTTTGAGCATTCCACCAGTCCTTATAAAATTCCCTGTCCCCAAAGCGAAGTAGCTCCGCCACAATATTCAACCTAATTCCAACACATCGATTAAGCAAAAGTCGGATCAAGAAACATCTGCAGGAAGCAAACTTGACGTTTGACATTCTCACAGCCACTCGAGAGAAATATACATGTTATCCAACATATTAATCTCGTCTCGATCATAAGGCACAAATGATGAGTAAAATATCAACTCAAATTGATATCAGCAAGCACACACACTGAAACCACAAACATCGTGAACTACGTGTCTACATCATAATTCATCAATTGTCGTAGGAGAAAGAAATTACATTCGTGAACGTACCAAAGATGAAATAAACAGTAGAACAAGCACAGCCAAACATAAAGAACTGGCAACGAAAGCTTTAAAACCCTCTCCAGTGCTTGAAGATAGTTGCCCCTGAGCGGGTGCTGTGAATTCTTCACAGTGGGATTTATGTACTGCAAGATTAAGTAATCAATATTACGACCAATAAGGTACAACTAATAAAAGGTCTCAACGCTTCTGATGTTTACATCTCCTAGCTCCATGGGTAGAAAAGAATAAGACAAAAAATATGAGGGACATAACAGTTAACCAGTACTAGGAACACACCAGCTTTTGAGACTAAAGCCTCAAAATCAAGTTCAGGTCTAGGCAAATGGACAATCCATTCCTATGAACTAGTACAGAACCCATAATTATTGATTTTACCCACCGCATGGCAGTGAAAGAACTTTCAGAACATAGTACTTGCAGAACATTCGACAATGCGATCAGAAATACATGATACATTAAAGCACGTGCACAAAACCGCTCAGACCTATCAACTTTCTTTATTTTTTTGGATATCAATCACATGATTGTTTAGAAAGATCGCATCATAGCGGTTTGGTACACAGGCACATCCAAAATCGGCAGAGGAAAAGAATCCTCGGGGAAAATACAATTCAAGGAGCTCCACGTGTGAGATGATGGTGAGAGAGCTGCACCAATGGTGAAGAGAAAAATGAAGCGTTTCTGATTCTAAGATATAGAACAAACTATGCACAAAAAATAGAACTGTACCTGCTCAATGATGAATCCCCCTAAACCCAAGAACACAACCAATTTCCCGGCTTGCCGTAACACCCAACTTTTTCGAATTGTGTCCGAACGAGGGTAGCTCAACTGAAAATACAACAATTCACTACTTCAAGTCCACTACAAATTCTCCAAGAAGGGTACTTATGATGAATGACAAATCAGACAACCAAGTCTCTCTCACACACATACCAAAACATTAAAAAAAAAAAAAAAAAAAACAAAAAACAAAAAAAGGGAACAAGAGTATGCATAATGAAAAATGCTAATCAGCTCTATTTTGGGTTTCAGCGATTATAATTCAGCAGCGTTGGTGTAATAAAGAGTAGGAGAACTGCATTTTAATAATTACTCGGCACTTAAAGAATTTAGCGAATTTAAGCCCTCACTACTCTCCAAAATCTTAAACATATTTCTACAAGATATGAGTCAAAAAACACACCTGGTAGCAAAGTGTGGGCGCGAGCATGAAATAAGCAATATTTTGGATCGTAAGGTGGTCCGGAACCTCTATTTTATCTGCGTACTGTGGTGCCTCAGGTAGCTACAATCCACAAAACTTTTTCTTAAATTGAAGCACATATTTTAAAGTAATCTAGTTAATTCTATAAGAAAGAAATTCATGACAAAAGACAGAAATTCTAAAGAACAAACTTGGAAGTAGAAAAGTTCATAATCGATGATAGAATGCAGACAAGTTGCAAATTCACTCGTCACAAAGAAATAAGACGCTACCTTTTCTTTGGCTCTCAAAAGTTCTCGCATGTCCTTGTTGACATGAGCGTAAGATATAAGCTTCATCCACCCAGTCACTGCAATGAGTATCAATACAAGACCAGGCAGCAGTGCGGATTGCACCCTGTCATCAGCCAAACACATAGCTTCGATCACTTTTGGAAACGAATGAGAAGAAAAATGAATAAATAAAATAAAACACGGTTGCAGATCACAACCGCCTATTGAATCGATCAATTTTACAGAAAACATCACTAATTCTAGGACGGAAGTGAGGTTTGAATTTCACTTATCTGCTTCCTTGCAAACTGAGATTATTTCTGTTCTTTTTGGTTATGTTTCGAACAAATTTTGCGTGGTTTTACAGGAGGGAATTGGAACATACCTGTGTATAACATATCCAGGATACAGTATCCCTACAGTGCTGATTATGAGGTGTAGTACGAAAATCAACTGGACAAAGAAAAAGAACTGCTTAGAAAGAACTCAACGATGTCATATGACGCAAATTACCCGAAACGTGTAGCACCCACCACCGTTGCCACGATTTTAACTTGCATTTCAACGAATCCAGCAGAAGTTGGACCCAAAAAGTGTAAAGAACACTTGAACTCTGGAAACGACCCTTTCCTAAGTAACTAGAGAGCACTTACTCCTTCTGAAATAGGGCGTAGGACCCATTTCCCGTTTTCATTTTTCCAGCATAGTTTTTCCACTAGTAACGCTGCAAAGGGAAAAGTCGGTAAACTCAAACTGCCAAACACAACACAAAAAAGAAAACCCCATCAACACAACTTGCAATTAAGCCAACTCCCAAAATCATGCCTTGCTACATTTATGACATCTATTAGACCCTTCTAACCTTCACATCAGCTTGATTGACCACCGTGGCTCTTAAGCAATTGCAAAGAGCGCACACGTGAAAAAAAATCAACATAACAAGTTAAGTAGTACTTACCCGCACATCAAGAGTGGCCAATCGCGTGCAGACTTGGAGCTAAACCAGAAACCAGTTCTAATGAGTAGTCCATACTGTCAGAGCAGCTATTCGTACGTTAGGACCTGAGTACTCATGGAGCCTAAGATCTTTTCAAAATCGTTCTAAACCTTACAGTAGCTACCCTTCATGAAAATCCCGCCAATCAGTTTTCGAAATGTACAAAACGCATGTCTACACTTCGAAAGACCACGAGTAAGCGATGCTCTGACCAAAAATTCCAAGATACAACTTCATAAACAACAATGCTAGTCATCAAAGGTTACTCACCTTCATTAAGTTCTCAATAATAAGCCGGCTGTTAACAGCTATCAAAACAACAATACAGAGATTGAACAACCCAGCATGACTCTGCAGTGAAGAGATATCATTTGTGAGTCTCGCTTAGCACCAATTCATTTGTAAGTCCAAATAACAAATACATGCATCAGCTCGTAGCAAAACGACACTAAGGAAATTGCACCTAAATTAGCATCATTATTCAACACAGGCAAAAAAGGTGACGAAAAGTAAAACATTAGATCACAAACGCGTAATCAAGAATTTCCTGGAAATTATTCCGAGAAACCTTCCTTCACAGACCTGATGAAAAATTGCGTCTGAACTAAGCGGGCTTTCCCTCCTAACGCGATGCGCAGGCGTACACCCCCGCAGGTCGAATTTCGTGTTGGCATTAATATGGCTGGTGGCAGCCCTCTCCCCCGCCAGATTGCTACTCTTCACAGGCATGCCGTTTAACATATCTCGACTATCCACGGACTTGAACTGCATGCTTGTGCGCCGACGCAAGGTCGATGACGGCTCATCCGCGCCACCAATTGTGCTCGCGCAGTCCTCTTCTTCTCCCGAGGTCACATCACTCTCCACCGTCGTCATCTCCGACACCTGCGGCGACATCTCCAATGAATCCCCGACGCCATCCAGCACCTCCTTCAGCTTCTCCGCGCTCCCCTCCTCCATCCCCCCCTTTTCTCTCCCTCTCTTCCTCCCTACTTCGAAATCCTGCACGTCCCTTCAATTCCCCGCCCTAACACGCCCCAAACATTGCGAATTCATCAATCTCAGCCATCTCCGAAGCCTCAATTCGCAGCTACTACAGATACAAACAGAAATCCGGACTCACTCGTTCGCTCCCTCGCTGTTATATGAGTGTGTGCGCTTAGAAGAAGACGAAGACGGCGTGTGTGTGTGAGAGAGAGAGATGCGGCAAGTGCGAGGGACGGAAGGGGGGGAGGGGGGAGGGGAAGATCCCAAGTGTAACTTCATCGACAACAGTGAGTAACAGTGTGTGTACCACCGCAAACGGCTTGTTCAAGTCTTCTCCTCCCTCCATTTCACAACAAACCGTCACCTGCTTGGTAGGTAGCTAGATAGGGTGCTGGTAGGTTGCTAATAGTCTATGAATGAGCATCTCTGGCGGACTTCACAACAATGCTCACCCCTTTTTGTGTTGCTACTACTTTTTCCATTGCTTTATTAGTTTATTCTTTACTTTTTTTTAATGTTTGCTTCACCAATCTTCAAGGTTTGAAAGTCTAGTTATGGGAAAATAATAATAATAACAATAATCGAAAACCCTGCCAAGTTCAAAGTTTACTTTTACTTTTTTTGGAATTTTAAATAAGTTTGATGCATGAAATGTTGAATAATTTATGTTCCAGTGTGTTCAACTCCAACGTTTATCTTCTTCTTTTTTTTCTTTTGTTTTGCAATCCATTTCTAGTTAATGTAAAAAAATCGACTCCGAGTTTATTGTTATTTTATGATCGGAATCTAAACTATTATAAAATCTAGAATTTGATAAATAAAAAAATAATCCTATTTGGAAAAAAAAAAAAAAAAAAAAAAAGCTTGTGTGTAAAAGTACATATATTTCTATATTATTTACAGCATGCGATTTGTAATTGGTACATGTTTTTACATACAACTAAGTGATTGAATCGTTCAAAAATAAATAAATAAAATAAAAAATAATTAAAAGTTGTTACAAAAAACACCTTTGTGAGTAAAATACAAATACCCAGCCAATATATAAATTTGTTAGCGAAATGTGTGAAATCCAAAAAAGTAAGGATATGGTTACTTTTTTAGTTTATAGCTAAGAAGAGGTCATCTAGAAACTTCTTACAAACTACAAGTCTAGTCATACTCATTCTAAGTTTTTAAGAAACTCATATCAATTGCAAGATAAATCAGACATCTAATAGAATTATCCTGCATGTAGAAAATAAATTAAACAAGCAACTTAAAAATACTCCAGAGTAAAAAAGAAGTTGTAATGGTTTTAAAACAAAATAAATCTTGAAAAACCAAATAAGATTAAAAAATCACATAACGTTTCAACACACATGTGTTACAATGTAATACCTTTGTGTTTGTCTAGAGTAAATGATTCTATACAAACTTGAACTAAACTTACAATGATAAATAAATAAATAAATAATCTCTCTCTCTCTATCTATCTATCTATCTATCTATATACACATACATATATATGTGAGTGTGTATACAAGCAACTTTAAAATTAGGGATATTCGGGTATAAAGGTTGGCAAAGGCGTTCAATCCTAGCGGCCTAATTAGTCTCCAATGACAGTCTCTTTCAAGCTGCCAAGTATTCTGTTATAAAATATTTTATGTGTATCATTTGATTAAAAAAAAAAATTGTAAATATTTTTTAATGAAAATCAATATAACTTGTGGACAAGCGGTGCTTTTATTTACCGATTATAAATTTTTTACTTATTAATTCCAATAATTTTACAATCTAACTAACTCTGAAATTAGTGTAATGTGAATACAATTATATTTGTTTATTGAATACAAATAGTATTATCATATGAATAATATCTTAACAATGATTCACACTTCTAATTCAAATCATAAACATGCATAGAAACTTATTAGTGTCATTAGAAAAAGATAAGGAAAATAAATAAATAAATAAATAAATAAATACTTGTAGTATATAATTGTGCTTTACACAAGTATACATATAGTGTATAATTGTACCATATATAGGTATACTTGTACTATATGTGTGATATATTACAAGTATGTATATTTGTACTTGTGTAAAGTACACTACAAGTATTGATATTTGATTGCAAACCATTGTAGTTTTTTCATGTTCACAACTTATCCTTTGTAAATTATTGGTGAAATTGAATGTGCAAATCATGCAAGTGAAGATGAGATCCATGCAATTCCTAATAATACATTACACCAATTGGCTTGTTCTTCTATTCATTACCAATATTTTCTTACGAGCACTTCATGCAAACAAACATCAATTTTTTTTCTCCACTATCAATCATGACAAAAAAACAAAACAAAACAAAATGACTGGTTTCTACAAAAAAAATCTCATTAGAAATATAATTGCATTCTAATTTGCCTTTCAACTCGTATTTTTTTATTTAATTAAAAATTCGCATAATTATACATTTTTGTAAAAAAAACATGGAATACAATTGTTATGGTTCTTTATTTTATACCCATTGTTACTACGTGCATATTTTATTTAGGACAGTTACAACAAACACGATCCAACGTGGCAGTACAAAATACATTCTGCTTTTAGGAACCATGATAATGTGTACTTTTTTCTTTTTCATTTTCCAATACCTTTTCAGAAATACAAGAAAACATGATTTTTTTTGTTGGTAATGAACCAACCAGAATTTTCTTCATCACATGAAGTCTAAAAATAGACAAGAGTACAAAAATTCCATACACGAGCCAATGACAAATATAGCAAAACATAATAAAACAGAACCAAATAGAAGGTTGCAATCAGAAAAGAATTTGTATACACGACAAATTAAAGAGGTTTATTTATGCAATCTGCCCGATTGGTGACGGTCAGCCCCAGTGAAAAAGTATTCGAGCTTTTGTTGGAGAAGCCAGGTCATCTTTTCGTCCATATGATAATTCATCCAATCTCTCGAGACAGTCATTCATTCACCCTCAGTGCTGTCGCATGCTTTTCTGTTGGTGCCACGTGGCTGTTGGTTCGGAGAAGGAATGTCCCTTTGGCATATTTCCGTGGCAGGGTGGAACCATAAGGCTCGGTACCAACCCACCACCCGACCTCGGAACGGGAATTCTCTGCCATAGTGGAAGTACCCGGTACTGACTCGTTGCCGAGGCTAGTACAGAAGAGGCATCTGTCCCAGGCCAAGAGGTAGGGTAATTCAGGAACTGATTTTTCGTGGTGGGCAAGTAAAGCCTTCTTTCACAAACTAGTCTGTATTTTATTAAACAATTTTTATCCTGCAACCTCAATTTCTTTTTTAAGGAACTAGTACTCTGCCACTGTGCATGGATGGATGGATGGAAGATATATATATATATATATGTATATATATGTGGCACGTGAGATGAAAAAAAGTTGTCATGTGTGTGTCTTCCTTCGAAGAATAAATTTAAAATGGGAATGGTTGGATATATGCAACCGACGATGATGGGTGGGTCACTTTAGTAAATTTGTTTGGGTCGATTTAACAGTTTGACATTTAAAATAATAATAATAGTTGAAAAGTAAATGAACAAGCGTGTGTTAATAAAGATAAAAATTGAATTATTTTCTTAACGCCCCCAACATATTCTGAAGAATGTAGAGATATTGTAAGGAAGCGTAGTTTGATGAATGAGAGGGTCAAATGACATATATATATTTTTTAAATATTTTTTTATAATTAGTTCAAACCGTACAAGTTGTTTAGCCTTGCGATCCACTCCAATAGTTAAAAGAAATCAAACGTTGTTCTGTTTATTGCAGAGGAACATGAGGAATTGTGGAGTCAGTTTTCAACAAGCCTGGACTAGGCTCAAAGATCAGTTAAGGTGGTTGCTAGATCACCATTTGAGCTGTTACTGATTTCAGCCCCTAATTTCCCTAAAGTTAAACCCTGAGATGGAACCCAAGAACAAGCCTGATTTTATACCGGGTAGAGTCTGTGTAAAATCTGAGAAGCACAGAATGCCCAGAGTCTATGTAGAAATTAGGAGGCACTTGCAGACTTGGATACTCTTTATCAAATATTCTCAAAGTGTATCCAGTATACTACAATTTGAGACCAATAAGACACCTCTTGGTGGTAAGACATGGAGAGAGAGAGGACTCACATTACAGATTATACAACAAATTATGGTACCCATACACAATAGAATGTTTATTAAAAAGCAAAAATGACATGCCTACTTATCCCAATTCACAAAGGGGTTGTCCTGCCATTATCTAAGAGCTATCACTTAGTGCACTACTGTAAGTGAGTCATACATAGTACCCTTAATTGCTTGTAGTGAAAACAGGGTTTAGGGGCCCATGACACTAGGGTAATTGTGCTGTACTTCGAAGTGTGTAGAAGTTCACAGTTGATTACTCTAGAAGTGTGAAGATTGGGACCGTGCAATCTCATGAATTGGGATCTGGAATTGCTATCACAGCTGGGCACTAATTTGCTTTGCATAAAGACTTCTGGGATGTCAATGAATGCATGCATATGGTACATTTAGTAAGAAAGAATAGCATATGCTTACTCCAATGATGGGTTGCTATTCTGTACATTTATTTATGTCCATGAAGGGAGTTAGCATGATCTTTCACACAGCAGCATCAGATCTTTATCATATTACACATCAGATCTAATCACATTTTTCACACATTGAATTTCTCTTCAAATAAACGCATCAATAATTTTGCCAAGATACATCACAGCTGCCACACATGTTCTTAAAGCCCGTTATATGTATCATTCAACAAAAATAAGAACTGATGTACAAAGCAGATAATGCTCGTCTGAAAGTACAGTCCAGTAACCCTTCTACGCCTGGACATGAATTGTAAGCTATGACTTAGGAACAGTGACGTTCAAGATTTTCACATCAGTATAAGGTTTATCATTCCTGTCCGTTTTCACCTTCTCGATGCCCTGGAGCACGTCAAGAAAGCCCAATATTTAGAAAAGTATAGAAAGATGGATCTTAGAACAAAAAGTCGTGATGGAATTAAAGAACTAGAAAGAAAAGAAAAGTGGGGACGCATTAGATATCAAGTGTAGCGTGAACAAAATAAAATAAAATAAAATAAAAACTGATTATAAAGATAAAGGAACCTTGACTTACCTGGACAACATCCATGCCTTTGACAACACGCCCAAAGACTGTGTGCTTGTTGTCCAACCATGGGGTAGCAACTGTTGTAATAAAAAACTGTGAACCGTTGGTATTTGGTCCAGCATTGGCCATGGACACTGTGAAAGGTCGATCATGCCGTAAGCTGTGCACACCAATGGAAAGGGAAATCAGTCCACTGAAAACATATAATACACAATTAATAAAATTACACTGCACATGATCCACAGTTCTAAAATAAGAGGCATCGAGAACCTGGAACTTAACATACAGATTACAAATTATAAAATACCTTTTGTGAAATTCATCCTCAAATTCACCGCCCCAGATTGACTGCCCTCCAGTACCATCCCCAAGTGGATCACCAGTTTGTATCATGAAGCCCTTGATAACTCGATGGAAGATCAAATTATCATAGTAACCATTTCGGCAATGTGTAGTGAAGTTTTCCACTGTACGTGGACACTCTTCTGGATATAAGCGTATGTGCAGATCGCCCAATGTGGTATGCATAATCTGAAGATTAAAAAAGAAAGAAAACAGCAATAAAAATGAAAATTCACATCCTTATTTCAAGGAAAGAAGGCAGAGGCTCAACTTGCACTAACCACAAAAATTCAGGCATAATAGCTCTACAATCATTGGAAGAAGGTAGCAGTTCATTGAACATGAAGATACTCTACACAGAATCGACATCATGAAGGGAGTACGTCTTATTCATACCACATTCTCAGGTAGCGAAGTTGTGGTAGATTTTCCGATGTCGGAGATTGCAAGTAGCTCCTCCGGAGGAGGTTTTTCGTTGAACACATCACGCCCTTTGCTAGCATCCTCTGCATCCTCAGGTTCTCTTCGACTGCAAGATCAGGTGGTACACATTAGAAAGGCATACAAGAAACGTTGCAATAAGATCAATCAGCAACACTGAAATGGCACTTATTTTTAAAATTTCTTTCCTTCCCCCTTGCCCTGCCTAGCTCTATACAACATTTAAGTATGACCAGAATTCGCAGAGGTTATACAAGAACAGCAATAGAACAGCAGTAGAACAGTCTTGTTATCGCCATGGGAGTAGGTGGTGTCTAAAGATGCCCAGAGAACATACATAAGCCAACTGCATGACCTTTTGGGTTTGTAAATGCACCTGAATAGATAAAGCCGGTGCTTCTTGAATGCACAGCACAGTAATGTTGGATCTGTAAGTGGTTCTCTTTGTTCATTCACGTTCGCAGCAGCTGCAGGTAACTTCTTTACTTTCTTAGAACTGTACCCACCTTGATACAATGCAATTCTAAGAAAACGTTCCGTGTTCTCTACTTTCCCTATTATCCTCGCTACTTTGTTTGTATGCAGATTGACAACCTGCACCAGGGAAGATATTTCAAATTCAGAATCTAGGATTACAGATACAATACGGACAAGGTCAGCACTGCGATGTCACAAAGTCTATGTCCTTTTTTCCAAAATTCTGTAGCCATCCCACCAAAGAAAGTCCCAGTCTGTTGAAATTGATTGAGTAGAGATTGATAACCTTGATGCCAAGAAGGGTAGGATATAACAAGAAATTAGAGCTTTCGTCAAAAATTGCATTTGGAGGAGGGACCCCTTCAGTCTTCTCAATCTCCTTATCGACTGCTATACGCCGCCCGAAATCAATCGCATCCAACCTGTACAAAGGGGCATCGCTTCTTTGAAGGTCTTGAGCAACCTGTACCACTTCCAAACGTTCGTTTACTTTCTCTATCCACTATTGAAGATGCCAGGCCTCTAAAAATGAATCTTCATTGAATACTTACAATTTCCAATAACATGGCTGCTATCATGAAGCAAATACCTCCAGTGACTCGTCGTAAGTGCGACGTAATTTTCCAGTAGCGACCCAGAAGACGCGAATCCTTCTGTCTGGTGAGGTTGTTACGAACTGTTTCCCATCCGAGCTTACCTGCCAACACCAACATCCAAAACCTATCTTTAGATCCAGCCTCACATAAATTGAAGATTCTATTATAAACATCGTATGCATGCTAGGTACTGATTCCATTTACAACCTCTTAATGTACTCAACACCAGTTATCTAATACTTTTGAAGTAGCTGCCAGAATATTCGTATCCTCCCGTGGTGGATAAAGATTATGTGAACAAGAATCCATTCCGTAAACCTCACAAGGACTTCCCACTCGGAAACAGCAAGTGGGCAATAAAATCAAGGCGGCAAGCACTCACCTCCAAAGAAGATACGGTTGTCTTCGCTTTTGCAAGCGAGTAAAGATCTGTCTCCGTCTTAAACTTGAACTGCACACTACACCGTTACCCTTACTCATTCCAGTTCCCATTGTTCTTATACATGAGAAATCCTGTAATTAACATGCGTACAAACCATAAGCTTTAATGAAAGCCTAGAAGATAGTGACGTTACGCCTTGAGTATGAATACCATCAGTTAACGCCAAACAAAACAAGATCCCAAAAGGGGAAGTCGAATGTCTTGAAGGAATAGTGGCAAGTAGTTACCTCGAACAACAAATCAAAACAAGAAGAAAATTCTAAAGCTTGAGAAGTGGAGGGAAATGCTAGTGAGATTAGTACCCGTGAGAAGGGAACTCCAAAGTGTCAGGGCTGCAATATTCAAGCAAACCCTTCGCATCTGCGGAAATTACTATATCCAATGATGAACTGTACTTCATAACCTGAATTGGACCCATGTGAATATGCTTGGATATAAATGGTTCATTGCCGCCAGATCGTGCATCAAATATATGCACGTATGGGGATGCTTTATCACTAATTGCAAGCTTAGCTCTCGCATCGCCTTGCTTGAATACCCAGTCCACTGTTTTCGGAGTGAATGTTAATTTCAGCATAGCCATCATGTCGTAATTGACAACATCATATATTTTGACAGCCTTATCATCGGATATTGTGCAACAAAGAAGCCCATCTGCACTCACCTGCATTAATCAAACAAACGAGTTGAGGAACATGAAAAGATAAACAAGCAGCATAACTGTCGCACACAAGGACTATGGACAACAAAATAAATGAAGTACCGTATTGCCAGATACTGATTATTTTCTATGAACCAGACGTTCAGTTGATTACAAAATTATAGAAAATTCCCGTTCGCATTATAAATTGTGAAATCCTCTGCTTTCTCGGGAAGTGTTCCGATGTGATGATCTACTTTTAGGAATATCATTTTGCTTTCACCTGACCCCAGGATATCGTAGTTACTTCAACATGGAACAGCAGCTTTGAAGTCTTTGAGTAGGACTCGTAGACATGTACGATGCTGAGAGTGCAGACTAGAGACCTCACTATGATGAATCGGGGTTCACTCGTGTTAAACAGATCCAGACAAAGCAGACCTGAAAAGTGCACAAAAACACTTACAGCAAGCCCACAGATGGGTCCCAAATGTGATCGAAAATGCTTCACAAACTCGATCCCCATGCCTTTTTTCTTCCAAAACTTGATATGCCCTGAATTTTACACAGATTTTCAGCCAACAAGCAACATTGTCACTAAAACACAAATTCGATGAGTTCCATACGCTTTTGATGATGCAAATGGTGTCTTTGTGACAAGGATGGATAAATCTTTGCCCAATTTTCAGCTGTGACTTTCAAACCAACAAGTTGAGGCGCAGGAGAAATTCATTACCGTCGCAGCTTCCTGTGATGAAAAAGTCGGCACTGGATACGGCTAGGTGAGTCACAACATCCCGGTGCATGTAACTTTTCTCGTACCTGGTACGAAGCGATTCCCAAAGGTTAATTACTAAGCTCCTCAAACAATGAATTCACGCACTGCTATCCAGTGTCTCAATAGATTATTACGCAGAATGATCACCGAGAGAAACTGGAAAGAACTACTTCGTGCGCGTGATAACATTCAATAGAATCCTACAGCCCAGTACTCTCAGTTACTGTACACCAAAGAATAAAGCAGAAATTTTCAGTGATTTTAAAATGCATTACTGCTGAATACTCGCGATTGGAAAGAGAAATGCGCTGCAATTACCAAAACTCAAGCACTATTAAACTCTACCTTCAGCTGAAAGTCTACACCACACATTCGATACGAGAATATTTGTGTGACCCCAAGCTTGAAAAATTCAATTTCATTAACCAGCTCAAAAATATCTACGGACAGCTAGAGCTACTACAATAATACAACTTCCGATATCGAATTTGAAAAGCCAGTTTCAAGTATAAAATGCTGCATTCCACTTACATTTGTGCACACGGCAATGCATCTAAGAACGCCTTCTCAAATTCAAGAGGCCGCTTGTGACGTTGCTTCGCAGGTCCTGGGCCAACCATGGGCCCTTCCTCTTCGAAACTCATATCTCCATTTTTCACTTCCCCTTCGGCCTCGTTGCCCATTGCCGTAACGGCACAAAAAATACCAAGGAGACAACACAATCGACAACAACTAAAAATCTAATAAAAAAAATCGCGTCCGCGACGTAATCACAACCGGGCGTCGAGTTCCTACACGCTCTGATGAAGTTCACTGGAAACAATCGGCATCGGGGGAGTTCAAACTGAAGTAAAGGCGAAGAGAAAGCAAACCATCGTTGAACCCTAAATGGATGACGCAATTGTGATCGGTTTACATTCATCGATTCGAACGATGACCCGAGGACGGTCATAGGGATCCCGCGCTTACGAGCCTGTAGGACGGTATTAAATGCGCTTCCTTCGGACTGTGCATTCAAAGGACAAAACCCAGGCTACTGATTCCCATGTTTTCCGGGGCTTCGATAACTCTGCACTTGAATGTTGTTTGGGAATAGCTTTGTTGAGGTCGAGATTTGTGGAGCGGACTTGCGCGACGCGACGCGATGTGAGGCTGAAATGGGGCGGGGAAGTTTGTATATCTCTCTGATTGGTCATGATGAGTCGGGATCATGAGAAGCAGATGCAGGAGCTGCGGAAGACGTCTGCCGCTGGAGCGGGAAGAAGAGGAAGACGAATCGGGAAGTGGAGCGTACAATGTATGTCCCTGTTTTGAAACAGATTTTAGTGTGTATGCCACAGGGATCAAGTTTTAGGTCCCTTGAAATCCTACGTGAACGTTAGTATACTTGCGTCTTCACCTGGATTTCCATCGACGAACAACGAACTTCGATGACCTATGATGGAGCGTAATTACAAATTTTATTATGACAATGGTGGAGATCAAATCAACACATGATACCTTTCGCAGTACGTGCTAACGGGCGGGGGTGTAAGCACGGAACACACCAAGGAATCAAATCATCGAAGCCTTGGTTCAAGTGAGAATTTGCATGCTGTCAACCTTAGGACACGTTTGAAATCCAAAGTTTATCCGAAAACCCGTGAAACGGTATGCTCTGTAGTGAAGGATGATAAAAGAAAAATGCTATTGAAGGAGGATTAAAATCTCCATCAATTTTACAAAAATAACGTCTTTATGTACAACGCCCCTCTCCAAATGAGGATTCCAAATTAGCGCAACGCTGGCTTACAGTTTTCCCAGCATAACATTTGCACCTTTCCGCAGCTAATCTAGAAAACATTCAAAGCTCACGCAATCTCACACCCCCAAGAGGTTGAATAAAATGCTCTAAAAATCCGTGCTCACATCCTTGTTATCCTGTAGATCCTTCGCACGGCTCTCTGATGCCGACATCTCCATCTCATAATGTTTTTTGAAGGTTTTCGGCAAGAACACCGGTATGAGGAAGAAGAAGAGGTTGATGGTCCACACGACCATGTTGGCTAGAGCCAAGTATTTGCCGAACTTGAGCCACTGGTCCGCGGAGAAGGGGGTCTGGGCCTGAGAGCCATGCATTCCGAGGCTTTCCTCGCCCTTCGTCGCGTCCACCTTCCACCACTCCATAATGGTGAACAACCTCCTGACGTTGTAAAAAATTGGCACCAAAGCGCGGATCGGTAGGGAGATGTGGTCATTCCTGAAGGCCACGTTCTCGCTTAGGATCTGGCATCCCAGGAGGAACAAGTGCGGCGCGGCAGCTTTCAAAGCCTTCTGGTCCCCGTGCACAAAACCTCCCAAGACGTAGCCAGACGGCAACAGCAATCCAACGCTGACCGTGACCATGGAATACACCTGCACGGTTTTGTTGCCGGCCATCACGTTAGGCGGGGCGCCTTTAGTCACGGGCCTGAGAATGGTGCTATTCATGAAGATCATGTAAACCGTAGTGAACGCTGCGAATGCCAAGTCTTCCAGAGGCACCAGCCCGCTTGAGGACAGCACCACCAACAATGTCATTACATGAATTTGCACAAGGGAGAAGTACCCCAGGACATTATGTTGCTTCCGCCTTTTCTCCGCCTGTTTCTGCAGTCACTCGCACAATCACCATTCCGTTACTCACATTCAAAGTCACCACCACACATCATATGGTACATAAGACTCAATACAACAATCCCTGTCGTATGTCCACCGTAGTTATCAGCTACCAGACTCATGTTTGGTTGTTCGAACCATACTCTTTACGATTCCATCACTCACGCAAACTGTTGCAGGAACTCAGACATCTGAAAGTCCACAAAACCTTCACACTCTACCGACAAAACACTGTTCTGAAACGAGCGACGGACAGAAGTGGGGGAGCAAGTACCTGTGCTTCTTGCGGGGGCGCATCAGGATCCACTCGGGAGTCATAATCCTTGATTCTGTCCCCGGCAGGCAACACTTCAGCCATCTCCTAAGGGTGAGATTCCAATGTCCTATTATCAATTCGTAACTCCACACTAAGCAAAACCAAGCCAAGCAAAGCAAAGTAGGAAACAGAGATCTCTCAGCAAAACTCTCGACTAATGTCGTCAACAGGAGAGGACTAGTATAAGAGGAGCATGGGACGCCAGAACCGGGATACACTTGTCAGCTTCTGCGAATTGCTTCAGAATCCTTTGCAACAGGAAAGAGCCAGATGGTGGCAGTGTGGACTCGCGGCCGCGTGTCGATGACCCTCCCACATCTCCCACGGAAATTCGGGCCACGGAATTCGGGCACTGTAGCTGCTGCAGGCAGACCCGCGCGGTGGTAGAGGCCCCTCCCCCATCTCCGCAGGTTGAGCTGGCATAATTCTGGCTCCCCCATGGCCGCAGGCTGAGCTGGCACAATTCTGGGTCTCCTGCGTGCTAAATGTGGAGAGTTGGATGATAGAGATGCAACTAAATGAGATGATCTTAACATTTGCTTTATCTTGTCCCTTGTTTAGAATTTGGGGAAAACAGTGAAGAAATAAATATTGAAAATCAGACTGATAAAGTTGCGCACTTCGAATGTCATTTCTACTGTGGCATACCAAAGTCATGTATTATGGCATTTGTTGTTGGGATTTTCATAGATTCATGACAATCAAAACCATATCAAGAAAAAGGTTCACATTTGAATCCAAGTTATACATTAAGTTATACATTAAGTTATTATTATTATTATTATTATTATTATTTAAGTTTTTTTAATGTTTTGCATAGTTGTACAGATACTAATTGTAAATTGTACTTATATAAATACAGTACACTTGGATTAGTGGAGCAATATTGTCCAGAGTGAATGATGTGACTAAGTTCCAAAATAAAGAATGGCAATCTTTCAAATCCAATATCATGATATATATAAGTAAATTTTGATTATTCAAGTTATTTTGACATTGTACATTTATGAAGGATATTTGTGAACTTTTCTCCAAAAAATTGTTACTTTTTATCCTACAAAACATTACAAAATAGAAGTATTCTAAATAATCACCATAGAAATATTTATTGTAATTGTTGTATTACAACAACAATTGTAAAGATACAAAAAAAAAAAAAAAAAAAAAAAAAAAAAGTGGAATATACAAGAGCAACCAGCTTAGAACTTTTGTGATTGTAGAACATGGACCTAAAATTCAAGTATTGCATATATTTAAATTATACAATAATTATATACTTGAAATTGATTGTAGAACATGGACCTAATTTTTTGTAACTTGTTTAACTTTAGTTTTATAATCTTCAATTTTTTATTTTAAAAAATTTATCTAATTTGATATTTGTTACATAATTTAAATAATGAACTAATTGTCATATTGTTTGTTGAGCAAACTTACAACAAGATACTTGCATTAGCATCGTAAATAATTAAATAGCATTGATAGTAAAAAATAGTTGTATCAACCAAAACAATCAAGTGATCAGTGTTAATTTCATGCCAAAACATTGCAAGGAACAAAACCTCTAGATGATCAATTTGTCAATGGTTGCAATAACCAAATCTAAATTAATACAAATCATTAGTGTATTTTACTTTTATTACAATATCTAAAACCTTAATACTATCACATATATATATATATATATATATATATAAGGTTTACATTGAAAAATTATATTATATTTTTTAATCAATAAGTTTTTAAAAATCATGATAATTTTGATTTTAATATTACAATTATTTTAAATAGTTTGCAATAGAATATTTTAATTACTTTGTCAATCTACTAATAGTTCTTTAATTATTGATAAAAATTACTAAAATATATAAATTTATAATATATTTCTATTTTATTATTTAGTAAAAAATTTACTAAAAAATAAATTATTGAATAGATTTCTAAAAATTAAAAACAATAATTTAATATTAAAAATGAAGAGAAAACAATATTTGATTGGTAAGAATGAGAAGAGAAAAGAATTTACAATGATGAAGAGCAATAGCACCGAGAGAGATCAAGAGCCATGATAAAAACACTACTCTCCTACTTAAATCAATTCTTTATATTATTCCTTATAATATCTACTTATACTATCCCTTTTTATATTATCACTCCTACTATATAAGTGTATCACGAATCAATAATGTATGGTTTCGGTGATGATGACGCTGCGTCGATCTTCATGCATGCAGTTGTAGTTAATCCTTACTGATAAAAATTCATCGAAAGAGGGGATAGCAGGTACACTATGGACTCGGAGGGAGAGATGCGGAGGTTTCGAGGCCGTGGAGGAGCAGTTGCTTCGTGATTTGTACAGCAGAACCCCCAGCGGCAACTAGAGTGTGTCTGTAGACCAAGTTGCCTGCAGAGTCGCTGTTCACTGCGAGTGAACCTGTGAAAGAATTGCACGCTTTCAGCAGATCAATGTCGGTCAAGAGGGATTTTGCTGCAGCCACCATGAGTCACGTCGATTTCAAAGTAATTCTTGGAATCTTGGGTAATGCTCAAGTCTCGAACCCTTCGAGACGGCTTATCGAGCTTGGGTTTGTTGTGGTCTGCATGGAATTTTAGGCAGAACAATGCTTTGCACACTGTGCTGCTTCTTGCGAAAGAGTGAGCTCGATTTATGTCGCTGCATCCATTAATATGTTTTGTTTGTTGTGTTCAGGAAATATCACCGCCATCTGCCTATTTGCATCGCCTGTTTAAGTACATGCTAACTTTTCTCTTGCTTGCTGAGTATATTGAGTGTGAGTGCCGTGCTGAGTGTGAGTGTGTCTGATCTATTGTTAGTTTATTATGATAGAAAATACAATAACTACTTATTTAGTTGAATGATTTAACTAGTATTAGATTAAGTATTAGATAATTATTATAGGGAGAAATTTTGGAGTTTGTAGGAATTTTTTTTAGTAATATATATATATATTTTGAACTAATGAAAACTTTGTATAATGACAATTTTATTTTTGCCAGGATTGGTTGATTATTTTGGTATTCCATATGTTTGAAAGTTTTTTAATTGCCTAATATAAAGTTGTGTATGGTTTTCCTATTGTAGAAGTCACTAACAATGTAGCCATTTGTCTTATTGAATTTACATATCTTGTATTATATTAGTAGATGCTTTTGTCATTGGACACTTCAATCTTTGGCACATCCACCCATTTCTTTATGCTTCTATATTCTTTCATTCCTATGTTCCTTGTGTCCCCCAAGTTCCCTTCTTCATGGCCAATTAGAAGATTTTATCTTTTTGTCTTATACCCAAGTTGTTTTATATAATAGATTTGATGTATGCAAAAAATAAAATAAGATTAAGTTTCTTCTTAATGCAAAGTAACAATTTCAAAGTTTTATTTTGTATAATTGTACATAATCTTATTTTTTATTTATTACTTATCAATTATTTTGTTACTCATTAATAATTCTTTATTAACTATTGTAATAGATAAAGTTGACAAAGGTTTTAATGGTTTTTTTTTTTTTTTTTTTTTATAATTTTAGTAACAACACATGTATTGATTAGTAATTAGAATTCTTTGTGCCATATTTATGGTAGGAATATATGTCTCTCCACCCACTGTAGTGGTATGTTTTTCTTCAATATTCTTAACTAATTTAAACTTTAAAATGATGAATTATATTTTGCATGTTGTTCAATTGTTTATTACAATTAAATGGATTAGAGGTACTCAACTAGTATTGTATGTATTTAATAAATGTGCAACATCAAGAGATTTAGGTACAAAAGTTTGTTGTACTAAACTAACAAACAACTATTCTATTGAAGTAGAAAAAAATAGTACTTATAAGGAATCTAATATGTAAATAAAGTAGAGTTAAATAAATCATAATCATACTTAAGAAGACTTATTTTCAAAGCTTAGATAAAGTTTCATTTTATTTACATTTTTATCTATGATAATGTGCATTTATCCATGCATTTGTAACTTTTAGCACTTTTATGTTTGATTTAAATAAAGATATGTGCATATATTTATGTACATACTTCTTGTATAATTCTTACTTCTTTTGTTTTTAATTTAAATAAATATATGCATAAAATTAAAATATACTTAATTTATAATATATTATTTATTTGTTTGATTATTTATTCAAAGATAGTTTTTGTACAATTTTTTTTCTTTTTCTACACAATTTTGTGGCAATAAATAATATGTAAGAGATGAGATAACTTAGAAAGACACTTAATTATGAAGGAGGAGAAACAAAATATCTTTATGCTACCAAAACTTCCAAAAATTTCTTTTATTGTTGCTTAAGTCAAATATCTAGTTTACCATAAGTAGAAGGGTGTAAAATTCTTTACTTGTTGTGTAATTCTTTTCTATATATTATAAAGATATATATTAAAGATTGATTAACTAAACGTGCAAACAAAAAGATGCATGCACTTCAACTGGACATAAATCCCACTTTTGAAAAGAAGAATTGTCATAAATCATAATATATCACATTGACCACAAAATCCTCACCAAAACTAGAGGCCATAGATGAAATGAAGACAAGTAAGAAAAGTAAATGTGAACGTAACTTTTGGTTTCAAAACTGGGGCCTCTAATGTCAAAATACCTTAAACTATGTCATGTCCCTAAACCAACCTATAGACCTTATCTAAACCACCCTTGCACAAACCCAAAATTGCTTGTTCTTCATGTGGACAGATTTCAAATACATACCAAATCCAGCAATGATTGGCAAACTTTAGAAGGATGAAGGATATAGTTTAGTGTGATGGAAGTGCACTGTTTTGCAAAAGTCTAGGCCTCCGTTCAAGGGTCAAATGCAAAAACTGCTTTGTTAATTTTTATAAATTAAACACTCAGGCAATTTTTTTCAACCCCCTCCCCCTCCCCCGAAACGTTAAGTTGTAGCCGAAAGTTGCGAACTCAGCAGCAAAACACTGTATGCAGTTATGGTGCACCGGCAGGAGAGATTGAGGGAGACAAAACTGCAGGACAGAGAATGCGCACTGCGATTCACAGGGCACAATGCCACAGCTCCACGGTCACGCGAAAGCTCGAAAACCTGAGCCAGCAGTTCGGGAGTTGCTGCCCCAGCGTAACGCCCCCATCTACTTGGAGCTCTCGAAGCTGGTCAACCATGCCAAAAAACTCTACCACATTGTTACTATTTGTTATCATTATTATTCCCCCCCGCACTGTTGCCAACGACGTTGGTGCTCCTGGCGCCATGCACCACCTTCAAGTGGGCGTCGTCTGGCACGTCGCTCAGCCATCCTCGTTTCCTTTGTGTTTTTAAGGGAAAAACCGGAGCTGGAGTGGTAACCCAATCATCTTGGTTCCTCCGCCTGCGTGCTCTGTTCTGTTACCCGACGCGCCATACCTACACGGAGTGCCGCGCTGCTGTTGCTGCAGCGCTCGCATTCGCGCTTCGCCACTGGCAACCAGCTGTGTGTGTGTGTGTGTGTTTACGCGCGCTCTTCATCTCCTGGTTTGTACTTGCCATGCCTCCCTTTGACACTGTGCCGATGTTCCGAGTGTGCAGACACCGCACTGTCAGGGTTTTACTCGTTGGGCTTTGTCGTCGAGCCGTGCTTGCTTCCAAAGCCCCGAGTCATTTTCTTTGATGGCAATGGTGGGGCTTTAGCAGGTTCTATGTTGCAGCTCTATCGGTGCTGTTGTCTTGGTTTCTGCTCAGCTCTGGAAGTTCTCTGTTTGTGTACAGTTTTGAATTTGGAACGGCGAGGGGTTCCATACGTGTGAGCTCTGTTTTGTGGGGATTTTCTCAGAACTTTGTGGTTTTTCCTTTTCTCTGCTCCGACTTTGACCCGTACAGCTGCGCTTTGCTCTAGAGCTCACTGGCAGTTTCCAAAGTTTCAATTCTTTTCAAATCAAATTTTTTATCGCCTCTGCTTATCGAGCTGGAATACTGTTTTAGTTTCTCGTCGTTTCCGAAGACTTTGTGTTTCATGCTTTACTACTCCGTCGGTAATGTGGGTGGAATACTTGGTCACCGTTTTCTGATGTCGTAGTCAGCGTTCATTTAATCACAATCGGGGTGACAGGATGATGTTTCCAAAGTGTACTTCGTATTCGTAGCTTGTTCCGCCCGTTGTATTCTTCTTATCACTACTGAAACCTTGAGGTCGCTGCTATTTCGAGAGCAATTGCCCGTTATTGCCGATTTCGATTTTCTCCACGCCTCCAACTGCACCAAACTCCCGCCACAACTGTATGTTTTTGTAGTTTGATTTCTGTACATTCAGATGAACATGAAACTGGACAGCCATACTAATTTCTCATTTTATTGGCATGATCAGATCTGAGCGCAGCAGCAAGAGGCGCGGAGCTGCAACGACGGGTGGGATGACGGCCCGAGGTCCACTGCTGAAGGATGAGCTCGACATTGTGATCCCGACCATCCGGGACCTGGCGTTTCTGGAGCAGTGGAGGCCATACCTGAGCCCCTATCACCTGATCATCGTGCAGGATGGCGACCCCACGAAGAAGATTCACGTGCCGGAGGGGTATGACTACGAGCTGTACAACCGCAACGACATCAACCGGATTCTGGGGCCCAAGGCGTCGTGCATCTCGTTCAAGGACAGCGCGTGCCGGTGCTTCGGGTTCATGATGTCGAAGAAGAAGTACATCTTCACCATCGACGACGATTGCTGGGTGAGTGGGGGCAATGCAATGGAATGCGGGGCGAGGCAGTGTTTGCGGGTGTAGCGAATGTAGTAGTTGTTGATGTCGATGTTGCTGTTGCTGCTGCTGTTGTCGTTGGTTGTTGAGGGGTGGTGAAGCGGGGGCTGTGGCGGTGGAGGTGGTGGAGGACTCGGGTGTGGGGCGGGGGAGTGATGGGGTGGGGGGAGTGACGGGGTGCAGGTGGCGAAGGACCCATCGGGGCACGAGATCAACGCGCTGGAGCAGCACATCACGAACTTGTTGTCGCCGTCGACGCCGTTGTTCTTCAACACGCTATACGACCCGTACAGGGCCGGAGCAGACTTCGTGAGGGGGTACCCGTTCAGCATGCGCGAGGGCGTGGCGACGGCGATCTCGCACGGGCTGTGGCTGAACGTGCCGGACTACGACGCGCCGACGCAGCTGGTGAAGCCGGCGGAGAAGAACACGCGGTTCGTGGATGCGGTGATGACGATTCCGAAGGGGACGCTGTTTCCGATGTGCGGGATGAATCTGGCGTTCGACAGGGAGATGATCGGGGCGGCGATGTACTTCGGGCTGATGGGCGACGGGCAGCCGATCGGGCGGTACGACGACATGTGGGCGGGGTGGTGCTGCAAGGTGATCTGCGACCATCTGGGGTTCGGGGTGAAGACGGGGCTGCCATACATCCACCACAGCAAGGCGTCGAACCCGTTCGTGAACCTGAAGAAGGAGTACAAGGGGATCTTCTGGCAGGAGGAGATCATCCCCTTCTTCCAGCAGGTGGTGCTGCCCAAGGAGGCCGTCACCGTGGAGCAGTGCTACATCGAGCTCGCCAAGCAGGTGGGCCTCGCGCTCTGGTTTGGACGCAAATTTGCGCTTGAGCTGTGAATTTTGAAGGTCCATACGTTTTGAACATGGTTTAGAATTGTGCTTGTGTTTTGGTTGTTAGCTGGTGACGAGGTTTTAATTTTTTTGATTGATCTGGCTATTGGTGTGAATTGTTTTGTACAGCTTGTACTGGGTGTTTTGTTTTTGCTGAAGTTGGTTGGGGGCTGTTTGGTTGGAACAGGTTGGGGAGAAGTTGAATGGACTCGACCCCTACTTTACTAATCTGTCGAAGGCTATGGTCACCTGGGTTGAGGCATGGTCTGAGATCAGCAGCTCTCACAAGAAGAGCCAAGCTACTGCCAACGGCAGTGCTGTCAAGTAGAGTGGATATCGTCTAAGAAGGATATGGATGATTAATAGTTTTGTAGGCTTGCTTTTAGGACTGGTTCCGTGCGTATGTTGTCTTTTGCATGGCCGTGTTCCTTGCATTCTTATTTTTTTTTTAAGGAGTGTCTGGATGCCACTCTCCATTCTTGACACCAATTTTTATCCTATCACGAAATTAAGCATTGCTCTGATTTTTTTCATGCCAATGCATTTCTCAGTGATTCCAGTTTCTTTTGTTTTCATCGGCAGCATGTGCCAACGTTGCTTATCATCAGCTCTTTATCAGGTGCTTGCTTCTGCATGACGCTTGTAGACATTGTGATCATTGTGTGAATCTGAATCATTGCAGTCGATTCGGACCCCCTTGGACGGCATCTTCAAATCAATTCTCCCCCAAACTAATGCTACTTCCATTGGATTATCATTTTTGAAAACGTTAATGTGAGACTCGAGGCAGCTAATGCCGAAATGGCATGCGTGCCTGGTGCCTCTAATATAATGAAGGTTTCAAACGTAGTGGCAAAATATGAGGTTCGATGAGTTTCCTCCCTTTGATGAATTCTAAGTACAATAAATTTCCAACCTGGGGTATTTGGGAGGAGTAGTCGGTCTTCTCCGACAATTGGCCCGCTCCGAGTTGGGCTGATGAGTTTTGAAATTACAGGACGACACGACAAATGAATCTACAACCAAGTATTGTTGTCCGATAATGTGCTGGAAGGAGTTTGACTCCTTGGTACACCTGCGGCAACTGTACTGTCACTAATGCGATGGCCTTCGCATGCAAAATGGACTGGGATGCCATCTGGTTTCCTGGACATCTCAGAATCCAAAACAGCTTTCCTGTCACACTCAGGTGTGAGCTGCAATATTTCAATATTGTCCATCATTCTCGAGAAGAAACGTGACAGCGGCTTTCCGTGAGGCAGAGTATTGAATGCCATACTATGGCATGCCAGGAGGTAGGAGAATCTGAGGCGATGTGAGAGCACGCTCTGAACATGGAACATGGAACAAGTAACAACCCACGACAGTAACGCTTCATTACATCGCGGACTGTATAGTGCCTTACGACCAGACATGGATGAAATCTGGTAAGAAATCACGGCTTGTGTGTGTGTGGCTCCTTGTATCATGGGTGCTTTTATTTCGCTTCACTCAAAGTGTTGCAGAGGACTTAAACGAGGCTCCTGTGAATGCTTGTACACTAGGTTTCTCAGATGCCGACTTCCGAGTGGGGATAGTATTCATCGATTGATGAATTTCTGGATCTCGATACACTTTTCTCCAGTTGCAGGTAGGAAGCAGCTCCGATTTTCGATCATGGTTGCGTCAGGACCCTTGACGTTTTGACCAGGAAATGAATTATATCATATACTTCAGCTGCATGAGAGCTTTACTGCGGGATATCTACCACACGAGGAGCAAAATAATGACCCGTTCGCATGGGTTCTCTTTGAGAATGATGGGGTGGGAATGCAGAAAAACGTCGTGCGAAGCTTAATAGCACGAAGTATGCATGCGTCTATGATGTGTTCGAAGCTGAGCTGCCATCGATCCCTTTCTCTATTTCATTGGTGTGCTGGGAGTGCTCCAACGATCGCCGAACGTTTCTGACTCATTTTACATGGTTAAGCTGGGTGGAATAAAAAGAGGAACAAACATGTTCCACAATGATTTGCCAAATATAGACCATCGGTGAAGGGTGAAGACAGATAGTAATTGAAATCCACACCTCGATCAGAAATCGGGGCTACAATTCTATCGGTTGTTTCAGCTCCGTCGGTAAGAACACATAGATATTGGTATGAGAGTGGTGTGGCCACCACGACTGGCATCCCGAACACGGTTCCCAACTCCACGTGCAGAACAAACAACTGGGACATACAGAATTACGAGCATGGAATCGGTTTTTCAGTGCTAATTATGAATATTGCCCACTTAAGCCCCTTCTTATGATCAAAGTTGACAGTCCGAAACAATCTAAACCGAGATTAAATCCATGCTTTATCAGTGGTCTTTGACAGGCAGAAAAGGAAAAGGAAATATAAAATAGTGGCTTAATTTCGGGAGCCATAGAACCAGCACGTTTGTGCTAGATGAATGAAGATCTGCACTCTTGCGACAGTGTTCGCAGTAAAGGTTTACATCGTTGGCCGCAATGCATCTTTCTTTCCAAATTTCTTTGCAAACCCCGCGATATTCTGTTAGTCCATCCAGCCAAATTTAGAAACGATCATATTTGATGAGTCTGAGAACATTCCAACGACCAAACTTGTCACACTTGAGGAGTGTCTTCAATTCAAACTTCGTTGTTGAGGGCAACACATCACTTGCTCGTCACGTCGCACATATTGCTCGCAACAATTACAAACACCTAAATAAAAAAAAAGTATAATACACACGTAATGGAGCACTGTTCATCCTTAGTGTTTCAAACGCTGGAGTCGGTACTGCAACTTTGGATTTTTATCATTTATTGATTTACATATATGCATTGGAAATAGGGGATTACAGTGTCGTTTCCTTCATTTTGGATCCGCCCATCAGCTATAAATGCTGCCCTCCTCCTCACAATTCCTGGACTTGTTCAATTTCTTGCTGCAGCGCAACTAGAGAAGTTGGGGCACCCCTGCAGTCACGATTGGCAGTTGCACCTCACTGCATCAGCTTCAGAAGATCTTCATTTGGCTAGGTCTGCTTTATATCATAGTGTATTTTCCATCATCCCCCCAACTCCAGAATGCGATATATCAACATTGTTTTGTGCATCATTCGTGGGTTGCAGTAGCTGAGCTATCAGTTCGCGAATACGCTTGGATTTCTGTGTCTGCCTCTCGTTCGCCTTCGCCGTTGGTGACTCACATCTGAGATTTCGCTGGCTCTCATTCAGAAAACTCCCAAATTTGGTCAAATTGGGAGGCAAGGGGTTTCACACTCTACACCTCTGTTTTAGGTCATGTGCAAACCTTTCTGTTCTGAGTACTTGCTCCGTAGTGGCACAGATCTGTAGCTACTTCCTTCGCAAATACCACTCTCTTCATGCTCCTTTGATTTTTCAAATTAGTCCCCAGTTTATAGCATCTGTCATTTTCGAGGAGATGTCGTCTTTCGAGGCCGTCAGTCAAGATGTCCTCGTTTTTTCATATCTCCGCCAGACCGGCTGATCTAGTACAGTTTATTCTCAGAACACATTGTTATCGATGACTTGCATTTGAAATGTACACACTTTTCGGCAAGTATCGGTGTTTAACCTACTAAACATCGGTACGTCGGGAATAGTATGTTTTTGTTTGAAGATTTTTATTTTCTGTCAAGAAGAGCTGTTGGGTGTACTCAAAGCTCGCCCTTGCATCATTCGTCAGTGTCATGACCACAATAACTACTCATTCTGAATCTCGATTAGCTCTGTAGAGTTCTTCCGTCTCTATGATACTCTCTATATTCAACGCGCACTTCACTAAAAATTGTTCACTGGTCCAATTCTTCCAGCTGTCTTTGAGAATAGCATTAATCAACTTCATTTGTTTTTGACTGTATGTGGTTCTCTGCGGACTAACGTTTTTGCATATCTCCGGTATCTGTGCACTTGTTTGAGCGCAGCAGCAAGAGGCGCGGAGCTGCAACGACGGGTGGGATGACGGCCCGAGGTCCACTGCTGAAGGATGAGCTCGACATTGTGATCCCGACCATCCGGGACCTGGCGTTTCTGGAGCAGTGGAGGCCATACCTGAGCCCCTATCACCTGATCATCGTGCAGGATGGCGACCCCACGAAGAAGATTCACGTGCCGGAGGGGTATGACTACGAGCTGTACAACCGCAACGACATCAACCGGATTCTGGGGCCCAAGGCGTCGTGCATCTCGTTCAAGGACAGCGCGTGCCGGTGCTTCGGGTTCATGATGTCGAAGAAGAAGTACATCTTCACCATCGACGACGATTGCTGGGTGAGTGGGGGCAATGCAATGGAATGCGGGGCGAGGCAGTGTTTGCGGGTGTAGCGAATGTAGTAGTTGTTGATGTCGATGTTGCTGTTGCTGCTGCTGTTGTCGTTGGTTGTTGAGGGGTGGTGAAGCGGGGGCTGTGGCGGTGGAGGTGGTGGAGGACTCGGGTGTGGGGCGGGGGAGTGATGGGGTGGGGGGAGTGACGGGGTGCAGGTGGCGAAGGACCCATCGGGGCACGAGATCAACGCGCTGGAGCAGCACATCACGAACTTGTTGTCGCCGTCGACGCCGTTGTTCTTCAACACGCTATACGACCCGTACAGGGCCGGAGCAGACTTCGTGAGGGGGTACCCGTTCAGCATGCGCGAGGGCGTGGCGACGGCGATCTCGCACGGGCTGTGGCTGAACGTGCCGGACTACGACGCGCCGACGCAGCTGGTGAAGCCGGCGGAGAAGAACACGCGGTTCGTGGATGCGGTGATGACGATTCCGAAGGGGACGCTGTTTCCGATGTGCGGGATGAATCTGGCGTTCGACAGGGAGATGATCGGGGCGGCGATGTACTTCGGGCTGATGGGCGACGGGCAGCCGATCGGGCGGTACGACGACATGTGGGCGGGGTGGTGCTGCAAGGTGATCTGCGACCATCTGGGGTTCGGGGTGAAGACGGGGCTGCCATACATCCACCACAGCAAGGCGTCGAACCCGTTCGTGAACCTGAAGAAGGAGTACAAGGGGATCTTCTGGCAGGAGGAGATCATCCCCTTCTTCCAGCAGGTGGTGCTGCCCAAGGAGGCCGTCACCGTGGAGCAGTGCTACATCGAGCTCGCCAAGCAGGTGTGCCTCGCGCTGTGCTTGTGTGGTTCGGATGATGTCGCGTCGTGCGTGGAGTGTGGAAGTGAAGGCATGGCATGGGATGGGGTGGGATGTGATGGTGGTGTAGTTGTGGTGCTAGTTTGGTGTTGGATGTCTTCTTCTTGTTCTTCTTTAGTGTTTCAATTGTGGTGGTCGTGACGCGGTGGTGTGTGTGTGTGTGTGTTTGAGTTCAGGTTGGGGAGAAGTTGAAAGGACTGGACCCGTACTTCACGAAGCTGGCGGAGGCCATGGTGACCTGGATTGAAGCGTGGTCAGAGCTCACTGGGTCAGAGAAAAATGCCACAGGAGCAGCTCCGAAGTCTAGTTTAAAGTAGGTATATAAATATATATATATATATATATATATTGATATCGGTGATAGTATTTCCGCGATATGATTTGAGGCATTTGTTTTAGTATGTGTTTCAGGCAATATAATGGACTTGAATGTCCTTAATCGGCAGTTACAGTTTTGTTTGGAAAGCAGTATTTTTATCAAAATATCGCTTTTTTTCTTGCAGTATTCGTCACTTGGAGAATGATCTGATTGATCCTGCTGACTTAGTTGGAATGCGAATTCCAACCATGGATTGATCATTCCCTGCTTGCATGTGAAATCATGTTTCTTTCTCTTGATGGTGGTTCTTCAGTTCTCTTGGTGGAGTATGGCACAGTTTACCTCGATTCTGTCCATTTGCATTCCAGATTATGATTAAATTTGGGAAAAGAGCTTGGTCACCTTGTCAGGGACTTTTAGGGCGCTTTTGGTGTTAAAGTACTCGTGTATATTGATGGTGATGTGCGAGGTCATTCCCTTGGCATTATGCATTTTCATTTGTACGGAGATGTTGGTGCTATTTGAGTTTTTGTTTATATCTAGAAGTTAAACGAGGGCCTTCACTGTTGGATCTTCTGCATTGTGGGGTTTTTTTTAATCCTCGTCATTTCTTTGGGGGTAGGATTAGAATTCTGGTTCAGTGTCATGTTTTACAGCCTTGATATTTCCGAATGTTCGCTATATTCTGCTGTTTAGATTTTTGTATTGTAGTTGGAAGTAAGTTAAACGTGGTGTGTGATCATTTCTGGTGTTGGGTCTTAATACCCGTCAATGGCCTTTAAGGTCGCCTCCTGCCGATGAATGTGTTCTCAAATAAATTGAGTTTAATGACTACTATTTCAAATTTCGCACACTATCATACCAAAGTAATACAATTGTATACATTGCAAACATGTATATATTACAAACATTCAAGATTACATAATCTATCCATATAAGATGTGTATTGTCTATATGTTACATGTAGATTAGACCCTGTTGGCAATTAGTGCATAAGATTGGTTTTAGCAACTAATTTGTATATTGAAAAGTATCTTTTCATTAGTTGTTAAGATTTAAACAAAATAATGTTTAGACACCAAACATTGCAAATAGATTAAATTTTGTTGTAAAAAAGACAAGTCTTGTTGTATATAATAATTTGATCATGTGTTTAAAATTTAGAGTATATTATATAAGGATGTTTAAACTTTTTAGTTTTTGTTTGAGAGAATAATACAAAATTATAAAAGAAATTTGGAACTATAGCTTGGATCCTAAAAAAAGTTCAATAGAAACAAATAATGTTTTTTATTTGATCTAAAGTCTAAGATACTCTTTTCTATTTTTTTGAGCTGAAGATTAAACAAATGGTATTTAAGCATGTCATATCTATATGTATGTATATTTACATGAAGTTTTTAAAGCCACACACATTTTTATTCAAACAACACTTCTCAAACCATGTGATAATTTATTTAGTCCTATCTTATTTCAACTCTTTACTCCATCATCATCATCCATGAAGTAGTTTATTTCATGTGTCTAAAACATTGGATAAGATACTACCTAGAGCAATCCCATCAAGAATGCCCAAGTGTGCAGAGGGCTTGTCAAGCTAATGTAAAGAGGATTGGAATGAGAATTGTAATTCTATAGTAAGACTTTGTGTAATTGTAGTAGACCTTGTACAGCCATTTAGAGGCCATATCAGTGGCATTAGTGTGGTGATTGGATGCAATTGCCTTAGTTTGTTTCTTTGACAAAGGGCACACTTTTGGAAATCATATATAATAGGTCAAGCGATAGTTTTTTCCTTTGCACTCTGACCTCTATGTAAGGAACAACATGCCATGTTTCCAAGCACATAAACTTTGTGTTGCCAAGTTGATAATTGTAAGATTGATCTAATCAATTTTAAGGACTATCACAAGTATTGCAAATTGTGTGAAATGCTCTCAAAAGCTCCCATTGCAATATCATTTGGAATTTTGTAGTAACTCTACCATTGATGTTCTTAGTGCTACCTTTGAGAACCATTATTTTATTCTAGTTTGTCACCTTCAATGTTCTTCATGACTATGACTATTTATTTTTATAAATTCTCAATTGTTGGAATTTATTTGATAATTTTTCATGGCATCAAATAAAAGATTCTATTTGAGGCTGACAATATGTGTTTCTTGCAAATTTTTGAATATTTGCACCAAGTTTGGATTAAATAAATTATGATTTTGTAATAAGTTTAGGAATGTAGGTTTTTTGTAAGCAATCTATGTAATAGTAATCATTCTAAAATTTGGAGAAACTATATATGTAATAAATTAGATAGAAAGAAACTACATTTATATTTGCAATCTAAAAGTAAAAGATTTAAATGTAAAAGTTTATATTTGTAATCTAAATGTAAAGGATTCACTTGCTCATGTACTAGTTTGTTTTTATTGGTTGTTTATTATTGCCTTGGAAACATAGGAAGAAAACATGTTCAACATAGCTTCTATGTTATGAAATCCAGGTTTTGAGGTTGTACATTTTGACATTTCATATGAAGGATGATATAGGCTACTATTGGTTGAAATCACATTTTGTAGTTGATGGCTTGCGAAGTGATGTAGAATTCTTTAGGAGCAATATAGTGATTGTTGTGCTTTATATTGGTCTTGATGAAGATTACAAAATTACTTCTATAAAAAATAGAAGCTCTTTGGATGGAATCCACCTCATTGTAGTGATTGATTAATTTCAACTACACTATCATATCATCAACACATTTTTTTTTATATAATTGACAGTCTCAATATAGAGTCTTCTTCTATTAGGATCTACTACAATGAAGGCCTTGAGAGATTGATTTTGCATGATAATGTCAAGCAGATGCTTAAATTCTTACACCAATATAATTACTCAATATACTTTTTGTGGATCTTTATTATCAAAAATGCAAGTACAAGACTATTTGGAAATATTAGTTTTTGCCAAACTTCCTTAAAAATATTAGTCAACAAATGCAAGTATACATCTATATTTGGTGTAATATATAATAGTCAATTCTCTTTGGATTTATCAACATTGTTTGGTTTATAATCTATTTGTGCTATAAGTATTTTTTACACAAGTATTAGATGTAAAGATAACATATGATACTTTCTAGACATATCTTCAATTTTAGTTGAAACAATTGGAATCTTTAGTGTCAATGCTATTTGCTAACAATCCTTTGTTGACATGTCTATTAGTTGGATATATTTCCAAGAATATAATTCAAGAGTGAGTTGAATGGAGTTGATATTTCCATTGGGGCAATTAATGGAATCTTGCAAGCACTTACTTTCAAATCTTTTGACAATCATGAAGTTGATATCTCCAATGTGATTCCAATGAAAACATTGCCATAGAATGTAAATGTTTTAACAATCAACTGTCAACCTAGCAAGGTTCCAATTCAATTCTAGATTTCTAATAGGCATCTACTTTGATGTTAGTGGCTTGCATTGTTGACTCTATTCTACTCCTATTAACAATTGAAATGGGCTTGATGTTTGGCAACTCTAATAGAACCAGAGATTGGTTCAATGGTAGAGTTGAGACCACTCTTTTCATGAGCCAAGGGCTATGATATTTAGGATTGGCTACATTTTAAAGAGCTACCTTACTATACCGTGAATATATTTGAGGAGAATAATGTATCTATCCTTCAATTGAAAAGGTAATCAGTTGATAATGCTCAATTCTGGTTGAAGTGTGATCATGGTGACCCGCATTTTGATAAGTCAACAACAAAGAAAAGACGCCACTGCATATGTCTATGAATAGTTAATGTGTAAATAATTGTCTATATTTAAAAAACATAGAAGAGGATTTGATTTAAGGTAAATTCTAAAACTAAACAGTTTGTAATCTTTGCAACAATTGAAAGACATTTGTAATATTTATACAAAATTTTAGAAGTAAGTCGCAATGAAGAGTGATCATCCTACCAAAATTAATACGAGAGTTAATAGAGTAGCTTCAGCATTTAATACTTAACGAAATAAAGATCAACAAGAACATTGATGTGTAAACATAGAGAAGACGTGACAAAACAAAATTGCTACAAGCTAAAATAAAACACCAAAGAAAATAAGAACCATAGAAGGTTCAACGTCTAAACTTGCCTAATCAAATATTACAAGAAGTTACGTTATAGCACGACCAATACTAAACAAGAACCTTAAATCCAAAGGACACTCTGAAAGTACAGCAGTCTGGGGACATCAAATAATACACACAAAAGTGGTAAAGAATGTCACTTGAGATCAAAATTAGAATTAGATGCAAGAAAATAGTGTTCTGGTCAAAAATTACACAAGAGTAAGGACCTGTTCAGACAAAACGGGAAATAAAACTAAACAAAATTTTAGATACAGCCAAATAAAATAAACGTGAATTCATTTCCGGCAGCCAGTGCATAAAATGGAGGTTGACAGGAGGTACCGTTGGAATATCCAAAAACATTAGACAAAAACTATGAAGAATCACCATTTCAAAATTGCAGCAAGAATCACATGTAGTCGCTATAAATAACGCAATAGAAGGGGTGCCGTGCCAAAAGAGAAATACGCAACAATTCCAATTCACTCTGCGCAAAGTAAAAAAAATGGAGAACCGTAAACTAACCAATCAATTACTAAAATCAGATCCTACTTCTATTTAACTACTTCGCCTTCTGGCAACCGGAGAGCTCTGACCACGCTTCAATCCAGGTCACCATGGCCTCCGCCAGCTTCGTGAAGTACGGGTCCAGTCCTTTCAACTTCTCCCCAACCTGAACTCAAACACACACACACACACACACCACCGCGTCACGACCACCACAATTGAAACACTAAAGAAGAACAAGAAGAAGACATCCAACACCAAACTAGCACCACAACTACACCACCATCACATCCCACCCCATCCCATGCCATGCCTTCACTTCCACACTCCACGCACGACGCGACATCATCCGAACCACACAAGCACAGCGCGAGGCACACCTGCTTGGCGAGCTCGATGTAGCACTGCTCCACGGTGACGGCCTCCTTGGGCAGCACCACCTGCTGGAAGAAGGGGATGATCTCCTCCTGCCAGAAGATCCCCTTGTACTCCTTCTTCAGGTTCACGAACGGGTTCGACGCCTTGCTGTGGTGGATGTATGGCAGCCCCGTCTTCACCCCGAACCCCAGATGGTCGCAGATCACCTTGCAGCACCACCCCGCCCACATGTCGTCGTACCGCCCGATCGGCTGCCCGTCGCCCATCAGCCCGAAGTACATCGCCGCCCCGATCATCTCCCTGTCGAACGCCAGATTCATCCCGCACATCGGAAACAGCGTCCCCTTCGGAATCGTCATCACCGCATCCACGAACCGCGTGTTCTTCTCCGCCGGCTTCACCAGCTGCGTCGGCGCGTCGTAGTCCGGCACGTTCAGCCACAGCCCGTGCGAGATCGCCGTCGCCACGCCCTCGCGCATGCTGAACGGGTACCCCCTCACGAAGTCTGCTCCGGCCCTGTACGGGTCGTATAGCGTGTTGAAGAACAACGGCGTCGACGGCGACAACAAGTTCGTGATGTGCTGCTCCAGCGCGTTGATCTCGTGCCCCGATGGGTCCTTCGCCACCTGCACCCCGTCACTCCCCCCACCCCATCACTCCCCCGCCCCACACCCGAGTCCTCCACCACCTCCACCGCCACAGCCCCCGCTTCACCACCCCTCAACAACCAACGACAACAGCAGCAGCAACAGCAACATCGACATCAACAACTACTACATTCGCTACACCCGCAAACACTGCCTCGCCCCGCATTCCATTGCATTGCCCCCACTCACCCAGCAATCGTCGTCGATGGTGAAGATGTACTTCTTCTTCGACATCATGAACCCGAAGCACCGGCACGCGCTGTCCTTGAACGAGATGCACGACGCCTTGGGCCCCAGAATCCGGTTGATGTCGTTGCGGTTGTACAGCTCGTAGTCATACCCCTCCGGCACGTGAATCTTCTTCGTGGGGTCGCCATCCTGCACGATGATCAGGTGATAGGGGCTCAGGTATGGCCTCCACTGCTCCAGAAACGCCAGGTCCCGGATGGTCGGGATCACAATGTCGAGCTCATCCTTCAGCAGTGGACCTCGGGCCGTCATCCCACCCGTCGTTGCAGCTCCGCGCCTCTTGCTGCTGCGCTCAATCATGTGAATCATGAAGGGATTGCTACGTTGATTGCAACTTAAATACCAAATGAGTATATGATAACTGAGGATTGGCTTGACAAATTTATCAAATTAGTAGCTAGCATTAGTCCGGAGGGTGGAATTCTTTATTAATTGCATCTGCAACAGTGATAATTAAGAAGTTAAGATGACGAAACCAAGTACGACAACATAAACAAGGGAGAGACTACATTATGAATTTGTGGATTCCATTTCTAATATGGAATTGAGACGGTGATTTGAACTGAAGGGAGCTTTTACATGGATTTGGTGCAGTACAAAAGGCACAGAAATGAAAAACCTCCCACACATCTAGGTTTACAACAACTCTTTTTGGGTTAGTGGAAAATAACCAACGATCAATCGCAGACCAACAATGTTAGTTTGAAGGACTCAAAATCAGCTCTGGTAGACTCCTCTCTAAAGACGAAGTGAAGTCGAACCTATGTCGACAATGCAACACAGATTGGAAGTGGACCTCTGCATCAGCTCAGGCGAATTCAGTTTTGAAGAGGAAGACACGTCACTGAGCTGAAAAGATTAAATTAAAAAATATAAAATAAAATAAATAACAAAAATCTATCACAGCCACCCGTGGGTGAAAAATTCAACAAATGTCCCTCTAACAGTGGGAAGACGAGTTCGCAGCTCATCTCAGACGCGAATACTCTGGAACAAAGTTAGATCTCCTCTGAGATATGTAGACGTGAAGATCTAGAATCGCTCAAATATGGCAGGAAAGAGGACTTAATAATGTGAGTCAAGAGAAACCGTGATTCATCGAAACACACTGGCAGTATGGATTTGCAAACACGTAATAACTGATAACTAAACCCTGAAAACACGACGTTCGTTACGTAGACAAGTGCCACACGACTACACAGAAAGGAAACAAGCAAAAGGAGCCAAGAGAACAGCAATATGGAAGTAGATCTCCCAACGCCCCCATTACAAAACGAAGAAAACGTGAAAATCTGTGAGTTACGCATACGCCCTGAAACAGAGCTAAAGAATACCAAACTCCACTCGCGCCTGCAAACTGGAAGCTGGCAGACCAGTGACCATCGGGACCAAATAAACAAAACACAGCAAAAACAAGCTGAACATGAAACAGAAGGAACCCACTTGGCGAAAACCCGTCCAAACCTGAGCTCAAGAAGAGAGCGACGCGAAACGAAACAACCCAGCTGCGGAAAGCGAACGCTTGTACCGTGGATGTGCAAGGGTTTTAGACACGGAATGAGAGACGTGAGCGTACCGGCAGCTGCGAAGCACCAGGTGGGAGGGGGGGATGCGAGGTCGTGAGTTGGGTGGCAATGCGGCACTGCGACGCTGTGACGGTGGTGTGAGGCCTTCGGAGGTGTTGCGTCTCTTCTTGTTATGGCTCCGCGAGAGAGATCGAACGCTCTCGCGAGCAAAGGGGGCGGAGCATGACTCCTGCGTGTGTTAGACACCCTGACATCAGGTGCCAGATTCGGCAACTCCCTCCCACAAATAGCTACTCTTCACTGGGGCTTGCACGTTTTGCGGCTGCCTCGATGCTCAACTTCCGATGTGTATTTTAAGACGTCAGACCATTATTTAATCTTTACTTTTATGAAACACAGATAACTAGATCCTGTTGCTTTTAGAAAGTGCTGCAATATCTACAGCGAGTAGAACAGAGCAAATCCAGTGCCACTGTGTTTGATTGTGCATGTCATGTTAGTTTTGAAGTGGGTAATGGTGGTATTGTCTATATAAGAATGATCTGTCACCTGTTCCGAGACCTGCTCGACCATGTATATGTGTTTGTCATGAGTTTTATTGAAGGATTCAATGATGTTCCTATTTCTGCGTTTCCATTTCGTTTTATTTTACATTGATAGTCATTTGTGTGTGTTTCGGCATAGTACACTTTAAACGTTTATACTTTTACCTAAACATTACTTTACTTGAAATTATGTGGTATTAAGAAATCGAACTGTCGGTGAAAAAACAAGGCTTGGTTACTTTCAACCATTAGTATCAACAATTTACACCCAAATCTTGTGGAGCATTAGAACATCTTTGAATTTGAATCAACATGGCAGATTTGAACATTCTTTGGACAATATTAGTGTCAATTATTATGTATTTTAGTTCCCTAATGCAATAGGTATAACTTGCATTCAAGATTAAGATGAATAGAAAGAATGCAAAGTTGTCTAGTATACTTATCATAATCCAATTGTTTGTAGCAATGAGACAATTTGATGATTGAAATTATTTACATTTATGTTGATTTTAAATATATATATATATATATATATTAAAGTAAGTAAATACATGTACATTGACTCTAATTTTTTAATCTATATTTTGTTGTTGTTTTGTTTTAATGTCTTTATCTACTTGACTTGTAATAAGTGTTACGTATACTTTTATGCTTAGATTAATATCCAAAATATTAGTTCTAATTAAATAAGCTAATAATACTCAAATTTGTATTTAGCTATTCATTGCAAATTGATTCTATTTGATGTCTATGCAAGAAAAACTTATAAAACCATAAAAAATTCCATACTAGTTTGAAATTGGATTAGAGCAAGTTTATTATATGCTTCCTTTCAATAAAATGTGAGGAATGTTACTTGGTAGTAAAGGTTATAAGTTCATTTGATCTAAAGATATTTATACAAATATGTCTGAGGTATTATATCTAAGCAATTAAATTATTTCGTATTAGAATAAAATAATAATAATATATAAAAGAATCAATGATTAATTTTAAAGAATTTTCAAATTAAAAATTGAATATTTATTACTGATTTTTCTTTGAGAATCTCTTGAACAAAAATCTTATACTTTAGCAATCAAAATAGTGAGACAAAATAACCTATCTAATAATTTAGAAATGCATGATTTATATTAAAAAATTCAATTTGTAACAGATGTTTTATATTATTGACATAGAAAACTATTACAAATCTATTAAAAACTAAGATTAGTAGAAAAAGTATCTTGGTTAGATATTTTTTCTAAGAAAATATTCTTGTATCAGAATATAAATTTAAATATTTATTTATTTAAAATGGTAATGTTTTTCAACTATGTGGTCTCTATGAGAATAGTTTCTAAGGTTCTGAGTATAGTTTGAGAGTCTTAACAAAATTCCTAAATCTTATAGTTAGTAGAATAATTCATTGTTTTTTTTCTTAAGATTATATTATTTATTACACTTAGGTATAAGAGTGATTATATCATAAGTTACTTTAAGTAAGAATCAATTTTATTCTATGGCATCTAAAAAAATAAAAAAATAAAAACAATAAGTCTTTTAAAAATCTACTAATAAGATAATAACCTTTAGTAGACACAACATTCAAATTAATTGACATGAATCTTTGCTATTAATATTAGAGCACTCATATAATTTTAAAATTATTTAATTTTATCCAAATAAAACAATTTAATTCCATTTATTAGATAAGTAATGATTAAATTATTAGTTATTAAAATAATCACATAGATATGGATTCTTTTTAAGTTTTTTTTATAAAACTTTTGTACAAATATACCTACTACTATATTTAAATATTTATATATATTCATATATTTAAATAAGCCAATTATAAGAATCTGAAGAAAGTTAATTGCAGCTAAGATCTTTTGGAGAGGTGTATATGTCTAATGATTGAAAAATACACAATTACTTCTAATTTCATAGTTTATCATATTAATAGAAGAAAATGAGACTTTTAATAGAAGTACATCCTATTAAGTAAAAACATTTACAATTGCATTTAATTTTTATTATTTCAAATGTGACATACTATATAATTACAATGATAAATATTCTTAATTTTATTTTATAAAACTAAAATTATGATCATTTTTTTTATATATATCTATCAACTAATATTGTGCAATTTATATATCTTAGTAAAAATAAATACACACTTTATCTTAAAATATTTTAAATATACATATAAGCAATCTCAATTTTTTAAGTATATTATTTAATTTGATTTAAATTCACTATTGTTTAAAATTAATTAGATAAGATGATAAAGTTTTAAAATATCAATTCTTACCATACCTTAATATCCATGCATCCTTAGTTCTTACAATGTCTTTTGTTCTTACAATTCTATACAATTAAAATTTACTAGACAATTTATTCTTATAATTTAATTAAATCTTATTCTAAAGTTTACTGAACCTAAATTATAACAACCCTAAGAATAGTATAAATTCTTATAATCCTAAATAAATCTTAACAATCACAACTTATGAAAATTCTTAGCAAATTTTAAATTCTAATATACTTTTGATATTTATGCAAAAACTTAAGTTTCAGAATTTTAAAATAAATAAAATTACATAAATTATTATTAGAAGAATTAAATCTAATATGAATATTATGTAGATGGAGAAAAAAAATTAAGAATTATTTATTAGATATGTGATAACACACACATACACACATTCACACACACACACACACACACACACATATATATATATATATATTTTTTTTTTTCAAGAAATGAAGTAATATGTCATAATAATAATTTAATTTATGTCCTAAATATAAATCCTAAAGTAAAAACTATGTCTCTAAAATATAAACTTGGTAGAAAAGAAAAATTTCTTCTACTTTAATATCTTTGTTGTTTGTTCATTCACAACAATCTTTTGTTAATCCACTTCAATTATCTTATTCCTAACTATCCTTTTTAATTTCATCATGTCATTGATGATTATTAGAAAAAGGTAAAAAATTAAAGTAAAATAAAATTTCTAAATTCAAGCACCCTTTAGTTTGCTACATTAGGACTTTAACTCAATTCCACTAAATCCAAGTGCATATCTCTTGAGTTTATGTTTGCTCCACTTAGGCTTAAACTTGCTTTCACTGATTCCAAGTGAGGAGATGTTAAATTTAACACAGAAATTCTTACGAAGCTGTCTTGTTCCTAACTACTCCACTTGATCTCTTCATTGTGCATATGATAATTACATCAAAGAAAAAAATAAAAAATAAAAAATAAAAAATCTAAATTCAAGCACTCTTTAATGTGCTATATTAGAACTTTAACTCAGTTCCACTAAATCCAAGTGCAGATCTCTTGAATTTATGTTTAATCTACTTGGACTTAAACTGACTTTCACTGATTCCAAGTGAGGAGATGTTGAGTTTAGCACAGAAGTTCTTACACAACCACCTCTTGTCTAAAAACATGTAACATCAGTATTTTAGTTTGAATGTTTAATTTTAAGGAGATCAATTCAAAATACTTAGAGTTTACGAAAAACCATATTGGATTGTAAGCGGTTGGAAACTGAGATGAACACTTAAAAATTGGTCATAGTGCTCTTGTATAAAAAGGTGGCAAAGGTAATAGTTTAGCCTCACAAAGATTATACTGAGTAGGATTAGCAACGGGAAGATATCCATGTTGGCTATACTCTCAAACCCAGTTCAAAAATGGTGTTACATGCCTTCGAAAATTGATCCCATCTTGAAGCTCGATACGGAATATCTCATCCAAGTGAAAAAGAAATGTGACCTAGACAAAGGCACAATCACCTAAACTTAAACCTAAAACCATCCAGCAAACTTTGTAGGTGCTTGCTAGTACCTGCATTCACGAAGTTGAAACGAGTTATGAGTCGATTTGAGCTTGCAAAGACTCACAAGGAATTGCACCCAGATACAGTCTATATCAGGTGTTAAATGTTTGTGAACTCTAGTATCTAAATTGGAGCCTCATTTGCTCGTGAAGAAGCCGCATCCTAGCATCCAAATTGGACAAGTTTATGCAAGTGAGAGGCTGATGATTGAAGTACATTTTCTAAACAAATTGTAAAAACTTTGTTCAATTCTTCCTCATTTTCTAATTGGGAAGTCACTTTCTATGCTTGTAGATCCATGAAACACGATCGGCGATGTCATCTGCCAAACCATGTCAGGAACCCAGAATTGCATGTGTGCCAAAAGTTTAACAGTTCAGAAGACAATGAAGTAGTGATGTCATACCTCATACTCTGAGAAGTTCAGCAGAAGTGAATACATTTCGGAAAGGATAGGGTTGCCTAATTCCTAGAGAGTTGAATATATTTCTGCTGCATCCCAAGCTCTAGCAGCACTTGTTGAGCCCCTCGCCTAAATTACAAGAGTTTAACAAAATGCCATTCACTAGAAAACTTGCCTTCAATGTGCACACTTCTCTAAACTCTACAACTTCTAATCACTTATGACTTGCATGCACTTTTTAAAGCTACTTGCCTTACTATTCTATCCTCAAAAGCTCTCATTGTTTAGGCTGGACAAAACCTCAATTGAATGTCTTCCTAATAAAGTCTTTAGTAAAATGTCACTTCAAAGCCTTCAAATCAAAACTACCTTGCCAACAAGTATCCCCTCCACCTTAGGGGGGGCATTACAAAATCAAAAGCTGTTTAAATGCCACTATCTTCATCAGGTCGATCATTGCTCATTGATGCATCATCTAAGCACAACCAGGTTAGTAAATTCTAAGAAGCTGTTGATGCTTAAAACTCCTGTAATGTTGGAGAAAATTGTGTTATTTACAGTTTGGTTGAAACACGTTTTTTGTGCATGATAATGTCCAAGAATTTTGTCTTAAACGCCTCCCAGAGAGAGTATTTAACTCAAAGAAGCAAACAACACCCGAAATAAACCCATGACCTACATAGTGAGCATGAAATGAGTGCTTCTACTAATCTGGAGGATGCATTCCCAAGACAACTTGCACTTTCATCAAAGCAAGACCTAAATCAGCCTTAACAACACACATGAAATCCACACATCTATCATGACAACAATTGTGGGGGGGGGGGGGCATGAAAGCTGGGGATTTGCATCCATCCAACAGCCACAATTGTTGATTTGAGTGCACATGCTGCATGAACTCTGCAAGCATTGTGTCTGACCCTGACATCTCTCCATTGATTCCTGCCTCACCACAGACAGCTTCATACTTGAGAAAAAAAAATTCAAAGCATCCATGACAACAAATGCAGTGCACCTGCCTTTAAGATGCATCATGTGGGAGTTATGACTCAACCACGCAGTAAACATTCCAATTATGAACCTAGGGATCACAATTGCTGACAACATAGAAATAAAACAGCTACCAGTGCAGCAACTGCCCACTTATGCTCTCCTCTAGTGACAAAAACTGTGCTACCCTGCAGCTGGAAATTCACAGCTCCTTGTCAATTAGGGTAGTCTTGTTTCAGGGATACTTGAGCTCCATGGTTGATCCTTGCGCAACCAGGAGGGACTCTGTAGGAGAGCTGCCATGGATGCTTCAATCCTCATTGCTACGCAGCAATCCTCAGAGGCTCTTGTCTGAGCTTGAGCTACAGATGGTCTTACGCTTTGGCACTGTGCCTTGCAAATCGCAGATGGGACTTGGTGGACTTATGTGTGTTAGCAAATGAGACAAACCAGGCATCAATATCCCCTGCATACTGGTAACAAGGGGGATCGCATGTTGGACGAGTATCAACGTGAAATGGGCATCTATTCAGGGGATGCAGTGTTAAAAAGACCAAATATGATATATTTCACTTCTATACATATATATTTATATACATAAGTGGAAAGAGTTGTTAAAGCCACACCACCTTCCCAACTCATGATTCCTTTTTGTACAAGTTCCATGTCCCCCACCCCGTTCCCATCTCCCAACCCCGCCACCCGGCCCCACCCAGTGCCCACTCTCCCCGAACCAACCCGCCTTGTTTTCCCCCTCTCCCTTTGGTCATAGCACTGCCAAGAATTAATTAATGATATATGTATGTATGTTTAAGTATATGTACAGTGACAAACAAAACCGAGTACAAAATCTGAAGTGCCAACTTTCAAGTGCAATTACAGAAATTTCAATGATTGCATTATAAATCTGAAAGTTACATGGAATAATACACATAGTCTTGTACACATGTACAAAGTTGCACATCAAATTGATAACTAAACATCCTTCTACAAAGTCAAATCAACAACTATGTCTTGTACTCAGTATTGTTCAAAGAAAATCTTCAAACTTCAATATTTAGTCCAATAACCTTTTGCTTCCAAAACAGCTGAAATCCTTCTTGGCATACTTTTGTATAGTTTCTCACAATCTTTTGCATCAAAACTAGGGTAAATACTACAAACATTCTCCCACAATTCTTGAACACATCTTGGCCTTGGAGTGACTTGACTTAAACGCTGTTTGAGAAGGGCCCAAAAATATTCCATTGGATTCAAATCTGGAGATTGAGCTGGCCATCGAAGGAGCTGAAATGGTTGTGAAGAGAGCCAAAACTGAATACTTTTTGCCGTATGTTTGGGATCATTATCATGTTGAAAAACCACCTTAGTAGGATCTAAGTTGTAATTCTGTGTGGTACTTTGCAAGTAGGTTTCTAAATTTTTTTTGTACAAGTGTTGCTCCATTCTACCTTCAATTTGATACCAAGCACCCGGCCCAAAATCAGTCATACAACCCCAAATCATAATTGAACCACCACTATGTTTGATAGTTTGACTAACATGTTTAGGTCCAAGTCGTTCTCCTTCTCTCAACCAACACCAAGACCTACCATCTGAGTTGATTAGGTTAATCTTTGTCTCATCATTGAAAATAACCCGTCTCCAATCATCAACAGTCCAATTTTTGTATTTATGAGCAAAACTCAACCTTGCAAGAACATGTCTTTTGGCAAGTAGAGGCTTCTTTTGTTGCACACAAGCACCCAAACCAGCTTCTCTCAAACCACGCCTCAAGGTGATGTCTAAGAAGTATTTACCTATTTTTTCTCAAAGTTGTTTTGCAGCTGCACTTGCCATTTTGAGACAACCAACAGTGACAAGGTGCACACCAAGTCGCTTTTCTTGCTCTCCTAAAACCTTTGGACGTCCTCCTCTTTGCTTTTCTATTTCACCACTAATCTCCCTCCTCAGATGAGCTACTGAAGATTGACTCATTCCAAGTGAGTCTGCAACTTTTCTTGTAGAAATACCACTCCTAAGCTGCACCAATGCTTGGTGCTTCAATGATTCACACAACCAAGGCATAGAGATACAATTGACAAATCAACTTTCACTATAGATAGTACACAACAAGAGCAACACAAAAAAATGCCCTCAAATCTTGCAACAAGGAGTGTACATTGAAATTTCGAAATTCAGCAAGAAGAAGCAACCAAAACTGAGTACGCACGTCTGTGTGCTTCTACAACACTTTTCTCATAAACCCTACCTCAAATGATGATGAGATTTTTCATCCATGTAGAGGACTGGATGAATACACATAATAAAAAAGTAATTCTATCAATTGACTTATGTGTCAGTTGGAAGGATTAATGAACTATGAGTGTTCAGATTTTGTACTCGGTTTTGTTTGTCATTGTAAATATACATTTTTTTTGTTTATTAAATTTGGGTATTTGATTTTCTCTCATCTTTACGTTACAATTTAGATATCAATATAATTTATAATTCTAATTGCTTTGCAAAGCAGCAGTATATATATATATATATATATATATATGTATGTATATATACACATATAGACACTAATAAATATAAATATATAACTAAGATTATATTATCCATTTCTTTTTAGATTTAAAAAATCAAAATAAAGTATTGAATACTAATAAAGAATTGGATTGTTGTGGTTATTTCTTAATAATATATTTTTCATTATGGAAAAACCAACCACTAGTGGCTATTTATTTATTTATTGTTTCACTTCTTTATATCATGATATTATGTTTTCATTGCAATATTTATATAATCGTGGTAGAGTCTCCTAGAGAGTTCTTTTTCACGAAACCTTCGAAAGTCCGAAAATATACAATATAAAAGTTCGTAAACTCAATTTTTTAAGATCGAACCCAAAAACGATGAAGTGCTCGTTGAGCTCATTCGATGCTTGTGCCGTTGAATTATACCGACGCTTTTAGCAAGCACAATTACCGACATCTGATAGCAAAACATAGAGGCTTGTACGTGCGGAGATCGATCGCATCATTGCTGAGGGGCGATCGGTATATTCCCGTGGAATCCTAATTGCATGCCGCAATTTCGACAGTCAGTTTTGTGGCGGTTGAGAATCCTGGCACTGCCGTTGGACAGACGGATACTCAGAGCTCTAGCGAACAGCGATCACGTCGATCGGATTCCAAGTGCACGGTGCCCGAGCCGTGCGTCGACGCAGCAAATCGTCTGTGTGATGAGCTACTACCACTGAGCGGAGGGTTTAGGGCGAAGAATGGGTGAAAACAGTGCACGCTGTTCGAAGAGCGGCGCGGAGAATCTGAAGGAGCTGCACATCCGGCTACATGGCGGAGTTCTGGATCGAACCATGCACAATTAGCGGGTTTCTATCTGTAGAATATGCTTGCGTGATGTTGGTGCGGCCAGACAAGCAAATGCTAGTGACAACAGCTGCTTCTGTGTCCTCCAGAAGCGAATTCGACCGAGATGGAAGCCTCCGAGAAGCAAAAATTTGTGCGCTGTGATGAAGAGCTGCGTGATGCGCGGAGCTTGAAACATTCATGGAATCAAGCATCGTCAGCTGGATCGGAAGGTCTGCGATGCTCATTCTGGGGTTAAAGGCAACCGGAACACCCGGTCAACCGGTCACAATCGGACCCACTGCTATCGCGTCGTGCCCTTTCTTTTCAGGGTCTGCGTGATCTCGACCTTCCGTAAGTACTGAGGAGCACATCGCGACCGTCGAGGTACAAAGACAAAGGTAGGGGAACGTAAAAGATAGACCCCGCCCCTTCCCAGCGACCGCTTGCAGAGCCCCCTTGGCTGATTCCAATTCCCCTGCAGTGAAACCCTTCCTCCCCTTATTGTTGCAGTCTCCGAATGTGGCCGAATTCGGTTGAATCTTACTTCCGTTCGCTGCAGGTTCGCCGGCGTTGAAGCTGTACTACGCTTGCTCATGTGCATGCCTTCTAGCTGCGTTCAATTTGGTTAGGTCATGGGGTGGTGGTGTGGAAAATTGGCCTTGATTGGGAGTGGAAGCGTCGTTTAAGGTTTTGGCAAGATTGTACAGGCCTCGGGTGCGGGATTGGTTTTGGCGCTGGTAAGTTGATTGTTTCTGGCGCTTTTTTCCTGCTTTCCGGATAGGTTTTCATCATGCTTCTGAGAGGAGTAGGGCTTGGAGAGAAGGAGCAACGTCAGTTGAGATAGTTATCTCGTTCTTGTAAGGCAATTTAGAATGCACAGGGCTTTGTTGAGGAATTTCGTTGGTTGCGAGCTCATGCTACGCTCAGTATGGATAGCACATTTGTGGTTGGTTAAACGTGCGTATCGCTTGAGGCCTGGTAGAAATTTATGGAAATGCGTAGAGAAGTTGACGCATTTGACTTGTTCTGTGAGTGAGCGTAAATTTCTCGGATATGTTGGCGCTGCTGATTAGGATTTTTCCTATTTATTTGGTTCTAAGTCCGTCCTAGTATGTTTGTGTTAGTGCCGTGTTTGCCCTGTTTGTTTTGTTGGATCACAGCAAGTGACATTTGATTTGGAGTATTAAGTTTGCCATTTTGAGTCCGTAGGTAAATTGCGTCGACACTTTCTCCGTTGGTCTGTTCTCTGCATTAGGAGGATGTTAAATTATTAGGAATTTTGAAAATCTCTGGCGGCAGAGCATCATGAATCGTTGATTGTGCAAGTAAAGATGTATTAAGTGCCTCCATCCATCGCGGAGGTAATTCTCCTCTTTGGTGCTATAACTGAGCTGGAAGAAACAAAGAACATACGATCGGGATTAGTGAAGTTTTATGATAGAAATGGGCGTATTAATCTCGATATTGGAATCTATAGGGGATTTAGACTGTGGTCTGTTAGCTCTTCTATAGCTATTCGTGCTACTAGATGGTACAAAAAAAACTAAACAAAAGAGAAAACTTTGTAGAGTGTCATTGCGTAAGCTAAGGTTTGCTACTTTCAGACAAGACTTGTATTTGAAAACCGTTCAGAAGCTTGTTTTAAACTTTGTTTCATATTTGGGTTGATATTGCACGTGTCAAGCGGGTTAAAATATCGACTTTTTGCAGGATGAGGCGTCTATCAGGTGCAGGGAGAATGTGACCAACAATCCTGATATTTTTCAATGGATGCCAATCTATCAGTGCCAGAACCAGGTGCGGAGGAGTGATTTTGTTAGCTTTTCTGGCGTTTTTCTTGTCTGCTTAACACACTGCATTTTTTTCATTCCCTGTTATTCCTACAATTCTGGGTTTTGAACATATTTGCTTGGGTTTTCAACAATGCTAAAATTTACACGAGAACTCAATTCAGGGCACGGACGAGTTGGGAGTTCGGTAGGACACCTGGACCTTAAGGATGACCAGGATCAAGTAGAGAAGAGCGTCAGTAAGCTGGATCTGCATGAAAGACCTGACGTGGTTTCCAGCATCATGTCCACGTCCGACAATTGCCAAATTTCTTCTTTACAATATCATGAAGGTGCGTGGTGCTTTTAGTAATAACCACTAGGTGTGCTTTAATACGGAATTTACTTTGTCGACATATGCATTGTTTCGATTACATCGTCTTATTGTTCAGAAAGAGTTCAGGTGCTGAATCAATCGTAGGGAGATAGTGGTGAGCATGGGCAGCTCTTCACTTGCTTATAAATATTCCGTTAAAACCATGCAGAAGTACGAGGTGACGATTGCGAACCTGTTGCCTTGGAGGTCCCAAGCGATCCCTCCTTGCTTCAACGTCCAAGAATTCCAGGCTCTGCATTGCAATCATCAGGCATTGCTGCTCCTCCCTGTGGTAATTAGTTGTACATCGGTCACCTTTCGTTTCAGTTTGGTGGGTGCAATTGGTTATTAGTTCTCTCTTAAATGTATACATATTTTTTGGTATAGTTTATCTCTAACGCACCTTCCGCTTTTTCTTCGTTGTTTTTTTTCTATGTCCTATTGAATGCTTGTTATTAGACACTGCTTTTGTTCCCTCAGCCTTAAAACTAATTATCTTCCTCCTTCGTGGAATGCAGGCGTTGAGAAGAGGGATGTGAACAAGCGATTGACCAGTCGTGCATCAGAGACTGGGGATATAAAATCATTGAATGCCGGCGCAGGAATCAACGGCATTAATGATGGACGGGCGCCCAAAGGTAAAGACGCCTTAGAAAGATCTCTTTACGCACATCTAACATTCTGGAAGATTTAGTGCCGATATGTCGCCTCGTAATAGTTGTTCATTGATCAATCCTCACTGTCTTATGACTCATGGCATCTTGTTACTATATTGGCTCTTGAAAGTTGCGGTCGAACCATCTCGTATGTGAGTTCGTGCTAGCCGTGCTTGTGCACATATGTTTTTCACAAGATTCTTGCACTTGACATTTCTTTTTTTTCGGATATGTTTAGGCAGGATCGGTAGGGGTAGGGGTAGGGTGAAGGCTTTGCCTAAGTATTCCAAGGATGTGAATTGTGTTGGTTCTGAGGAGTTACAATCAATGAACTCAACTCAGCAGATGGGCATCAACAACCCTCCAAGCTATGCACTGCACAGCTCTCCAGTCAATAAACCTCATGCTGGTATGCCTTCTCAGAGAGAAGCTCTTAATACATATGTCATGTCATTTTTTTCATATGAGATATCGACGGGTAGGATGAGTATTATATCTGTGCCGTCTAGTAAAGTCTCAATCAACATTCAGGAGTCACGCAAATTTTACACATCAGAACACTATAATATGGTTAGTTGTTCCTTTAAGGCAATGCTGAAGGTATTTTCAACGTTAACACATCTGTATGCTACTTCCTTTCCCCAACTAATTTGCCCGTATCTTGACCCTCGTCATTTCTCAGGTAAGACGAATCCAGGTGACCATGTTGATGTCCTCAAAAGGGCTGCAGAATCGGAGGCAGCACATCAAAAGCGAACCGTAATGTATGAGGGTGATTCTAAAATCATGGAGCCTCTAGAGCGGATGCTTGACGACATCTACAACTCTCTTCAGCCTACTGAAGATGACTACAGAAGGCGCCAGCTTGTGATTGAACGTCTCAACGACCTTGTTCGGTCGTTGGATTCTTGTCAAGGTTTCTGTACTTTCCTCTTTGTATTTCATCGAGAAATATCGGTTAAATGAAGGCTCAATATGACCCATCATGGATATTAACGCTCATAATTTTGGAATTAAGGTTTGTTACCTGGGACGGGTATTGTTGTTTGTGTAGGTGTTGAAGTAGTACCTTTTGGTTCTTTTGAATCCAATTTTTACACGGCTTGCGGCGATTTGGACCTGTCTCTGGAGTTTCCTGTTGACCAGGATGTGTCACCCACTTTTACCAAATCTAAGAAAGTGAAAGTGCTGAAGAGTGTCGAGCGCGCCTTGGGTCGGTCAGGTATAGTTTCTTATGTAATTTTTGTGAAACATCGTAAGTCGGTCGTCAAGGGTGCTGTCTCTGATATGATTTCATTCGGCATGTTTCCAATTATTCTGTGATAAGGGTGTTTTTAGTTTACGTAAATCATTTTGTACAAAGCAATTGTTTGTAAGAGGTAATACTGTTGTCAGAATAACACTGGTGTCAGAATACTTCCTGGTTTTGATGGAACTGAAACCATGTGGATATTTTCAGGGGTTGCTCGGAGGATACAACTGATTGCGCATGCCCGTGTGCCTCTGCTTATGTTTGTTGACTCTGAACTGAAGATTTCTTGTGACATATCAGTTGACAATGGCTCAGCTTTGTTCAAATCACGGGTGCTTCGCTGGATCACAGATATGGATCCCAGATGCCGCAAACTCATCTTCATGGTAAGCTTCGCTTGGATCACGTGTTGCAACATTTCCTGTATGTTTGACCGACATAAGTTTAGGTTTGACAAATTCTTCTTTGTCGTGCTTCTTAGTAGAGTAGTTTGTGCCTATACTCATATTGGACATCAAAAGTTGGCAATTCCAAACAGGTTATCATTTTCATTCAGAAGATCTTGGTCCTTCGTTATTATGTAGATAGCATTATGATTTTATCGCTGACATCTTGACTGTTTACTGGCTCAAGGTTGGCTGATCTTCCGTGTACATTTACAAAATGTTTATTAAAATTACAAGTATATCTTAAGTGAAGTTACGTCCAACTCTATATGATTAATGTGTCGGAGGCCAGCACACATTTAAGATACCGACAATCTGATATAAGCCAGTGAATACAGCAGTTCAACTTTTACTGATACAATTTTAATGTTAATACAGTACTCCTTGCAGCTGCCATCCTTATCACAGCCTAACTTTCTTTCTAAGAGACTGATTAGCTTGTCGATGTTGTTAGCGGTGCAGATCAAGTGTTGGGCGAAAGCACAGTGTATCAACGATCCAAAACTGGGAACCTTAAATTCGTATGCGTTGAGTTTATTAGTTGTCTTTCATCTTCAGGTTAGTGGTATTTTGTTCACAACAGGGAACACTTGTAATCATAATAAACCTGCAATATATCTTGTCGCCTCGATTTTGAAGTCCTGTAGCGATTGTCCTGTATCGGGGGTTGTAAAACTTGAATAAGGAGTGCAAGTATGCTGGTGTAGTTTATATTCCTTCCCACATTATTATTTCCCGATGCAGGATAATATGATTCCAACAGTTAACCGTTATTAAATAGTGTCAAGCCCATGTTAGTCTGTTTTTTTTTTTTTTTTTGTTTTGTTTTGTTTTGTTTTTTTTTTTTTTCATTTTGATAGTAATGTTTGGCTTGCTAATGCTTTCCTATTAACCTTTGCAGACACGATCGCCACCAATATTACCTCCATTCAAAACTCTACTTGGAGAACATACTAGTATGCCTGTAGCAGGTGCTTTTGCACGCCATCTCTTTTTTGAAAATATATAGTTGCAGAAAGTTTCTCTGGCCATCTTCACCTACCTCATTTATTCAAAACGTGTCTGGAGAGTGCGCTTTGTAAACCCAGCCGAATAAATGCAATTTTTAGATTTTCTGTCTTACTTCACATTATTTATTTCCATGTTAAACCAACACGACCCAGTTTACGTTTTCTTTTAGGAAAACTGAACAAAGACGCACAACTACAACAAATGCAAGAGTGCTATGGACGAATTCAGGCGCTTGTAAGTGAAGGCTTTGGTCAGGACAACAAATGCAGTATAGGACAGCTATTTTTGTCGTTCTTCGGACAGGTAAGGCATCTTTTCTAAAGTAGTATGTTTTTTTTATGTGGTTCCTATTGCTTTTTCTCGGTGAGTAGCTGATTGAACGTCATTGCTATTCTGCAGCCAGTATTCTCCTTTTGTTGCACCTTAAAGACATGTCTAGTCACTAAGTAATCGTCACAATTTTCATATTTTATTAGACGTGCAGCAATATTGGTTTGCAAAGTTTTTCATGTGTGCTTGTTATTTCGGCATAGAAGCAGTGAGTATCAGGTGGATTGCGATTCTTATATTACTAATTTAATGAGTCCTTGTGCGATGCATGTTTTGCGACTTTGTGCTCATTTGACCTCACGGCCTATGAACTCAAATGTGCTCACAGTTCGCTTCTGTGAAATCTCTTTGGGTAAATGGGTTGGCTGTGTCTCCTTTTTGGGGAGAATGGGGAGATAGCACCACAACCAATCCTGCATGGAACAGAAAACAATACGCCATGAGGGTACCAATTCGATTCCTGCCCTTAAAACTGAACAGCAAGTTTAGAGCCCTAGTTGTTCAAAGTGACTTTACTCTGTCTGTAACCATCTGAAACCAATACATTCAGCGCAATCATTAGGTATGTGAGGTCTGATTGGTTATTCTATATCATTGCTTTTTGATGGATAATTGATTTTGTTGAGCTATGATGTACGGCTGGTATAGGTGGAGGACCCCTTCGATCGAATGGATAATTGTGCTCGATCAATTCAGGATGCTGGTCTTCCTATTATATGTAATAGTTTCGCTGCAGCTTTTGAGTCGTTATTGCAACCACCTGATTGGGACCAGCTTCTCTCATTACGTCAACTTCTTTTTTGCTGGCCTCCTGGTACGGCTCGACCAGATGCATATGTTCGACAATCACTTGTTCCTAACCCAGTCTGGAGATCCAAGCCAGAAATCAGAGCAGAAAAGAAGGGAAAAGAACAGGTGAAGGTGCCCAAAAAATATAGGATAGCAGATAAAACCGCAACAAGGAAGTTGAAAGAGCATTGTTCATCTAAAAATTCGTCAGATGATTTACCTTCAGGACTTCTGCCAATGTTGGAAGGTGAAACTGGTTCATTTCTGCTGAAAGAACGAGAAGCTTTTCAGGGACCAAGTCCTATTCATGTCCTGGATACTGTGGGGCTTGGGGCAAGAGTGAGTGATACCAGCCAAGTAACAGACATCCCTCAACAGGAAGGAGGTTTGGTTATAATGGAGGCATTGGGCTTGGGGTCCCAAGCAATAATGAACCCCGAAGCTGGTGTTCAGGATTTTACAGAAGAGCAGTGTTCGGTTCATCTAACTAGACGTGGAAAGACGTTAAACAAGACTTGTAAGAAAATGGGACCAGAGCAGTGGGCCGTATCTGCGATGCAGTATGCACAATCTCAGGATCGACAACCTGGTCCTGACAACTCTGGAGGCGCAGGTGTGGATATTTTCCATCTACCCAGCGGCAGTTTGCAAGTTTGTTTAGGTGCGCATTGACATGCTTGAAAGGAGTCGGACACCCTAGTTGTTGTGTTTATTTATTTTTGTTTTTGATGTCCTTAATTGCTTGGGTTTGAAATCAGGTACCGCGACATCTTGTATCGACAACGAACCAAGTGAATCCATAAAATTTCCTGGGAAGAAGCAGCAGATAAAGTCTGCAAGACCTTTGAAGTCGCCTTCAGCTGGGGTACCGCCTGGAAGTTACGAGTGTGGTCATTCCTCAGGAACACAACGGTAAGGATTCATCAAACGTTGTAGCGCTGTTCACATATCACATATTTATTATGAATATTATTGCAACTCATGGTCACTAATGTTATAATTTTTTCATTTCGAACAACTGATAATTTTTTTTGGCTACACAGTATCCAACGGTCAACAAAGGCTTCAGAACGAACTGGTCAGGAGAACATTGGAGAAGAATCAGAAGCTTCTTTCCTGCCAAGTGCAGAAAGCAGCCAGATTCAACCCAGCATACAGTCCAATGAACTGGGCAATCAACCACAGCATGGCCTCCAGACGTCTTCGAAACATAGTTCTTTAGATGATGAAAGTTATATCCCTCCCCGAAAGCCAAGGAGGAGGCCTAGGAGATATAATAAGCGACAATCTAATGCTGGCGTCAATCACGGCTCATCCAGGGACGTTGATCCAGGGTTTGTTAACCATGCTAATAACGACGCAGTTACAGGAAGACAAGGGATTCTTACACCTGAATTATTTGTGGGTGGACCATCCACACAAAGGGATTTTCCTACGTAGATAAATTAGTCTGTCAGCGGCATGAATTTTTAAAGGTAGAGACGTTCTTAAAAATTTACGGGTACAGTTTTGTAAAATGCTAGGATGTTGTAATTCCTTTATGTTATACTGGAATCAAAGATCGGCACTCTCAACTCGCCGAACTTCTGATCAATTCAATGTTTGCATGAGAAGGTGGTCATCGTAGAAACTTTTGAGAGCATTGATTTGCTGCTGCTGCACATTGTGCGTCTCCTTGCCAAGTGCTTTACAACGTGTATTTCATAATCGTTGTCCAGATACTTTGTTGGGCGTTTCACCGTTGCAAAGTAGGTGTAGGAAACGATTACAATTCGTTATATCTGTTATGGAGATGCTCTACAATCAATCCTCAATTTCATATTCTTCAAGCACTTTGATGGTCTCTTTGAACAGACGCTTGAAGCACGCTGGAGATGACGAGCGAAATACTATTTGGCTGGCTTCCATCAGCACTATGACACTGTCATATTAATTGGTTTATTTATAGGGAAACCCAACTGTTCCCAAATACGAATTACAAGAAAGAGAGAGAATCAACACGACTAGATGTGACGCAACTTGTAAATTATGAGTAACTTAATAGTATCGAGTTCTTTTTCACTTCTATAGTGAAGACCATATTATCCAAGTAGTTGAGGATTATATCAGACTTAATTTTTAATCATATGCCTAGCTCATTCTAATTTATCTCTAAAGACCTTTTTCTAACATGAATTACGTCATTATGTTAATTTAAGATTTTGTAATTTGAAAATTGATATTTTTAAAATTTAAAATTTTACACACTATATTCAATCATGTATTGTGCAAAATCCATAATCTTTTTTCCAAAAAAAGTATACATTTTTTCACCATAAGATATTTAGAATGCTGGCAAACAATCCAAATAGGATTGAGATTAGAAAAACCAATGAATTACATACAAAATAGTAAGTTACAGTGCCCACCATAACAGAGGGCACGGGCGTTCCACCATTGGGAACGTGGTGGGCATCGAACGAAGGGAAACGTAGCAACCAGCGGAACCGCAAGACAGAGAAACGAAGTCTACTTCGAAGGCTTTGACGCAGACTTAAAAAGTAGTAACCAAGTCGGAGTCCGGATCTGGAAGCTTCATGGATGAATGTCATCCATGGGGGAACAAGGAGAACGCTGCTGTTCGGGAGGCTGACGTTCCCTTCGGAGTAACAAAAACGTTCTTCTCGTAAGAAAAGTTACCCCAATCCAAAAATAGAAAATGAAAAGAAAATAACTTTATGCTTAACTTTGCTGAGGCAGGCACCAAACTTCCGGCCTTACCGAACAGCCAAACAAAACCTACCATGCACGAGACGGCATGTGGAAGGTACGAAGTGAAGCACAGCTGAGATACCCCGAATATGACGACCGAGTGAGACCGGCTTTAGGTGGAGTCCGTCCGCAGTGCTTCCTTGAAAAGCAACGACGAAATTGGTGGACGAAAAATTCGAAGGTTGAAGAAGCTCGATGCATGCAACACCTTTGCGCTTTTTTCAAGGAAATTGTGAGGAGAGATTTTCTCCGCTTCTGTTGTGCTTGCTATTGCTGAGTTGACGCAGGAACCTCTCCAGAATTTTTTACAATAAAAAACTAAATTTGTTCAAGTTGTGGAGTGGAAATCGGTGCGGTGTGCGAGTCGGGGGAGGTAATATGGCGTGTTGCAGCACCCGGATTTCACCAGGATTGCACACTTGTGCAGGAGGCGCCTGCGTTCAACGGAGCGGGAGAGCGGAGGCGTGTCTTGGAGTTTCTGTAGCTGAGGAGAAGGGACTCAGCGCATTGAGAGTGAGTAGTGAAAAGATTGAGGAGAGAAGGAAAGGCTTTCTCAAGGGGGAGTATCATCGGAAGTTTGTTATGCACGCTGTTGTTATGGAAGTGCCGGTGGTTAGGGAGACGAGAATGGGCTTGAATTTGAATGGGACGAAGGTTTACACTGGCGCTGGTGGTGCAATACTTGAAGATGTGCCACACTTGACTGATTGGCTGTCTGGATTACCGGTGAGAATTTAGGTGCCGTGTAATGTGTATTGTGAAGTGTAATATTAGTTCATTTTTTTTGTTTTATTTTGCTTGATCAGCTGCTTGTTGTCCCATGCGGACCACTTAGGTTGGTTCTTGTTGTGCAACGGTCGGCGGACTATCGTTGGCTTGCTGTTTCATCGCTCCCTTTGAGAAGTTTTCAGAAATAATTGTGCTGACTAGAATTTTTTTTTGTGGCTGATATTGACGCTTTAGTACGAAGCCTTATGGTTCTTTTATTGTTAGCATTAATACACCACCTTGCGATCGTCGTAAGTTGTTTTCGCTGTTTCCAGATTTGGTTGTTGAAGCGAATCCGACTTTGATGCGTAAATGACCAATGTATTAGATTCTCTCTCGTTTCTCGGCTCTTCCCTCCCCCCTCTCCATTACAGAAAACCTTGTTGTAGCGAAATTAATTGGAAAGTGGTGTTCCCCGTAGTTTTGAATCGCAGTTTTTAATCAAAATTTTGGTTTATTGTTTGGTACTGGATCGATAAATCTTTTTCCTGAACTTGCAATAGTAAAGAGCTTTAAATTTCACATCTATGAACGTCCTGAGTGACCCTGCTCTCTTCCACCTGCTTGAAACATGAAATTTTTGTGTTGAGCACGAGAACGTCCCTGCATCTGAGCACATACCCGCTTTCAAGGTATTTGTCAAGCGGGTGCAGATATGATGCTGGTAGAGATGCTGAGTCTGAGAGAAGGGCAGTCTTGCACTGCATAATTACATGACATGAATGGTTCAGCTTTCTTATTTTATGGCAGAAAAACTCGGAGACTTTTAAATTTGAGTGGAAGGGCGTTTTTATCACTGGCTATTATATTCTGGGTAGACTTGACGACAACGTTAAATTCATCACCATCCAAAACACCATTTTGAAGCTAATTGTTGTTCTTGGTATAGATCACTTTTCATTTTTTACACATTGTCGTAAAATTGATCGAACTTTTTCATTATGATTGCAGACCTACCCGAATCCATTGAAATACAACCCTGCATATTCAGCTGCGAGGTAAAATATCGTTTGTTTTTGTTTTTGTTTTTGTTTTTTATTTTTTGGAACTAAATCCTACTATTATTCGTTCTTGAAAACATATTCTTAGATTCTTTCTTTGTCGGAGTGGCTGTGATTCCATTGTGTATAGCAGTCTTTGTCCATGTCGATTGCTCAGAGATCTTTGCAGGGTAGCAATTATGTGCTGATTCAATCCTTTAGAAAAAGATGAGATAAAAGGGGTAGAAAGCTTGCTCTTGTGAATGAGAAGCTAGGATAAATGAAATAATAATTATAAGATACTTGAGGCTTTTTAATCCGAAGATTTTGTACAAAAATTGTTTATCCTGTCTTGTAATAATTATCGTATCTGATGTTGGAAATGCAGGCAGTATTTCGTCGAGGAAACTGACACTGTTGCCAAAGACGTAAGTTTTGTCTGCGTTTCATTACACTCCTGAAATCTGAACATAAATTCTTAGCTTAGATATGTAAAGAGTGGATTCCGCCGTTTCAGCTCTATGCAGTTTTTGCTGTTCTGCACAACAATACTATGTATTCATTCCTTCAGTCTATTGGTAAATTCGTAGTTAAATGCATTGTTTCTTCATCAACAGGTCGTTGTGAATATCAACGACGTCGGACATGGTATCCACTTCAGACGTGCTGGTCCACGAGACCAGGTACTCAACTGCTGTCATTTCCAACTTTATTCTCAAATAGTTACTGTTTTTTAGTCACTTCAGCCTATTCCTGAGAAGCTTCGTGCATTCACATGTTCCTCACTAGTATTGTCTGAATTTTACATCTACCTAGTATATTGCACTCTTTGTTCCAGTTCCTAAAATGTGATGTTCCGGTTTTACATCCTGCTCAAGGCAAAGTATTTTCAGAAATAAAATCTGATAGAGTGGTTTTATTCATTCGCAACCGATTCTATAAACGTTGCAAGATTATTTTCTGACGAGTTTTTCCTTCTAATTTTTCTTCAGATATACTTCAAACCAGAGGAAGTTAGAGCATGTATTGTTACTTGCGGGGGGCTGTGTCCCGGTATTAACACTGTAATTCGTGAGATTGTGTGTGGTCTATGGACGCAATACGGAGTGCGTGAGATTTTGGGCATTGATGTAAGTGACAAATTGGTATCTGGCTGATAGTCTAGATTTATAACTAGTGTAATCTCTCAGCAATTGTTGTAATTTCCTTTCGAGCGATTGAGGCCTGTCGATTATATATATTGAGTCATCATCCTTGTTTTACTGAAGTCTTGAGATAATGTCACATCCAAGACACCGATAATTAGACGTCGATTGACTGTACTGTGAAACTTACGCCACTATTCTTATCCGCTGCCTCAATATTTTCTATCATGACCTCTTCAGGATTGGTTATGTAGTCGGATTACTGATGATCATCACGATTTCTTCGCAGGGGGGTTACAGGGGATTCTATTCAAAGAACACTATTGATTTGACTCCCAAGACAGTTAATGATATCCATAAACGTGGAGGCACTGTACTGCAGACCTCTCGTGGTGGTCATGACTTGGGAAAAATTGTGGACTCTATTCAGGACCGTGATATTAACCAGGTTAGACAATATCATGTTCGGCGGCCTTCACGAGTACCTGTAAAGATCGTACTGTTATGTGAGTAATGTCACTATTTATGGAAAATAAATTGTTTTAAGCAATATCCTTCTAAATTTTAGTCCAATGGTAGATGTTCTTACTTCTTAAATGATTGTGAAGGTTTATATTATCGGTGGTGACGGGACCCAGAAAGGAGCTAATGCCATATATGAGGTATCTTTCAACGACGGTGTAAAACACTCCGTGCAGATGCTGTAGGCAAGCCCCAAATGAGGGTTAGGCGAATTTGAGTGCTTGCCTGGCCAGTTGGATGGGGGTTTTAAAGAATTTTTTCCTGCGGCTTGTAATACAAATATGCTCATAAAAAAATAGATCGACGTGGGATCGTTTTAGGCATCTTAAGCTTCAGACTTTTTTGCCAGTTTCCCACAGAATTGACTTCATAGCAGAATGCTCTGTTGAAGAATGTGTAACTTAAAGACGTCTTGTAAAGATCCTAATTAAGAGGTTAGCATAAATTGATTCTTGAATTGATTACCCCCAATAACATTCAGTATATGGTCTTTTACCCGCAGGAATGCAAAAGAAGGGGTCTGAAGGTGGCTGTTGCAGGCATTCCCAAAACTATTGACAATGACATCGATGTACGTCACTGTCTTTTGATATACACTTGGTAGGATTACGTGCGGTAGAAGTAACTAAGTTTCAGGAAGCTAATATTTGGATACGTGTGTGCGCAAAGACTACCAGATGACATGATTAATTATGTATTGTTTTCTTGAAGTCCAAGTGTGCCACCGTCTAATGCATATTTGTCGAATGTGGTATTTGAGGTAACAGGTCATAGATAAGTCATTCGGATTTGATACAGCAGTGGAAGAAGCTCAGCGTGCAATCAATGCAGCTCATGTGGAAGCTGAGAGTGTTCAGAATGGTCTTGGCTTAGTCAAGCTGATGGGACGCTATAGTGGTGAGATTTTTAGCAGAATACCCACCAATATTCAAGCAACATACATCAGCTGATTTGCTTTCAGGAGTTGGGACCTGAATGAATTTGCTCCCTTCTCTAATGTTATTTTGGTTTGTTTTGTAGGCTGATTGATTTACTTTGTGGCGCAGGTTATATTGCAATGCATGCAACTTTAGCAAGTCGTGACGTGGTAAGTTTTTTTTCTTAGTTTCTTTCCTTTTCTTGAGTTTTTGTAAATGGAAGGACCGCAGATTAGCTGCTTTAGGCAGAGTATAAGAAAATCATATTGATTGCAGGGAAGTTGCTGCGGGTACCTTTGATGAAACAGCTGGATCTGGTGAAAGATACTCTGATCGTTTTATGTGGTGAAATCAGGACTGCTGCTTGATACCTGAAGTACCATTCTATTTGCATGGATCGGGTGGGTTAATTGAATTTGTGCGTAAAAGACTTCGAGAAAGTGGCCACATGGTTATCGTTGTAGCAGAAGGCGCTGGGCAAGAATTGATGGCTGAGTCCACAGTGAACAATAACGACCTCAAAGACGCCTCTGGAAACAAGTTGCTCCTTGATGTTGGTCTTTGGCTTTGCACCATCTTGAAGGTAATTATCGTTGTATATTTTGTATTTCAGGTTATATTTGAACGGATTCGCATAGATCCTAGATGATGGTTTTAAAAGGGAAAAAAAGAATAAGGTTGGATCCATATCTGCACATTTATCAGGTTTATGGACCTTATTTGATTGTGTGACCACAACATTCATCTTCAGGATCATTTCCAGGCAGAGTTTAGGGAAACGCTTAACCTGAAGTACATAGGTATGATAAAATGACCAAAACCTTCATTGGTCTCTCTCTCTTTCTCTCTCTTTCTCTCTCTACCTCACAGATATCGACGTCAAGTGAAAATTTTGGACTAAACTAGCAGAAGACCTTGCGCTTGACCCAGTTTCAAAGCATCGAGATTTGACTAAGAATAAAATCACTGTGGTTTTTTAGATCCTAAGTACATGATTCGAGCGATACCGAGCAATGCTTCTGACAATGTCTATTGCACCTTGCTCGCTCATGGTGCGATTCATGGAGCCATGGCTGGTTACAGCGGTTTTACTGTGGGACCTATCAACAACAGACATTGCTATATTCCCATAAAAGTAAGAATTGTCTCTTCTTTGTTTTTATCATGGACGACGCCTATAGTTTAGCTCGGATGTTATGAATGATCTTCAGTGGATTATTGTATACTAATGTTCGCGCTTTTTGACAGAGAGTGGTAGCAAAATCTCGAAATGTGAACGTTGCTGATCGAATGTGGGCACGACTGATGTCATCAACAAACCAGCCTAACTTTTCGCGATATGAAGAAGTTGTTCAGCGGCAGCGGAAGCTGAATGCACAGAAGCAAGAAGAGGTGGAAAATGAAAAGTCAACGCTATCTTCAAACGGCGCCTCCAAACCAGTAAGCCTTCAAAACGTTGGTCGACAGAGCTAAGATTACTACACGCATTCAACGTACAGCAATGAGATCACATTCACAAGATTCAGCTGTCCGTAATCTTTTAATTTTCTTCAAACTTACTGGCAATTACAGGTGTTCTATTCATCTAGAGTTCCAATGTGCATTAGGCATCTGTGACCCCTGTGACTAACATTCTGATTGCAATATTGCCAGGGAAATGAACGTGCTACTGAGGACGAATCGGTGTTAATTCATTCAGGGGACAGGCAAGAATTTCCAGTTTCTGCTGGTGGATTGCAGCCTTCACCGATATCATCACCTGTAGCTGGGGAACCCACACCTAGTGTAGACCATGCTGCTCCGTGACTTGCCGTTTGTATCTTCAAGATGTTTGAGTCCCTGAGAACCATGATCGGACGCTCGGACGTTTTATGCCATGACGCTTACTTTTAACCGTTTGTACATAATTATGATTCGCCATTTGCTTCTGCAGACAAGAGTTTCTTATATTCTCAAATCATCCCAATCTTGTTGCTTTTCCTCTTTGAAGCTGAGAGCTTAATTGGGCTCGTCAATGAATTTTTAAGTTGGAAGGATAAATGTTCACTAAGTGCATCTAAGGAGTTGAAGTGCGGCCTCGGGGCGCATATGTCCCTGGGTAACAGTGCGTGTGCTTCCTCTTGCATCTTGGGTTGACTTCAAGCTTGGCTTTCATTGAGTCATCACTATCGATGGACGACGACGATGACGACAATAAAGACCTCACCCTGTCAGGATCCTCATAGTCTGATTCACCCCGTCTTATTTTTAGTTCACGTTTTTCATGCAGTCTGCGACGCTTGTCAGCTTCACTTTCTTCAGACTCGCTACTCGATTCGGAGATCAAAGTTACGAGGTGCTTCCTCCAGTCTTCTGATTCGCGGATGTCCTCGCGCAGCTTGGCTCTTATTTGAGCTAATTGGCTAGCTTTCCGATACCTTGACTTAATCGTCTCCCACCGCGTCATGGTCTCCACCTCAATTGATTTGTAGTACTCTGTAACGCCAGGAAATGGAGTATTGTTCGGTCTACATCTCCCGTAGATGCTAGGACCTGCAATAAGCCAGCCTTTAATGACAGTTCACATGTATAACCTAAGCCTGCTATGCTGAATTTTTGAATTGGCTCCGATTTACTTGTGTAGTGATATTGTGAAAGCTGACAGAATGAAGAAGCGAATACGTGAAGAAAGTTCGAACATGAGTTCATTACCTTCAACTTTGTAGACGCTGTATTTACCGTGAGTATCCTGCCAATCAGGACCTCGCCATCCATACCCTAGCCCAGGGTCGAGTTCAATGAGGCTCAAAGCCGGCGGATGTTCTTCATACTGGAACTGGACACCACGACACAAATGCGTGGGTGATCGATTACGCACAGGAGTGTTTAGAGGTGTTGTGTCAACGTCCTTTTCCTCAATGTCGAGTCGCCACTCAAAAGCATTTTCACCTTGCGGTGCACCTCCTTTCAACAGCTTTGGTACATTCATGCTCGAGCTTGCGCTTGCTGCCAAAGCGCAAACATTCGAGTCAAGCTCCATGGCCAATCCATAGCCTGGAATCACGTGAGGCTTTTCATCGCAGGGGAGAAATACCTCTTTCCCCGACTTGTGAGCTGTTGAGGATGCCATTATTGAACGACATAGATTTGAAGAAGCTGTGAATAAAAACAGCTTAAGATCTTGTAGAAGTTTCAATTCATTCGATGGATCGTCTTCATTCGTCTCTGAGGTATCCCCTGTCCTTGTTTGTGTCATGACGCAGTCTTGGCCTTCGGATTCAAGCTGTTCTGAGACACAGGAGTCGCTTGATGCCACTTTGGACAGTTGTAGCACTGGTGAAGTTTGTATTATTGGGTCCTTCACAGGTAATTTATCGTCTCTCTGAGTATCTGGCGCTGGATTTAACGCATCTCTAGATCTCTGCAATTCCTCAAACCAGAGCGCTGCGAAAGAGGTGGTCTTTTGGGGACATGCTGAATCTTGCGACGGAGTTGGAGCACTGATCAGAGATGCCATGCCTGGAATTCTGCAAACAGATGCTATTTCTTGGTGTCTTCGCTTTTCTTCGGTCCAACCAGTCGAGCTCTCATGATGTAGAACTTGCTGTCTTTTGTATAGGTTGTTGGACTCTTCCTGTGTTATCCTGATGGCTCCTTTCTTGCGAAACTCCTCTGCCAAGATGAATTCCACTTTCGCCATCGCCTCCTCTACGAACTTGTTTAGAATGCTGTCATAATTCATCTGCGGAGTGAATAAGAGAGATTAAAATCTGCTTGAGCCTTAGAATCTTGTGAATCCAACTTCAACAATCAGTGGCACTTATCTGCGGATGCGACAATTGCGAAAGTGATGAGAGACCGCTTAATACAAACCTGGAATGTATCATCGACTTGAGTGACGACAGTGCGCTGCGAAATCGGACAATTCGATGACATTTTACACCAGCTTCGTACACATGTGTGCACGATTAAGAGAGTTCCTGCCATGAAGATGGTGATTGCGGGGAGTATGATCACCAGGTATTGCAAATAGTTCTCCATGTCTTGTTAATTCACCATTAGGTTAGCTTGTGTCTGGCTTTTTAATCATTTATGCTGAGCTCAGATTAGGTGACTCCTTCCCTAGCACACCTTATGAGGAGGCACAGAATCGTGTGCAAATTAGTTGCTGAGGATTGCTTAGCTATGAATTCCTTGTCGACATAGCCTTATGGCAAGCCATAACCCTTGTCAAACTAAGTAGTGACCGTAGCACACCCATCATGGTAATCGTTTTGCCATAGAACTTTTGTTGGATTTAATGATCCGAGTAGCGTCACGGTATTCCTGTAGATTTTAGGCATGCCGCAACCACCTTCGGAGCCTTGATACCCCACTAATCTGGCAGAGCGTCACACTTCGACTTCGAACTTATTAGCGTTACCACAACAATGTTCGGCCCACCTTTTGGAAACGTTTTCTCAAATTCAAATTTGACCTCAACAAGCTACCTCTCCACACGAGAAGAAACTTGATCGTAAAATTCTTTAGTCGCTTCATTGCTGCTGATGATGTCCAAAGGACTAGAGGGAGTTTGGGAGAGCTGTAACGTTCCTTCTGTATTAGATCCCAAATAAGACGTTCTTTGCAACCAAATGGCATGGAGTATTACCCAAACATCTTCAACAGAAATTGGTCGGGCCCAGTATCACCAGTTCGAACCTTTGGACTCTAGTTTGCGGTTTATAACGCTCAGCAATCAAAGGTCATTTGCAACAATTATGAATTGAGAGTTAGTCATTACAAATGTTACAAGATGTCAACTAACAACAAGATATGAACGACCTGGCTAAATTACTACGCAATATTTAATACAAATATTATGTACAAAGTGTATATACAAACATTATTTTAGTAATTTTCAAAGCATTGGTAACCAAAACATTTTGAAGTATGGTTCTCGAAATTCTGAACCATTGACGTGGAAATTACCAAGAGTCAATCAGACTAAGCGGATTGTGTCCTCGAAGATCAGATCATGACGACCAGTGCACCACTGATCTAGACTTCTCACACTGAGTGCCTAAAATTCTCATTTGGCCCAGGACTTACAATCGTATAATCACCGCCTCTTTGCTCCGACACTTCCTGAGAAATGGGGTGAGTCTGGATGCACACCCAGACGTTCAGGACAGTGTAGAAGACCTCCATTGTTTGTCCTATGAGCCAACCGCGCAGCCTGGCCTGCAAATCATTCATCACGTCTACTGCTTTGAGGTTCATCGTTATATATATATATATATATATATAGATGAGAAAATAGGAACTCTACGGTACTTTTTACTTAAGAAAACATAGTTGCGAGAGCAGTCACATCATTACTGCCGTAATCAAAGAACGCCAAGCAGAAAGGCCTCAGAAACCCCAGGACAAGGTGCAGATTAAATGGCTTCAGAACAACTTGCACAATGGTTGCAGACACGTCATGAAACATGCACCTGCATACCTTTTTGAGATATTCCAGTGCGGATTAAAAATAAGCGAACGATTAGGTTTGTTTCAAGTCCTCTCATCCCAGTGATCAGCAAGAAGGTAGACACGTTGCGATGACACTCATTGAACACATCAATCAACCGCATTCAATGCTTGACTGAGGTATTCCAATCCATTCTATGGCATGCAAATCCTTTCTTCGAACTAGCCTAGTCCTGAACAATGCCGGGCATTCTCTGTACTTGTGTGAAATAAATCACCCTGTGGCTCTGGCTTTTCCATAGCTATGGCATTGCCAAGTCACGAAGAACAACTGTATCACCTAGACTTGAGTGACACCAAATAGCGTACCAATTGCTGTAGGTAACACGAACTGAACTTGGACTACTGGAATCACCTCAAGCTTCTCTAGGAAAAAAGACAGTGCAAAAAGAGACAACAGTTCCGTGAGCTTGTCCTGTGTAAGAGCGCCCGTCATAATCATTCGCATCATGGTGTGCACCCTCTTATAAAACTGATTCCGGCATTAGAGATGCCTTATTCGACGTCACTCACCCAGGACACTACAACCCACATGGATTTCGAAAAACGTATCCCTGACACCGTGCAACTGTTCACAAGTCATCTGGATAATGCCATCTGAAGACTCTTGACCGCTAAGCCAATTATAGCATCCCACACACAACAGTACCATCAGGATTCTTTTCATTTCTACCTCTTCCGTCATCTGCTCCTCGTCTTTCTCGATTCTGAAGCTCTTGGCTGTTTCCTCGTCCACTGAGACTTGGGACGTCTGCACTCCATCAGCAACAGCCTTAATCTCCCGGTACAATGCCGCCAACTGGTTCTGCAACCGTTCAGCTGCACCAGCTCCACCACATCGAACAAGCATTTGATTCAAAACTTCCACCTGCATGTAGACGCTAAATCCTTTCAACTCAAGCTCCGATACCAACACCAACGCAGTTCAACTACAATGCCCTCCGCCGAACACTAATCCACAAACCATCGTCGAATCCTACTTTGGGTACTCACCTATCCTCAACCCTCAACAACTGGGACCCTAATGAACGCCTTACAAACATAATTACACTAATCCAAAACCAGACCAAGAGACGTTTTAAAATTATAACCCACCTGACCTGGCAGCGTCCCCTCGATGTCATCAAGGTTGCCAGCAGAAACACTCAAAGTGGACAGAAACGCTTCGTCACCCTGCACATACTGAGAATCCAGAACCGATACAGACGTGTCTAATCACCTTTATCCATCACAGAGAGATTACAGTACCGAGGTGAAACGATCACACACATCTACAACCAGAGAATAGTTAAACATCAAAGCCATCACCTGGAAGATTGTGCATGCCCTAGCAAATCTACATGCCTTGCACAGAAACACTTGGTGATTCACTCATTTCGAACAATACAATCAACCATCTTCCAGGTCTCTCTGTACACGGAAGTCTAAAGAATTGTGTCTAGTGCGAAAAGAGTTGGGTTGTCAATCAGAAAGGAAAACTTGTCTGAGTTTCTACAACATGATACTTTTCCAGGAGTGTGTTTATGAGGAGGCCAGGTATTTCAAAGGTTTCTGTTTGTGTGGGTAACAGGTCGAAAGTGTCTCAGGTTGGGTTTTAGTTTCGGTTCTGACAGCAGCAACGACCGAACATTTATTTATTTTATTCGAAGCAGCTGAATCTTTTACTTGTACTGGCTGAATATGAGCAGAACTTCCGCTCACATTCACAACATTCAGCAGTTTTGCTTGAAATGGCTTTACACTTGTTGCCAAATCAGTTGAAACTCGAGGTGAGCAATCCACGTCTACATGAGAAAGGTTAGAAAAAATAAGACATTTGCTAGTGGGCGTCCCTCATCAGAATCGGACGCTGTGGGCTGAACTTTTTTTAAAATTTTAAAAGAAAATACTTCTTTTTTCTTACACCAGTTGCATTAATCTTTTATATAAAACAGCTCAAGTCAGGAGATAAACCAATTGGATAAATCTAAGGAGACAAAAACCATTTCTAATTGGTTGCATATCTCATTTTCTAATTGATTGCATATCTCATTGTTTCCATAACTTAACTTTTGATCAATCAAAGATCAAAATTTGCATGCTATTGTTGAAGATTGCCAAGAGTAGTATTGCAAGATCACTAAGTTTCCAATAGTAAATTTAGTAAATAATTTTTAATTCATATTTTTCATTGCCAACAACACATGTTTCCATTAATATCCAATAAATATTTAAATCTAAGAGCACAAAGTACAACTTGATCTTCAACATGGATGTATTTTTCTCAATTAGTGCATGTAAGATTATATGACTTTGTTATTTTAGATTGTATTTGTATTTTGTTATAAGTAATTTTTGACAACATTTATTCACATTCAATAACTTTAGAACAAACAAATTGTCTTACTAGAGAGTTATTTTATATTTCATTTTGAACATAAAAGGATTTTTTTGTGTCAAAATAATCCATTTGTGAATCTTATAGTAGAGAGTTTGCGTTACATAGAAGCATTTAAATGCCTAAATTATAATGAAATTTTAGTAGAAAAAATAATTATTTTTATAATAAAGTCTTTTAACATTTGTATTGGTAAAGGTGAGAGACCAACTTGTGATTAAATTAATGTAATTTAGTTTGAATTTTCATATGATAATCTAATTATCTTTATATACCTTTACTAATAGAATGACTTAAGATAAGCAATTATCTTTGTCTTTATTATTGCTTAAGTATTGCTCCATTTATTTTGATTAGAAAAGAGTTTTTAAAATAAATAAATAAAATGATTAGTAATAAGATCTATCAACTTATATAAGTTATGTTTAGAAGTATAGAAGAGGTGATTTTGATTAGATTGCCTACTTTGTTCTTCTACTAAATCTAAGTGACTTGCTTTTAGCATCTTCAATATTACTAGGCACATGACTTAGAGGCTATATATTTCTTATATATCTCTTAAATTTGAATTCAAGTGATCTATTAATATCTTGATTTGATCCTAAATTTCAACTTAAAATAGTTGTCATATGCAAGACAATTTAAAAGAACTTATCAAAAAAATCTTTCATTGTAATCTTAGTAGAAGTTTTAATCAATGATAATCTATTTTCAATTTATAGGTTTTAAATTTCTTTAGAATAAAAATTATGATTCTATGATTAGACTATACACATTCTACTAAATATAAGATATGAAAATAGAAGTTGAATTTGTCTATTCTTTCTTCTAAACATGCTTTTAAATAAAACTATCTTTTTTCTAATTTTTGTTTATTTTTCTAATATAATTTAATCTTAAATTTTCCTGACTAATTTTATTAATCACTATAAGAATCAATTGGATAGGATGTTCTCTCTTATAAATTAATAATATTTCCAAAAATAAGAAAAAAAAATTCTATTTGATATGTAAAAAATAGTTTTTTTTTTTTTTTTTTTTTTTTTTTTTCCTACCTTTTCAAACTCTCTATTGAAATAAAAATCCCACAAATCTACAAAATTAGTCAAAAGAAAATAATTCACAAAATATTATTTTCAACAAATGCAACTTTCTATTCTTCTAATATGTTTCCAAACTCACATGTTCTTAAATTAACATGGTAATCTAAAACAACCTATTATATTGCATGACTTCTCTTGACTTGAGAATCCTCTTCAAATGAAAATACATTCTTTTCCATTCTTTTAACTTCCTCTTTACATTACCTTTGTCAAACATTCCCCTTATAAAAAAAAAGGGGAATGTTAAATAGACCCAAGTTTTTACTAAATCAATCCACCCATCTTAACTATCATGAAAAAAAATGACCTCTAGCTTCATCATGAAAACCAACCACATTACCATATTTTTCATATTAAGGATTGGTTGATTTTGTAAAACCATGGATCTGTTTAACATTCCCCTAATAAATAAATAAAACTAACAATCAATCTATCTACAATCATCTCAATTCAACTCTAAACTTTATCCTCTGCAATCCTGCGTGCAGGCGCTGGTGCTAGCAACGTCCCTCCACACACTTCGTTCCGAAAAAACGGAGATCCCTCTCGTCGAACTCCCTGGAAACATCTAAGGTCTCGTCTCAATTTCGGGTGGGGCTTTAACCCTACAAGTTACGGATTCTTCGATCTCGCATCGGGGAACTGCAACGTGCAGGGCAAGGAATCAGGAAAAGGAATCCAAAGTTGAAGACCAAGATGAGAATTTTCTTTCTGAGCACCCGTCAGGGCCACCCTCGTAACTTCTGTTCACATCCTCTGCTGTCTCTCCAGCATCATCCTGTGCTTGCACTATCCACTCCCAGTATCCAAAAGAGTAAGTCAGGTCGTACCCAGCTCATGACTTCATGTACTGCACGTCCATCTGAGGCAGCACTGGTGTTGAACAAGCCCCAACTTGCACTCCCAGCTTGTAAAGCTGCGGCACCACAAGTACATAGCCATGTACGTATATATGCGGAGCGACAAAAAGTAAGTAAGTGTGTGTGTGTGTGAGTGTGTGTACCCAAGCAGATTCTACATCGAATACATTGTGCTCTACTTCCTTGTGACATGCTAAACCCATGAGAGCGTCCCAGTACTTCAGATGGATGTCACGGGAATCATTTGCAGTCTTGAGTGAACATACAACAGCACGGACGTAGGAAAACAAATACAAAACAAAGGAAGAGGAGGATGACCAGTTTTTTAATTCGTTTTCTTGCATTTCTCTGATATGATAGGAAACACATACAGCGTAAGAAAGAGTACTGAGAAATGCATTCACCCGACACTGAGTTGTAGAGATGAGTTGCCAGGCAAAGCCCTGGAGTTTTTGAACTTCCGGGAAAAGAAATGCCACACGAGTATAGAAGCCAAAAACACTGCGAAGGCAAGTGCCAGGAATGATGATGCCAAGTACTGAGGTGAGTTTAGGTGGCGTTGTCGAGAAGGCACCCCTCCCACCACATCACTTATGCTCTCAGGACACCCTTCCTCTCATCCATTCAAAAAAATGAAACTCTGCACACCTTCTAGGAAGCATAAAAAACTCACCTCAGTATATATAGATATGTATATTTGTATATTTATATTACCCTTTTTGTAACATTTGTTAGAAAGTTGGAAATTGAGTTGTGAAAAATCATGATATTCTGGTGTTAAGAATACTGGGTTTTGAGCGAGTTAGCTTTGCCAATACTCACAATTTTATTCCATTGATGTTACGAGACAAGGCTATAAAAAAAATCCCTCAAATCAGCATCATATAAACGCCATCCTGATTCCGTTCTAATCGCTAAATCACCTGCATACTTTGTTCCAGTCTTGTGATCTTGTGAGTTTCATACACTTATGGTCTTCAAGGAAGGCATCAAACTATGAACACGGAGAAATGCTGACGCTGGCGGTCACCATCTTGAGCAAAAGGTCGATGCGAGGCCAGCTTTGACAACCAAACTGCTTCTTCGTTTTTCAAAAGAATCGCTTTGGCACATTCAATGGTGGTGGGGTTTCACCAACAAGAGCTTGGGACGGATGTAGAGGTTCTGTAGTCAGGTTCCAGAGAGCGTAGACCCAATGATCCTCGCGAGGATTGCGACTACAGGATGTGAAGGTTCTCGGAGAAACCGCAGTGAAACTACGAAAAGCTGTGCCCATTAATTCGTCACCTTGGCTGCTGGGTTTTTCTCGAGTGCTGGCCAGCGCCACAATCCATTGCAGAGGAAGGGTACAGAGCCATTTGGCAATGCATCACACTGCAAACTGGATTTTGACAGCAAAGAGTCGGCCGATTGCGGCAGACTGCCACAAAGTCTCCCTGTTGTTGACAAATCGTACTCGGCTAGGTGGGAGACTGACCAGGCCGTCGCCCGATTCTGGCACACAGGCGAGAGCAGGTCGCCCCTCTTGCATTGTGTCCCTGGAAGCTACGCCCTATTGCTCCTCCTCACTCTCTCTCTCACTCTCTCTCTCACTCTCTCTCTGACACATGCAGCATCGAAATCCACCGGCTTCAATCCCCTGTCACCTGTGACCATGGCCACTGCACGAATCCCTGGCTTTTGTTCTAGATCTACTGGAGTGCAAAGTAGTGGAAACATGGTGTAGATAAGCGTGAGGCGGCTCTTAACTTGGGTCACCAGTCTCGGATTACTAGAAGTGAGTCTTTCAGTGCGGGCTCCCCGAAATGAGCTTTTCCCCCGCATGGAACTGTGTGGTAGGGAAGAGATTCTTCAATGTGCTGATGGGCCTTAGGGGATTCTCACCGGCTGCGTTGCCCCCATGCACGCAGTAATTATTTAATTATTTATTTATTCGTTTTGATAGAGTTTTCGACGAGTAGTTTGAAGCTTTGGAAATTTCGATCGTGAGTCATGATGTGCCAGTGGTGGAAGAAATAGCTGATTGGGTGCATGGAGGAGGTATGACTTAGGTGTTTGTTGTTAACAACTTCATGCATCTTTGGGAGTTGAAGTGCAGGGAGGCAGGCAGGGGGGTTGACTGGTTTGGGGTTTTGTCGTCTTTGGTGAAGTGAGTGATCGTGGGGGGTTGTGTGCAGGGTAGGGTGGGTCGTGAGAGTGATTGGTGATTAGTGGGATGCAGGGATGTAATGAGCCTGCCATAATGTCGCGGCGTTCGGTAGGGGAATGGTGTCAGCTCGCAGGTTGTGACAAAGAAGTGGTTATTTGTTGGAGCTACAGCATTCCTTAAATGCAAAGAAGATGAGTAGTCTCTCGCAGAGGTGATAATCTCATTTCTCGCAATGTCCTCGTCTTTGTCTTCGCATTCGTTTTGTTTGAATGTCTTGCAGTGCGGAACCTTGCTGGTAATGGGGTTGAATGCTCACTAATGAGGTCAATACAACCCTCCGACTCTACAACGTTACATGGACCACCAGACTATTTAATATTACCATTCTCTCGAATGTCTTGAGATCTGCACCTTGGAGTGGGTTCCAATTTGTGGAGTGAGCAATGCTGTGGTCTGCTGTTAATAGTCGAGAATGATAAGCGCTCGGTGTTCATTCATTGAACTTTCGAAGTTAGTGTCCGGATTTGGGTCTGGGCGTCCTTCCGTCACACACGTTCGAAGCTTACTTCAAAGCTTTTCCCAAGATCAGTGCCCCTCGCATTGTGTAGCTCTGGGGAAATGTTCTCACTTATCTTTGTGGGTTCGGAAGTGGCATACAGGGGTGATTGAGGATCACAATGTTTCTGTAGTTAGAACAGCTTCTTCCCCATCGCAGTTCTTTCCATACTGGACACTAACTTTCTTCTCACTTCACAGTTGGCATGAATGGACTTGATCGCCCTGCACCTGTATATCCTTCTCTTTCCTTGTTTTCCTTCTCTTTCTCAAACTCTTGATTATGGAGTTGGCTTCATCGCCGTCAGAATCATCACCCACCTTGCAGGCGCAGGTCAGAGTTGCATTCCGATGACTGAAACTTTCCAATCTCGCGGGAATCGCCAAGGCGTAAGCTCGGCTTCCGTCTTTACCCTCGAGCATTGCGCATTGTGAGGCGAATGAGATGGAATAGGTCAAATGCATCATGCAACTATCTCCGAAATTATCCCAGCACGAATCTAAATAAGGAAATCTCTGAACCGATTGTCCCTTTCTTTAGGTTCGTTGGGCTGATGTCGGCTGTCATCGCCCACCTGGCGGTGTTGGTATCTTTTCCGAGTCCGTAGCCACTCTCTTCTCCTGAACTTTGTCATGAGGTTGAATATGGTTGCTACTGGTCCACCATGGTCTCCTCGAGATGAACTGACACTTTGCCCTCATTCATACATTTTTTCCAGATCGTACTGTCCTTCACACATGATGAAGGACTCCTTCCATGCCCCTACTTTTGGAAGCTCTAGCAGCCTGAATGTGCTTCATGTGTTGTTAGGTGGTGAGGAGAGCCGGGAATGAAGGTGTAGCGCCTCGTGAAGCTAGAAATGTTTTTATTTCATCATTCCACACTTCTCTCTTGTTCGAGTTGCGGCATTGTGCTGCGAGCGTCCAATCGGTTCAATGCTAAGATCGCTCTTCCGCTGAAGAAGCTCATTTGAGTGCCAAGACGATGACGCCGTCTCTTACTCAAGCCACAGCATTGGAGGCAGAGCTGGTGCCAGTGGTACTCAATCCAGAGGCTGGCCATGCAAACGACGTTGCTCCGCCACCTTTCTTATTCGATACTAGCAGCGCGCCCGTGCGTGTCTTGATCGACAAGTTGAGGCTCCCCTCTCGCCATGACTCATGTGACGAGGAGGAGCCCAGTAGCTCCACCATCCGGCTAGCACATGCTGCTACTGGCCGCTTAAAGGAGGTGACTATTGTGCCAGGAAATGTAAGACACTGCGGAAGAGTTATCGAGAATGGTGTTGAAGTATACTCTGTTGCAGAGCTTACAGATCTAATCCAAAGTCAGATTGTGGACCTTCCAGACATCACCCCGGAAGTTTGCGATGAGCTACCATCTAGCAACCCACGCCTCTGTGAAGCGGTGCTGCGGTCTGTCTTTGCACCTAGAGGGCCAGGGGAAAGCCTGGAAGATTGTATGAAAAGCGCCGATGTTGTGAAGCAGGCCTTCACTCTCCAGGCCAATGTGTACGCGAAGGCCGAAACTCGCGCTCTCAAAGTGGCTCAATATCGGAGAGCCGGTACGTCGCAATATCTCACATTCTTTCAGGTGGTATAAGCTATATACATGTTTGAAATCTTACCGTCTATTTTGGCCTGTGGATTCTGTCTGCTGCCAATGCAGAGTTGCAGCTGAAGCTGGAATCCCTACAAAAGGACGACGACGCTCTTGTTCCGCCCACCCAATTTCATGATCCAGTGGTGTACCAGAGCTGGAAAATGGAGGAGCTACAGATTCTCTCCAACCTTGTCGACCTCTTCGGCAACCTTCCCTCCTTCTCCGGTGGTGTGCAGGTGAAGATTCTCTCGGTGGAAGGATTGAAGCTGGAAGCTACTCCAAAATGTGTTGCACCGATGTTCAAGAAGAAGGTAGTTGAGAGCCGTGTATACTGCTCTGTGACGATTCTGCCTGCAAGACCCGGAAACATGCCCTCGCCGGTGGAGTCTGAAGAAGGCACTGTTGAAAGGACCCCTGCATATTTCAGCGAGGTCGTCAATTGCATTGGGGATGCTGAATGGAATTCCCAGTCACCCTGGATTCCTATTTGCAGGTTCTCCTTCTATTCCTTCTCGGCCATAGGTGTTAGGAAAATCTTTGTATTGCTTGCACTAGAACGTGTCGGTTGAAGTGATCGAGACTTGGCATTAATTTTAAGATCGAAACAGCGCATAGTTTTTATTTATCTATTTATTTTGTCTAAAGAAATTCTTATAATTTGTTACACCTTTGAAAGAAACGAATGCTCATGAAGAGCTCGACTGAGAAGAGTGTGATGGTGGACTGGCTGTTCACCGGACAGTTTGCAGGATAGGATCTTGATTGAAGTTTGGGAGAAGTCTGAGAATGTGGTTAAGTGCGAAGAATCTGAACCACAGCCAGCCCCACAGCCACAGCCAGAGGTTGTCATTGAGAGTAATAAACTGGAAAACATCCGTGGTATTTTCAAAAGGCGGAGCACATCAAGAAGAAAGAAGGTACTTTCAGAGAAGTCTCAGAGTGACGAAAAAGTAGTTGAAACTGTAGTGTGTCATCAATTTCGTGATGAGAGTTGAGATACTCTCTCGTGGCTACTTAGGGATTATCAAGGAAAAAGGCAATCGTGGAGTAGATGGACGCTCAGAGTTGTGCATTTTGTATGCCTAACAGTTTCGGTATGAGACCTTCACCAATATTCGTTCTCAAATATTAGTGCCTCGTCTTTGTGGATGCTTAAAAATCATAACCTGCTGCGGAGAGTACATGGCAGCTATGCAGCAATTTCATAGGGGAATGATTGGTGGATGTGCTTATCACTTAAGTGTCGTCACAGGTAGCGCCATGGAGTGGAGATATTTTTCTTGGTCAGGTGATCGTCTCATTCAGCCACATAGAATCTCAAGCTCTAGCTCATGGAGGTGTACAAGGGCAATCTCCTGCGACATCATACATGCTTGCAGATGAGAGGGGGAAACAAGGAAACAGCACCTTGCAACTTCAGTTCACTTGTTCCTGCGAAAGATTCTACCGGTACGACGAAGCTTTTCAAGAACAATGAATGCTGCAGTAGCATCTCTACGAAAATTTCCTCACCATTGTAAGACTTACAAAGTGATTGCCTGACTCAAGCTCTTAGCACATGCAGGGAAGCGCCCCCAAACAAGCTTCTGTTAATGCCTCCTGTGGAAGAAATAGAGAGTGCCTTCGACAATTTTGTGCGGTTGGCCTTTCATGCTGAGGATGAAGGTGCTTACTGTGCCATTACCAACTCTCCTGAAACGAGACATGCAGCTGGAGTTTCTTCTAACAAATTCAAATCACACCCTCTGGCTGTGCTCGAGTGGGGGACTAACTTATGCTAGGTTTGTGAATCTGTAGCTCTATTTCAACTTGGACCGCAATGGAGGCAGATAGTTTATGGCTTTGGAGCACACTATCGGATTCGGGGAGAGAGATGTGCTTTAGGCATGGTCAACGTAATGGTCGGGCTATTTCAAGAGGATGCCCGTTATTGCATTGGAATTGTGCCCGAGTGGTTGCCAGTGTGTAGTGCAGCCAAGGAGGGAACGTTAACAAAGAATGAGCTTGCACTACATTGCCACATCGTTGTGTGTAAGAATTCTTGTACTTTTTTTTGTATTCTACTGTTCGATAGATTAGGTGTTTTAAGCGATAAATGAAGACCTTTCCGTTACTGTGCATTCTCTCACCAATTTGTGGTTTGTTTCACTCTTGGTGATTTGAGTTTGAAACCTTAGAAGGATCGTTTGCTAGTCCAGGCCAGGTTCTGGCAATCCGTGGATTAAATCCTCCAGAGATGTGAGGTCGTCGAAGTTGCTCGAAGTTTGCATGGCCTTGCCGCTGACAGCCATTTCTTTGTCTTTGTTTGGGTAGCACTTATGAAGCCACTTGTCAACGCTCTAGAAAATTTCCAGACTCTATTCCCTGGTAACAAGCCGAAGGGAGCGATTTCTCGGCTTGTAGAGCTACTAGGTCTCTTGTTACGCTTGGAGCCAGATTTTGACCATATTTTAATACCTCTCAAGAGCTTCATACAGGTAATATTTGGATGGTTTTCCTCATTCGCATCCATCGATAAGGCTAAGCATGCTAGGAGTTAAAGTTGGTCATGTCTAGAATCTCTCATACGTGTTTGATAAAATCATGTAAGCTTCACCTGTAAGCTTATCTTGGTGTTAAAAGTTTTGACTTCAGCAATAACAGGGTAGAATACTAATTACACCAGCGTTGGGGCTACACAGAATTCTTGTAAGAAGCGGTTATACAAGCATCTCTTTAAAGACACAGCTGACAGAGAATTGAAGGAGTTAACTGCTCAATCGCTGTTAAAAGCAGTGCAACTAGTTCGTTCTGACCTTGTAGAGCTGAGTACGACTTACACGGGAGCTTTCCCTGATGGATTTAATCTACCTCACGTTACGGGTCTCATGTACTACAAATTGGTATGCACCCTGAAAATTCCAATTTCTTTTGTGATCTACAAATTGCAACTGTCATGTTGTCATCGTAAACTATTTTTAAATGAGGTCACTTTCTAAGAGTGAACAGTGAAGACAGCTTACAACATAAATTCTTGATTGCAGTTTCTGCAGTGATTTTAATGCTGTAAATGGAGTTCTGAGGTGTATATATACATTTGTGTTATTCAATTTGAATGGTTTTAGTGTTCAACGATGTAGGTGTGTCATTATATCTCAACCTACATGAAAGAGAGCTCACCGTCGATCCTCACCAAAGAACATGAGGTACTTTTAATCATTTCCCGAGGCCAGACTTACTTATTTGCATTGTTTGTAACGTATTGGTATGTTACAAGTACGGTGCTGTATGAATGTGATCTTGTTCTTGACGAGGACTCTTTACAAGCTTCTGCTGTGAGCCTCCTTTGCTGTGAGTTATGAAAGGCCTTATTTTTTTAGTTTTTATTTACTTTTATATGATTGGTATGAAATAGGAATATCTGCCGTAGCATCTGTAACTACAGCATCAGTTTTTATGGTTACCATCATTCAGGGATTACTTTAGAATTAGGCGGCTGCTAAAAAATTGGGGTTTGAACGTGAGTGCGTAGTGAAAAACAATGATTCTATTATGCACTAATGTAATGGGTTATAGACGTTTGTAGCAGGAATGCAAATGAAAGTATCATTTGGGTCTACAATCGATGTCTTCATTATTTTTAATATATTTTTTTATTGGTCCAGGAGATGTTAAATGAGTTTATTCTACTTCGGGGAGATGTTAGAAAACTCGGACTTCAAGTCCAGGATTTTGGCATTGAGTCCCTCTTCAGTGATCGCCTGGAGCATTGGATAGGTTCACTGGCGCCTCGCTTGACAGAGTAAGTTCAATCATGATATGTGATAAATTCACATCTACTTCGATGAACGGTCTGATCAATATTTTATTTTTTCTAATACTTCTAACTTCCCTTTCTCTTTGTGAAGCTCCTCGAATAGAAGCCCAGAGCACGTTTCAAATTATCCTGAACTGTAGGATAATGTTCCAGGGTCTTCTCTGCCAATATTGTGAAAATCGGGTCAACTTTTTGGTAATCAGAGATGCAAATATTGTCGTAGTGATGTTCATTTCTGTCCTACATAGTTGACAGGACTGATGGGTTTTATGGCAATTTACAGTCGAGTGGACTCCATAATTGGTAGAGAAACTTGGGAGCCTCTCTCTACTATGCCTTCGATCTCTTCCTCCGTCAATGGTATGCAGAACAAAGAACTTTTCCAGAACTCTTGCTTTATTTCCTCTAGTTCTAGGTTTTAATTTTCCAATTTCAAATGGGGTTAGACAGAAAGGCACTGATTGTCCTTAATTTTGGAAGCAGATTTATATGCCATGATCGGTCAAGTGGTAGATGAGGTTGCATCGCAGCTATCCTCATTTTCATTCAAGAATGAATACATCTACAAGCTGGTGTTTGGTTTATGCAAATGCGTCCAGGCTTACGTTGAGTCACTTGTGAAACTGTGTTTACAAGGACTATCCCGTGACATGGGCGAAGGCCATGGCAAAGGTCCCGAAAATTCATCGTCTCTTTGTGGTTTCTTGAGAGCTACATATATTCAGGTAACTTACAATCTTCGCATTTCTTCGTGAACTTGATCAGCACCTTCCTTAATCCTCATAGGATCTTCCAGATCCAGAAACTTTTCTTTCACTTTTCTTTAGCACGTGGTGAGTAATTTTGACTGTTTGTGTGTGAGATCTTCTTCTCTTTAACCAAGTACCTTCCGTGAAATAAAGTGGTTGCTTTTTATTTTTGTCAATTTTTAATTTTTAATTTTTAATCTTTTTTTTTGATGAACCCTTTAATTAGAGCAATATTAAATCAGTCAAAGCTCCGAGAGTTTGGAATGGACTATGAAACTCGTGCAACTGTAAATGTCAATTGTCTGGTGTTGATCAAGTTTGAACTTGGACATCTGCAAGGTCTGCCATGAAAACTTTGCGATATATCTATATCTTTATTTATATATATTTTTTGACTTAAGTGACTAGATATTAGTCGAACTTACTGGTTGTATGTTTGTTTGTACTCAGTTGAACAACATTAGTGCAATCCTGGAAGAACAAAAGAAGTTGAAGTCTGGTCTTTATGCCAAGTGGCAGAGTGCTGCAACTAGCAATGAAATTAATGAGGAGTTTGCAAAGTTAGAGGACTTGATTCAACAGGTTCTTACAGAGCTTATCGGTGCAGTTTTAGAAAATACACAGGTGAGGTAATCAGGGATATCTCTTTGAAAGTATGGTGCGTTTACCTCAATATCAGCCTGTTCATTTTCTCCATTGAAACTCATCAAACTAGTTCCAAGCCATTGAATTTTAAAGTTTTACTTCATTTGGGCGCATGTCCCAGGATTTCTACGGTGGTTGATTGTTCCAGTGTGCGTTGCTTGAGACGATTGATCGTTGTTAGATGAGCTATATCACTGGTTCATGCATTAATGTTCATGCAACTGCTGACGAACTATGTGCAGGCTCAATTTAAAGACCGTGTCCTACGGGAGAGTGTTGGCGAGTTTCAAGGAGGTACCGGCACAAATGAGCAACAAAGCTTGGTTTGTGGTTTGGACCATGACGTGAATGTCATGCGTACATCACTTTATAATGGATTGTCGCAGCGGATTTTAAGAGTAAGCTGTGTTAATATTGGTTTTGAAATTTGGTGTTCAAAGAAGTACCTTTGATGATGCCAGTGTATTGCTAAATCATTTCCAAATTCAAGGAATGCACACGAGATATCCATTACAGACAGATAGCTGACCTATTGCTATTGCAGGACTTACCTGCAGCTCTGTTATGGTGCATGGAAGGGTTGGCGCTAAATCTCGATGACGATCATAAGCCCATTACCGAAGTGCAGTGTCGTCACCTAGGAAAAGTTCATGATGTTCTCAACAATCATTTCAATGCTCCGCAGCATACAACTTATTTTTTTCCCAAGGAAGGATCTGCTCGACTACACAGAATTTTGGTTTGTCGTACCATGGAACCTCAGCACCTCTCCGATATTTATTCTCAAGCCTGGAAAACCTACCAGCAAAGTATGGAACCTGGAAATACTATTTCTCCTAGAAATGGTAAAGAGGTCAATCATGCCAACAATGGACACCGAGTTAAAATCCAGAATAAATCTCCCTCCAAACCTCTAGTTACCTTACATGGTTCTAGCATTGAGGGGACCAAAGTAGAACCTCAGCTCCATGTCCTTGATTATCTTTCAATTATAGGATGCAAAAGTGATCGTAAATCCCGAGAGTTGGTGGTGTCCCATAGCGCAAGTGGAAAAGCCAAATATTTGCAGGTTCGTATTGGTTGGATCTAATGGTGATATCTCGGTGCACAACGATCTTTTCATTTAATTATACATATGAATTTTATACTTTTCTTGTACATGACTACCTCAAATAAGTTTCGTGACTGGCTCAGCTATCTTTCTGCCAGAAAACTGTAAGTTATTCTTACCTCGTCGTTCCATTTTACATTGCAGGCTGAGCTCAATCTTGGGAAAGAGAAGACTTTGGCAACGTATTCGTGCAGGTAATGCAGTTGAATGATCGTTACTATGGTGCGTATATTTCAGTAAGCAGTTCTCGTAAGATATCTTTCAGTAGTATATGCTTGCCTCCATTGTACCACGTATTTACTGTATGAAGTGTGGTTTTCACCGATTGAAACAGGTTGTCCAGGATTATTCCTGGGCTATTCTACATAACAACAAAGCGTGTCTGCTTTGTTAAATTTCCAGGGGTTCCAAGCGAAAAGTGGTCATCTTCATTTCTAACTTTCGACAAGATACAACGAATTGAAGATGCAGACAGTGACGCACTTGTATTCGTACCCATCTATGGTCAGTACATCAGGGTTGGTCGAATTTCAAACCGCAATGCAGCTCTTGCCATCATTCATCAGCAGGTATGCGCATGCTATTATGATTCATGACTTGTAACAAGCACCCTGCTTTTAATATGAGCAATTGTAGTGCCTTGTCACAAACCGTGTCATAAGTATTCCTGTTAAGTGTGATTTATCTTAAAAACATCAATCCTTATGCATGCGTGTGCTACCACCATTATGAGTCTCCAATGGGTGCGAAATATGGCGGAACAACGGTTGGGGTGCTTCAAATTACAGCTGATGTATTTTGTGTGAATTTTGTTAACAGATAGCGGGTAGTGGATCTATATTGGAAAAGAATATGGCTCTTATCTCGCGATCTCATCGTCGTGCTGCTGCTAACAAAAGTAAGTTCTAATTTATAAGCCTTGTTCACACGCTACTCTATGTTGCATACTGAACTAAACAATTGTTCTTGCGAAGTGGCTTGTAAAACATGCATCAGCATTGTAATTTTACAGAGGACTCTTCAGTAGTTATAAGTGTAATGCTCAGAACTGTTCACAACTAGGGCAATATGAATCTTGCGTTGAACAAGGTTATTGCACGTTTTTTTGGATGTAGATGGACGTAATTGACTTTGATTCCCAGCAACTCAACAGCAGGTTATCTTCCATCGTCTTCAATAAAACTTCGAAGAATGCCTTCTTTTAAAGTATTACGGCAGGCTGGAAGTGTCAGCCATTCTTTTTCATCACTCTTGTGAATAAGATGAACTGTGTCCTTACTGTGACTAGGACCGAGCAGCTCTAGACAAAACAGGCCACTCCATCACCTGTCAGGTTTGATTTGAGGCCTCATGTATAGACATTTAATGGGTCGAGAGTGTTGACCCATTCTCAGGGATATCTTAGAGATGTGATTTTTTTCCTGTGTCCAGATCATTGTCCTGGAGCATAGCAGAATTGCTCAAAATTTTACAGAATTGAGAAACTTCGCGTCTGCAGGCCCTCGAAAGCAGTTCCGAAGTGGTGACTTGCTGGAGCTAATGACCACGCAGCAGCTGAAGTGGACTTGGACTAAAACTTATCTTTGCTCTGCTAAACCAAACTGCCCATCCATCTTGAGCAACTTAACCATGCAGGTCTTGAACCACGGTCATGAAAGCTAATACCAACATCCAGAATCCGACATTGTTCCAAGCAGTGGGCTCAATAAAGGCTTGATGGCCATGCCTACGATTCAGCATTGCTCTCAGGCAACAGTCTAGCATATGCATTATGTGGGTTCTCATCTGTGTATGAGTTTCTATACAAAGCGGTCCTCGAAACCAAGGCTCTCTTATTTGTACAAACGATTTCGTGTTCATACATGTTTTTTCCTGGCTCACTGAGTTCTAACCTCCACAAACAGAAGTCTCACAGGAAGTGATTGCAACACTGGAATCTCTTTCTATCAAATATTTTGAAAAAATTGTAGGAATTGTTTATCATATTGTTTTCTATATCATCGTCGAGGCTTATTAAAGAGAATTATTTGACATGATTGGAAAGTACATTTTTTGCCTTACTGGTACATATTTATTAATATTTATCAAGGGTTTATTCATTAACGTTTGTTTGAGTTTGAGTTATTTGTATATCATGATTTTTCTATCGAAGGGTTTATGGTGATGACTGTGTGTTACGTAGTGCTGCTTCGTAACGCAAGTGTTCATATGTCAGTTGATGGATGATGAAGTCGCACTATTTTTAGTTTTTCACTAAAAAATGAAATTAATTTGAGTGCGAACTATTACAAAGAGAAATGAAAATTCAGAGTTTTCATTTTTGATTGTTTAAAAAAATTTGTGAATTTATTTAGATTGCACCATTTGTAACATCATTTGTCACATCGAACACACAATCACCATTATTTAGATTGCTTTGCAATCAAAAGAGTTAACCCATGTCCGGAATCTTTGGGAGTTCTTCACAATAAATGGTACCGATAGTTTTTTTCATAGATTTCTTATTGTTCAATAAACAAGAAATCTGCTGGGGGAGCTTTACCGTCAAGTGAACTCAATTGGCGGAGTGTCGTTGTACCGACACACCAGTATATAATCCGATTGCTCAATTCATGTCTGTTCAATTCATGTATTTTGCAAATCTTAGGCCATCTCCATCCTGATGAACAGTATTCCCAAGCTGGAACCACGCCCTTGTTCATTTGCTCAGGGCACCTTCCATGATGTACAGGGGAGGTCCCTGCCTTGTCGAACAGCGTCTAGATTTCAGGTGATTATGTTGTCTGCACACGTGGTTTCAAATGGTGTTTGTGTGTTCGATGTTACAAAAGGTGTTTGTTCTCCAAATTTTTGTGAAATGTCGTGTGCAATGTCGGTTATGGCTTGTTCATACGGATGGAAGTATTGCGAAATGAGGTTAGATGTTGATATTTTCTTTTTTAAGTAACTGGGAAATTTGGGTAAGTTGTATTTACGAGACTTGGTGCTTGACCTCTTGCTGTTATCCAAATACGATTCATGTTCCGAGTAACTGATAAGAATCCCGGCTTGAATTAGGACGAAGCCTCACGCGAAGAGTGCGCATAACAGCACAGAACTTGAAGAAGAAGACAGCACGGCTTCTGAAAGCTCAGTGAAGACGTCCAGAGGTAAATTTAATGGAGAGGCTGTTGACAGTGTTCCGGGGCGTTGCAACAGCCAGGTCGCAGAAACCAGTGGATTCATCGACGACATCATGAAACTCATCTTAGCAAAGCTTGAATGCAAGGCATTGTTCCAAGCGAGGGCACAATCCAAGAAGTTTAAAGCTCTCATAGACAGTGATGATTTCCATCGTTTAAGAGGAGAACTCCGCCCACAAGAGGCCGAACTAACGGCGCTTCACTTCTCGGTGAGGGATGACGTGTGGCAATGCCATGGGCATGATCTAATTACAAATACGTGGTCGAAGCTGCCGCCATTCAAAATGCTGCCCCCACTGGACGTGGATTTGTTCAAAGCACACTCGATATGCGGTGCCGCAGGAGTAATGTGTGCGAATGTCGGCACGGATTCCGACAAGTTGATCTTGTTCAATCCTCTAACTGGGGGGCATCGTGAGCTGTGTCGATTGAACCATCCACGCATCCCCGTGCTTATGCACATGATTGTCAACTCTGAAGACAATTCATACAAGATCATCGTTGCCGGAAGCTCTCGGTTAAGCGATGACAAGGTGTCGAGAATCACTGAGGTTCTAGACTCACGCACTTCAAAATGGAAGGTCACGGGGGACATTCCAGGACCAGTTTTCGCCTTAAATGACTACCAAACCGGTGTTTACAGGGGCGGACTCCTTTACTGCATCGCATTCCTGCCCGCTGGAGGTAAAGGGGTCATCGTATACGATGTAGAGAAGGAGAAGTGGGTCCCAGATCGAAATTACGCTCTCCCCTACTCTCTGACCTCCAACACCGTGCAACTAGTGGAGAACAGCGGGAGGATTTATCTCTTCTCGGAACTAGAGCATCTCGACAACGAACCAGACCCCCTTCAGGCGCACGACGTCGAGCATCGGATCGACGAGCTGCTGGTGAACGAAGACCACACGTGCACGAGCTCCGAGCGACGATGGAGGCAAGTGATATCGACAAGGAAGAAGGGCAACATGGGGCTTCAAACCCATCCTGAGCATACCTGCGTGCCGTTCGGGAAAGACAAGCTGTGCGTCTTCAACAGGATCAAGCACAGCGGTATCGTTTACGACGTCGAGTCCGGCGAGAAGTGCGAATCGTCGCTGCCATCGCCGTCTCGATCGCGGTGCGGCACCTTGCCATTCTACAGCTTGAACCCGCTCACCTTCGACTTCAAACCCAGCTTCAAGGGGGGCGTCTCATTGCAGGCATGTGTCCTCATGTGAGATCTGATGGTGGAGCTCAGTTATGGGATAACTCAAAGCCCATCTAAGCGTACACCAGTTGTAGCAGATAATGACGACAAATTAGATGGGCATGCTTTTTACAGTGATAATTTGAAAACATAAAGCAAAAGGAAGAACACAATAACAATGTTGATAAGTACTATATTTGAAACATTGTACCGATAACTATTGTATGCAATTCTTTTTTTGCGGCAGACTTTATTTCAATAAGATGTAAATACTCTTTCTTGTTGGCATTGTTTATTTATAGATTGAGTATGGGGATGGTTGTGCGAAATCCAAAAAAAAGGCACAAGAAAGAATGTAATCGAAAGGAATCTGCTTTATTATTATTATTATGATTATTATTATTTTATTTTGACACAAAATAGAGTATATCCAATACATTGAATAGGTTAAAAAGTGAATCTACATAGCTAAACTTGCCCACACTGGAATACCGACAGGAGAAGAAAAAAAGAATGTACAGAGATGTAGAACGGCCACTTGGCATTCTAATATTAATGGGGAACTTCTCCGACCTGCATTGAAGCTGCTGATTGAAACGTAAAGTGCCCTCGGAGGTCTGAAGATTCTGTTCTATGACCACACTTGCTCGCAGTATGGATTTTCGCCATACGCAACAGTGAAAAATTGTCTGTACATTTGGAGGAGCTCCGCGACGGCAAAATTATCGAAGTCTCGTGTCGGACACGGCCTTGTCCTCTGTCGAAACCTGAAAAGTGAACCGTCGTTTGTAAGCCACGCCGTTGAAGCTGTCGGTGTCGGTGTCGGGACAGACACTTTGAGGCGATTTGTAATTTTTGTTTTGTTTTGTTTTAGACACACAGGAAGATTTAGATTATATGAGAAATGGCTTACATGCACCAAAAGTCTACTTCAAGACTATTAATATATCCATACCATAAAGGTTGGGATTTTGTTCCATATTACACTAACTTCTGATTTTATTATGCATAGTCTATTTTCGTTAACCCATTTAATTGCAATCTTATCAAAATCATGCATTCCTTTTAAAGTGTGTTTGCATTTTATTATATTTACAAGTTTTTTATAGTTATTTTTTGATACCAAATCAATAATTTTACTTTAAAATTTGACCAAATTTAATCTTTAAAGGTTTTGGTGGTAGGAGGGGATATTGCAACAGCACTTCCACACCCTACCCCACCATAATTAGAAGTTTTGAAATACATTGTGCAACGTAGCGATTCCACATTATATGACTATTAAATTGTAATTTTGCAGTTGAGTATAATCGATTGTAGGAATTCCATAACCTCCATGTTTGGTTGGGTGACACCTATCAAGATTCCATGTCAGTGTTAGCAAGCAAAATCAACAAAATTGGAACTAGTGTAATAGCTTAAGCATAGAAGTTAAGTTTCGTACATAGTAATAAACATATATATATATATATATATATATATATTGATTTTGTGTTACACCTCACATGTGTTATGTACTGTGGAAAAGACTTCATCAACGACGGCTGCACTCTTCCAAGAGCTTGCGACTGCTACTATCACCTTAATCTGCTTTCGATTCCATTAAGATTTCTTATAAGGATTATGGTTTCTAATACGACCGATTAATTAGATTACTGTGAAGGACAGGTTCTCCTCCAAGCACGCCTATCAGCGGTAAGTGAGAGGCAAATTTTGGTCCTGATAATGGTTTTGTAAAAAGATCAACATGCATAGCATTGATAGAACAATAGTCAAAGCGGACTTTCTGTTGTGCAGTAAGTTGTTGTATGAAACGGTGACGAATCAAGATATGCTTTGTATGAGAGTGAAACTTGGTGATATCCACCGATGCCAATGCGGATTGATTATCACATTTAATGAATGTAGCCGTAGCTAGAGAGTTGGTTCGATGAATGACGTGAAGCAAATGATAGAGCAAGATGGCCTCGGAGGCGACATTGGCCATTGCCATGTATACTGCCTCCGTGCTCGGAAGAGCTGCAAAACGTTGTCTTGAAGAACACCAGCTTATGGCACGGGTGGACAGCAAGAATACATTCTGTAAGATAGACCGGTGTTCATCCACCTCGCACTCCCAGTCAGCATCGTTGTACCCGTAAAAAAAGGCAGGGTATAGCAGCCAAGCGGCAATATTCAAGGATATAATCCAGGATGCCACATACATAGCAAAAGATTTGTTCACACCCAAATGTGCAACGGGCCTGAACTGTGTATATATTGCCCAAGAAGACTGACTATGAAGGCCAAATTTGGGCGAGTGCAGATATTTGCCAAGTTAAAGGAGCCGACGGCGTTTGAGCAAGGGAAAGCCGAATTAGCACATGCGGCAGAGGGGGGAATACAGTCCGCAATTTAGAGCTTAGTGCCAGGGGTGAGCGGGGTTGACACGGGTTGCAAATCCAAGAAGCAGAATTTGGTTAACTTTTGGATGAGGTAGAGGCTCTGCGAGATTCTCAACCAGCCTTATGATATATTTTTGGTAACTTGAAGACTGAGTATATGATGAACATTGCCCAAATCAGAAAAGAAGAAAACAGAAGTTGAGGTGAGTTTTGACGGATTGCAAAAATTCCAGATCGTTGTTAGCCAGCTTGGTATTATCCACATATAGAGTGAATATGACAAATTATGAGCCATGGCTAAGATAATAGACATTGCGATCCGCCATGGAATTTACAAATCCAATTGTGGCCAAGAAAGAATTGATTACCTGGAACTACTCACGAGGTGATTGTTTGAGGCTATACAACGCTTTTTGGAAGGCAACACACAAGGTCGGGGCAGGGAGGAACAATCCCATCAGGTACATTCATATAGATTTCTTCTTTGAGTATGCTGTTAAAAAACGTCGTCCTCACGTCCATCTTGTGGACATGAAGATTGAATTGGGCAGCAAGAGCCAAAATTAAACGTATGAATTGAATACACATCACAAGGAAAAAAGTGTCGATGTAGTCACGGCCATGAATCTGATTTAAACCTTTGGCAACAAGGTGGACCTTAAAGTGATTAATTTTTCCAGAGCTTTTAAGCTTGATTTTAAAGACCTATTGGCACTTGATGGGACGTTGAGATGGAGCTAGCTCTGTAAAAACCCAGGTACCATTCACAGCATTAGAGTTTAGTTCTTTCAAAATCACATATTTCCATTGAAAGGTTTCTGGGGAATTGAGAGCTTGTTTAAAGGTACTTGGTTCCATGGGAACATCCATGATAGCAGAGAGCCCTTTTGTGTGATGAGAGTTGATGAAGAGGAGCTCTCGATTTTCCAAAATCAATTTTATAATACTCTGCTGGATCACGAAGAGACAAGACTCCGCAATTAGTGCAAGTTGAAAACCATCGAGGAGCGATGGCATAGGAGGTGAGCAAGGGATTGTCGTCAGGGGCGTTACTAGCAAGGAGAGGGAAAGTCGGATGCGGTTGGAATTGTCGAGGGAATAACGCATGATGGCCGACATGCAGCATCAATTCCAGCTCCAGGCGATTGTCCACATATCGGCGTAGAGAGGCTTTGGATCTAGTAAGAGAGACTAACGATGACAAAGACAAATAGAGAGCATTAGCAGATCCTGAGCCTAGAGTTGAGGGGGAGGTCAAGATGGGCGATGAAAATTCTAATCCTTGGAGAGGTACTACAAGAGCAGAATCTGAATAAGGCGCCATGGTGGTTGAATAAGGAAATTGAGGCACTGGCGCAAATGACGGAGGAGGTAATTTGGGAAGTTCGTTTGTAGCAAAATCGGGAACAGTGTTGGAAGGCAAAGAGATTTCATTGGCTGATTCTGAAGGACGGGAGGCCGAGTATGAATCTGAGTTTGAGACAGCAAGATCTCTCGTAGATGGAGATGAAAATATCATTACGAATAGCTAACTGTTGTCTTTGAGAGGAACCGCCGACTTAAGAGGAGTATGCATTGCGGGTAATTCATCTTTAAAAATTACGACTTTGGAAATAATATCTCCTGTAACAGCATGCTGAAGCTTATAGGCCAGGCTCATAGTACTATAGCTAAGAAAAATACTTTGACTTGTTTTCTCTGAAAGCTTAATGCAAAGCGGATCCAGAGTTTTGGCCAATCAAATGCTTCCAAATAGACAGAAGTGGGAAATATCCTATTTTTGCTTATGCCAAAGTTTGAATGGAATTATGGTACTAAGAATGGCCATTGTAGGAGTGCAATTCTGAAGGTATGTTGCACATATAACTGCCTCGCCCCGATATGATTTGGATAAGTTAGCCTCATGCAGCATACACCTTGTAGCATTGAATAGAGTGTGGTTTTTGCGTTTAACAATCTCATTTTGTTGTGGGATATAGGCTGTAGTTAATTAGCGTTGTATACCGTGGGTTGATAGATATTGTTCAGATATGAAGGGGAGATATTCTCCTCCTTGATTGAAGCGGAGTATGCGTAATTTACTGCCGGTTTGCATTTCGGCTCAGACATAAAATACTGTGAAAAATTCAAAACACTCATTATTTTTTATTTTTTTTGAAGGAGGCCAATCACTGTATATCGGGAGTAGTCATTAATAAATGTAACATAATACTTAAAGCATGAAAATGTGGAAGCAGCTACTCAACCACTGAGATCTAAATGTATGAACTTAAGTCGTTGTGAGGCGCAAAAAGTAGCTACTTTGGGTAATTTTGTAATAGTTTGCTTGCCATGAAGACAAGTGGAGCAAACATTAGAACATGTTTGACGCAAGCCCAGTTACGACTTGAGTTTGTGTTAACTACTTCAGGCATTGGGTGCTGGAATGGTCTAGACGCCAAAGCCAAAGATGAGCTTGTTTTCCACATTTTTCTTGAAATTGGGAGAAAGTAGCATGCGCAGCCATGGAAGGATTGCTCTAAAAATTCGGGGAACTGGATGTGAGGAAACGGAGACACTGTTCAGCATGTCGGAGTGGGCCGGGTTTGTCATTCAGCAGAGGCGCAAAGCTAAGTGAATTGTGGAAATAATGAACTGAAATATGCCAGAGAAGCGAGGACCGAGGTAGGCGGGGCACTGAAGTCACCCATGAAGAAGAAAACGCCACTGGTTATACAGGATTAGTGCCGAAAACAGATGGCAGTAAAGGGAGAGCAGCGGATTAGTAGGGTGTTTTGTAAGCAGTGCCGGAGGGGCTATCTATGCCGAGATCAGAAGGTGCAGATTCATTGCTGGAGCTTTTGAAAACAGAAATGGCATTGGAACTGCCGATGTGGTCACGGACAGGGTGATGGAAAGCACTGGTGGTTGGGCCG